GGGTTTTGCAGCCTGCATGTATGATATGCAAATATCAGCATAAAATTCAAAAGCCTCAGCTCAAGGGTCAGAGCTAGACAAGTACTTCAACAAAAGGAGGAAAAAAAGAGAGGATTAGATTCTGAGACAAACCTTCCATAGTGCAAAGTCAGCAGGATTGCGCTTCCTTGGATCAGCAGCGACACGCTCACCAGCTCGAGTATGGTCCAGCACTTGACCGTAATTTGGTGACTTATCAACAGAGAAGAACACGTCACCGCGCACTTCATACCCACAATCTTTGGCAATGATCTGTAACCAACAAGGAAGCATAGAGGTTAGTGAGAGCTACAGTAGCATCACCATATAGCGGATCTAACAAGTAAGAGCAAAGAATAAAAATGTGAGGTTTCCCAATGCATACCGTTTCAATCATCTTGATTATGTGCTCCATATGGTCACTGACACGAGGCTGGTGGGTGGGAAGGAGGCACTGAAGAGCACCCATATCAACAAGATACTCATCGCAAAAGCGACTACTGAGATCTAAGGGGTTCTCCCCACACTCTTTAGCTCTGTTGATTACCTGTACAAGCCAAAAAGAGAATGTTGTGAACCTAATCATAACCAAAGAGGGCAGAAAAGAAAGAAGTAGGACTCTCATATATAAGATTGAAAAGGTTACAGGACAAAGAAAATGCCATACCTTGTCATCAACATCTGTAAAATTCCGGACATAAGTAACTTCATAACCCAAATGCTTTAAGTATCTGCATAAACGACAGAAGAAGCAGATAAATAAATAGCCAGCTCAAAAAGAAAAGTCACTCACAGATCTAGTTATCCAGCTTGGTTCGGTGTTATCAAATGGTAGTAGAGAGTCTAACGATACACTAACACAGTATCAAATGTTGTATACTAGACAGAAACCTCCAATTTGATGCAAGAAAAGAAAAGAAAGAAAGACAGAAACCTCCAATTTTAACTCAGGCGACCTAACGAACTTAAGTTCAGCAACAGTGCTACCACAAAATCGAACTATGAAGCTTGTTCAAGACCAGACCTGTATAGGACGTCAAAGGAGACGGCAGCACGAGCGTGGCCAAGATGGCTGAGACCGTAAGCAGAAATCCCACAGAGATACATCCGGATCTTGCCGGGGTTGATGGGCTTTACAACTTCCTTCTGTTGAGTCCTCGTGTTGTACAAAGTCAGCTCCCTCTTCTCCATCTCCATATTTGACATCGCTTGCCCTAGATCTGCTCTCTCGAAAAAAGCTTCCGTACTCTGCAATGGCAATGGGGTTTTCTTTACTCAAAATGGGGTTTAGCTCTCTCTCTAGAAACTTAAATGATCAGGCAAATATAGAAACTTGGAGATCACTCTCTCCACTCTCTCTACTGACGTCATCATTTATTTAGAATTGTGGGCTTCTTTGGGCCTTTCGCTACTTGTTCGGCCTTTTATCCAACTCTGGTCTTTCAGTTCTTCTTTCTCTTGGCCTGGCCACGCCTAATATTTGTATTATTTTCTTATTTATTATTTTTAATCCTAAGAAGTGTGGTTCGATTTTATATATTTATATTTTATTTTAGTGTTTTTTTAGTTTTTGGCTGACTTCATTTCTATTGTACATATCTTTTGAAAAACTTTTTTTATTTTTTATTTTGAACTTCTTTTAACCTGCACTTTATCGTGGGGTTAAAATTTTTTAATTTTAAGTTATATTTATTTTATTTTTATTGAGTTTGTCAATATTGTATGATTTTACTTTGATTGTTACTTCTAAAATTTCATGCGTATTTGATGCGTCCCCGGACATCGAGTCACCAAAACCGCCGTCCGTCCGTCCGAGAGCACCATCCGGCCGGCCGCATCTATCAACCGTTCCGGCAAAGTCTTCAACAAGCGATCATCCCGACGACAACGATTCAACATCAACACTTCAAGACATCAACAAGGATCATCAAGACGAGCAAGGCGAGGTCATCTCATGATCTTCTTCAACGATCAACCTTTCGACAAGCCGAGCTTCAACCATTCTCACTGAAGGTTCGTGGAACGCATCACCACCGAGGAACCTTCGATCAAGACAAGCTTTGGGAAAGCTTAGCTCGAGTGCCTTCACCTCCACGTCCGAGTGAAGGCATCCCGAAGACTCTTTTTCCCAACTTCGGGTTTGTCCCAATGGGTTTACCGAAGGGGTTTTAACGAGGCAGCAAGTCTAATGCACCTCCACTTCGATCCCACTCGACTCACGACTAGGAAACTTTAGTAGACAAGCTCCGGAGCCGAGGAAGTGAAGATCCTATCTCCAAGAAGGCATCCATCTTCAATAAAGCCTTCTCCATCGATCCTTATCGATCTGTTTCTATTTTCTCGAAGAATTCTCGGTCGTTCCACTTTTTACCGAGAATTTCTCGATCCTTTTACCTTTTTATCGAGAATTTCTCGATCCTTTTACTTTTTACCGAGAGAGCCGTTAGAAAACGCGCTTTCTTGCTTTTCCTTTGTGTGGAGCTTAAAGACCCACGTGTCTAGGGCAACTTTAAGCCCACTTTCTTGATCACTTGTCTATTTAATGGCAAGTCTCTCGATTGTAAAAGACACGTTTGAATAAACTACCAAAAATGTTTCCTTTTCTCGCGTCTCTCTTCGTTTTCTCGAGCCGTAAAGGTTAGAGATCGAAAATCTTTGAAGATTCTCGAACCGGGTTTCGTTAATCTTTAAGCCGACCGTATCGTGAGTTATTTCCATAGCTCACGTGTCGTCATTCGATCCACACACCACCCAGTCCGAGTACTCCTTCATTTGTACGAAAGGTACTATCCCTGGACGTGACATCTCTTTTGTATTGTTGTAAGTCGCTGATGGATTCAGCTTAGCCAATAAAAACCTTGCATGCAGTATTTACAGAGTGTTTAAATTTAAGGATAAGGTTATAAAAACCATAACACAGATGAAAAGAATCATCAAAATCGATGAGTCAACCGACACCGTGGCAATGTCGGAACATCAAAGTTGAGTAATATGACGTCATTTCAAAGCGAAGCGAAATACAAATATTTGTTTTCGAATTATATGTTCCTGTCTCGTATCCATTCCTATAAGTTTATATTTTTCTAAATAAAAACATCATTTACATGTAACTAAATATAATTTTTTAACAACATAATAAAATTAAGATTTAATTTAATTCGTGTTCTAGCATCAGATTGATGATGTTTTAAAATTACTTTTGTGGTATTTTTGAAAAACAATGTATTTTGGTGGTATTTTGAAAAAATAAAACTTATACTTAGTCCTGGACAATCGGTTACCCAATCGGGTTTCGGTTCTACCCATTCGGGTTTCGGATAAACCGGTATAAGACCTATAGATCCCATTCGATAATTTACAAAAAATTTAGTTCGGTACGGTTAGTAACTAACCGGATTCGGAGCGGTTTTCTACAAATATTTAGATATATTTCAACAATTTGGTGGCTTTATTGATAAAGCTAAATATTTTTCTTTGTTGTTTATTCAACAATTTGGTGGCTTTATTGATAAAGCCATTGACCCAAAACCATATAATTGATCATACAAGATATCATCCGATGACAAGATAAGAAATGCAAACAGGAAATCTTTATAATCCAGACAAATCCAATGCAAAAGACTTCAACCATGCGAGTACCTTCCAAGATGTATTAATGAGAGACCAAAATGAAAAAGAGCTCTAAAATGGTACAGGACTGTGACTACTTTTTCCTCAGGATTGCACGGCCAGTTTCGAAAGATGCTCAAAAAAGACTTGCAGGCTCACATCATCAGTAAAGATTATGTCTGACCCAGCTGACATCTCGTTTGCATTGTTGTAAGTCGCTGATGGATTCAGCTTAGCCAATAAAAACCTTGCCTGCAGTATTTACAGAGTGTTTAAATTTAAGGATAAGGTGATAAAAACCATAACACAGATGAAAAGATCATCAAAATCGAGCTGACTAAATAAATATAGAAACATATGCCAATGCTAACCTGCGACCCATGTTGATCACACACAACTAATCTTGGGGCTGGGAAACGCTCCTGTACTAACATCTGGGAATCCTCTTGAGGAGCTTGCAATAACTGAGCAAAGGCCTGACACGAGACATTGGAGTTTCAGGATAAAGATGTCACAAAATGAGACACCATGAATAGAAAATTGACCTTGTCACCGCAGCCCAGCTTATTTAAATGGAACCAGCTCTTAAGAGTATTTATTCCTAGACTAATGTCTCAATTTGGATTTCTACCCTAACCCCGGTGTCATTTTAACAACAGAACTCAAAAGGATCATATCATTTGATAGCTACACAGGTGTAAGAAATGCTTTAGTAAATAAAAAGACTACTGGTTCAAAGCGTGCATTACCTCGTGTTCAGGCTGATCATGATAACCCATGGTTCGCCATTGTGCTATAGTCATTCCATGGAAGACAACAACACTAAAATATGCATCTAATAGAAGAATTCTGTCGGCTGCAATGGAAGCCACATCCAGCAAAGCTGGCTGAGGTGGTGCATTAAATGTATATGACGTCAGTGATGGTTGGATCATGACAGTTGCATTTGATATATTCTCCCGGTTTAGCAACATACGGAAGTATGCAGTTTCATCAGGACTATTGTTAAAGACCTGAAACCATTCCAACACCGCAAAATATTAGAAACATGATTCAACTATGTAGACCAATTTGATAAAGGCATCTGGTGATGAAATCTAAAAATAGTAGTCTACCTGAACAAACTGCGACCGTCGCAGGTTGAACATGAACTGAGGGAACAATGAAAAATACGTATTCAGCGTGAACGAGGTTGGATCATCCTTTCTATATTCACCAAATTTTGAACAGAGACGAATGAGAGTCCGATCTAGCCATCGAGTAGCATCAAATCCCTCCTGAGGTAATATATTATACACGATATACATGAGCAACACTAACACAAAAATACAAGCAGTCAACACTGGACATAGTACTTCAATAAGAAGGAGTGCGTAGCAACTATTAGTTAGACTATCAGCATTCAGCCTCACACAGACTATAAAATTTTGTATATAGAGATGAAAGCTGCATATCATACAGCCACAATACATCCTCAATAAATATGCTACAAGGAAAAAGTCTTCAACATTTTCTGAAGGAACAAATGTAAGCCACCTCAGTTATTTTGTTTTATATATGAAGTTCGGTTGTGTGAAAAATAAAGTTTTACTTCCTTTGGACATATAGATGAACATTTGACAAAAGATCCTGAACCCCTGGTAAATAAATTTGGCGAGGGAAAAAAAAAAAACCCCCATAATTTAACTGACCAAAAGCAATATTGACTTAATTCCCTTACCCCAACAGGATAAAAGAAAGTCACGGTCAAATTAATCCACATATTGTAAGCAACAAGAAAATGATGTAAGGTACCTCTGTTTCCATTTTTAAGGAAGTTAATCTTGCCATAACCACAGCAGCAGTTTCTTGATCAAAGCCTTGCACAAGTTCCTGAGAATGTATACAGCAACAGTTGTAAGAATGCTTGCCAGAAAGCTTTTAGATATTTAAACGGCATAATACATTAACCTTAAGCACAATTATTATTGATTCGGTGACGATATTGAAATCTAAAAGAAAATGGCTAACAAGCTGGTGAAATGAAAAATTCATGCAACCAACACCATAATTCAGAGATTCACGTGATAAGGATTAAGAATCATAAAGCATTAGGAATCAGAGTACGTTAAACTGTAGCGGTATCTAAAGAATCCATGTTTATCCTAACCAACCATTTCCAAAGAAATAAGAATGTGAAGTCCCATTGAAAGCCAAAAAGCTAACTATATTCACAATAAATAACGTTTACTAACTACACAGAATGATGGCAAATAATAAAATTTACTAGCAGATATATAGGTTCTAATCCTAACATGAACAATGCTACCAAAAAAACTAAACAGTGCTACCACAAAAGAGCTTGTAGATTACATTAAAGCCAACTGAGTATAACATTAGATATTTAGAGTAAAGTAAGTTTAAAACAAGACTATGACGAACCTCTGTACTCACAGCAGTATCTACCCACCGTCTGGATACAGTTGTAACCCGGAGTAAATTTTGACCTTTGGGGCTTTGGTAACTGCAATTGATTCAACAACAGTAAATCCAATATTTCTAAAGAGAAAGTAATAACTTAATGCAGAAAAGGTTTAACACAAATATAGCGAAGGAAGAAAGTGACAAATAAAAGGTGCAGAATACCTTGTGACAAACTGCAAATACAACTGAGGATTTACAGCTCCAGGAGCATTTGACCCGGTTGAAGATAGATCAAAGAATACAGTCAAGCAGGTACTCTTATCAAGGCCACACAACTTCCAAGCACTGGTATTCCCCTCTCCAATGACTGTGTCAGCAACATTGGGACCTTTCTGCAAGGCACCAAATGAAAATAAATTAAAATCAATTATAGCAGGCAGCTTTATTCATTCACCAAACAAAAACATACACAAAAAAAAAAAGACATCTTGAAAGAAAATGGAGTCTTAAGTACTCGAGGTATAACCTTTTCTAATGAAGAGCAAGGTCCAATTATTCCTTGAATTTTGATGTCTTTGGAACAATTGATCTCCAGCGTGCCACTGAAAATGAAATTTCCAAAGTTAGTTTGGACTAAAGGATGCAAAATATACAGTCTTAGCATAGAAGCCATATTATGCATATGCTCCACGAGAAAGGATCTTAATTGCCAATTATTATTTATCTTGAACCACCAACTCAACAGAAGATATAGTAGCAAAGTATTGACAAAGAAGCAGAACAGAAACATACTTGAAGCAGAGACCAAGAGAGTGCTCGCCATCTTCAAACACCCGCTTGAAGGAATCTTTAAATACAGAATGGCCAAAACTTTCAGATAGAACAACAAGACCACCGGTACTTTCAACTGCAACTTTCATTTCAGCAACCCCAACCTAACTATACCCAAAATGCAACAGCAGAGATAATTATAGTTAGGTATCTAATCATGTGATGAAAAATGATAGTGACACAAGCGAAGCCCTATCAACACTAAAGTTAAGAAGAAAATATAATCAGTCTTTCATAAAGCAAAGGACATCAAAATGAAAAGAAAAAAAAGGGTTTCTGATATGGCTCTGGCAAACATTTTATCTAGAGAAATAAAGGTAACATTTCTGATTTCTAGATAATAGGGATGTTCTCAAACAATAACATAGATTGCCATTCAAGTTTATAAAATGTATGTAAAAGTTATATCTATAAATGGGTTTCTTTCGTGCACAGCCAATAACATCAATAAAATTAATCAGAAGAAAAAGAATAGAAACTGGTGATCACAAATTAGTAAAATAGCTCGAGTACAGATCGCCTAACAATTTGCTAACTCGGAATGCATATTCAAAATAATGACACATAAAACATCACTTTCAGGGAGTTAATGAGGGATGATGGCTTTCGTTTTAGCTTAACTGTCACAGTGACACAGACAAAATAGAGAAACCAAGAGTTGCAAAAAACTACACATTATACCTGAAAGTAAGCAGTATTTGGGCATCAAGCAAAGTATAATCATGAGTCATGACACATTAATACCTGATCAAGTGCAGAAGCGAAAAGGTCTAACACATGACCCTGAGCGACCAGCTGCTTTGCAATACTATCATAAAACTTGATTGCTTTTTTATAATAAGGAGCAGCATCTTTATCTAGATCTTTGTGGGAGCGCACAGGATCTGACAAATCCTTTGAGACAATCTGAAAAGAAAAACAAAATATGATTCAGACAATAACAAATATGGATAAATGAAACTTGACAGTGCCATCACCCGAGGAATCAACAAGCACAAACCGTTCCAGGGCCCTCTGTACATGGACCTCCAACCAAAGCTACAATTCTAGCCCCAGTTCCAGGCAAGCAAGCTCCAAGCAATCCTGCAGCTACACTCAATGCCACACCTGTGCATCTTTGGGGACGATGACCTGGCTGAACAGGCCACTGGTCTGTTTGGAGCTCATCCAAAAGCTGCATACCAAAAATCAGCCACAGCAGTGTTGAAATCCATGTTACAATTGATGAATCATTTAGAATCAGCAGAATTCGATGAAATTTGACAATCTACATGAGTTAAATGAAAACAAACATAGGCGTAAATATATCCAAACCGAAACCATAACCCACCAAGTCCAGTGTGTATTCACACTCCGAAGCCGGCAGCAGGAATCTGTTAACTCCAGAACTCTGGAATCCGTTTTGCGCTCCTTTGGGAAACCCAGAAGTGGGAGCTCTCCTCGAGGAAGACCCAAGCCCCAACTGATCCAAAATTTGTTCCTTGGAAACCTCTTTGTTGCCTTTAAAGACAAAAACTTTAGACATCTCAGAGAACCCCAATTCATGTACATGAGCCTGAGTACCAAACGACACAAACCCCACCAAAGCATTCTCCGGAAGCAACCCGATCGCCTGCTTAAGCGCAGATTTGGCATATCCCAACTCTTCCTCGATCATACACGTATCAAGAACAAACACAAACACAGGCGGAGGCACCTGAGGGGGAACAGGAGCACCAGTTCTCGGATCGAATTGACCACCAACACCAGCAAGAGACGGCGGTATCGTGTATTCAACAGTAGTGTAGTGTTGATAAAGCTCACCAGGGAGATTAGTCTCAGAGATACTATGGTAATGAGTCGGGAAAGTATTCCTCTGGTAACAAAAAGGGCAGATCCAGATCTTGGCGATGAAATCAACACGAGCGAAGCAGTTGAGAACAGCGCTACAGGTACGGCATTGGAGAGGAGCATAATCGAGATTAAGGATATCGGGATGACGACGGATCGGAGAAATTGAAGCGGCTAGTGGAATCACGCACTTGCTAGCTTCAACCTTAGTGCGAGGCCAAAAATTCCAAGTCATACGAACTCCATCCATACCTTCTGGATCCACGTACGCCATATCCGCCATTGGGATCAGATCCGGGATCGAATTGTGGGAGTTTGGTGATGGAAACTGAGAATTCTGGGGTCAGAGGAGGAGAGCCGTGAGAGATTAGGAGTTAGGAGTCGCGGCTGATCACTGGGAGGTCATAACGCGAGAGACTCAATTTGATTGGATGGATGATGATGACCGGATCTGGTCTTTAAGTTCGGGTTCGGGTCAAGTATTGCTCATTTAATTAAAAAGGAGATTTGCTAGAATAATCTTAAAAAAAATATTAGATAATAGCCAAAATATTCAACCAAGATTTACAAAAATCTTTTATTTTTACAGTTAACTTTTATTTTTATTTAAGGTAATGTGCTTTCTAGGCTAGCTGTCTTGCCTCTTTGGTCATCTAATTATGATTTAGAGTTGAAAATGAAACTAAAACTCCACTAAAAATTACAGATACTCAGTAATTAACTAAAATATATTTATTAAAAAATTCTATAAAACAAGAAATGTTTTTTTACTAAACATAGAAAATTCATCAAATATAACATTCTCTCAAACCTAACCAATCTAATATTACTAAAGTAAAACATTATACTATATTTTATATATTTGTTTCTGTTTTTGGTTAATTATAAGCCATATAAACTTAGGTTTTGTTGATTTTTAAGTTTTCCAATAAGAGTTACAACAATACATTTGGTTTATTGACCGTGTTTTATATAAACTTCAAGTTTATAAAAGCGTTTTTTTATTTTAAAAAGATTAATAATTTTTGTTTTGTTTTAATAATTAAATGACTTTAAATAAATTAGTATATTAGTAAACCCAGACCCGGTCGGAAAGGGTAGACCGGTTCGGTTATGACGACATTTTGGAACGATGCAAAAGAAGAATGATTTCGCTCATTTCTCCTCCGGTCGGTTTGATGATATGTTTGTTGGTTGTTTCAATTCTTTTCTTCGATCTCTAAAAAAATCTCCTCACGATCTCTCTTATCTCAAGATTCTCCAAGCCGTCCAAGGTATTCAAGTTTATGGTTTTAGGGCGTTTGATTCAGTAGATGCTTTCTCCAATTCCTATGCTTTGTTTGTGACTGTGTCCCCTTTCTCACTTTTCCAAAAGTTTCAGACTTTCAGTAGATTTGTGATTTGGGTCTCTCAATTTCCAAACTAACGAGCCTCCGTTAAAGCTTATCCTCCACCTTAATGAGTGTATTCAATTATGCTTAAGTTTAGTCTACTTTTTGGAACTTTTCATTGATGCAATCTTGATTTAGTTTGCTACTTGCCCGTGTTTCGTTTTGTGTCGATCTCAAACTGGATTCTTGTACAAACTTCGCCTATATTAGTGGATTCTTGTTGCTGCTTGATTCTTGTTGTTTTGCTCTCTTCTTATATCAGGTTAAGCATTTTGTTGACTTATGATCCTAAAGTTGCTTTCTTGTTCATGTTTTAGTATAAAAAGTGTGTGACCTAAATTGTATGATACTAAAGATGCTTTCTTTTTCTATGTTTGGATGAATTTTTCAGCGCACAACAACGATTCGTTGAAAAGAAAGACAAAATCCTAATTTTGGTGCAAGTCTTGAGTAGAATAACAGCATTTCTAAGACATGGTAAGAACTTGGACTGTTATTCTCATCCTCTATTTGAAATGAATTGTTACTCTTCTGCATTAATGTTTATTCTTTTCATACTTGACAAATATTGTATTTATTCAAAATTCTTCTAATCAACGTCTAACGCATACTAATTTGCTGCAGAAATTGTTTTAAATTTGCTAATATTGATTCTTTGATGTTCCAGGCAAACTCATTGCGGCTTTATCTAGCATGCATTAAAAATACACTCGAGGCAGCCATGTGCTTACAGGTACAAACTATTTTGGTTCAAGATATCATGACACAGGCTGCAAAGTCTCCATCTTTATGGTTTATTATGCTTAAGGAAATAAAAGCTTCATGTTTGTGTAGTCCCTCATCTATGTTCCACCGATGGTGTGTTACTCTCACGTATTAGTCTTTTAGTTGTCGATTAGGGATAATGTGCTATCATTCACTTTGACTTTTGACATTTTGTGTCGCAATATTTGGTGTCAAATGTAGAAACCTATGCATGATGTAAAATTCAGTTTTACATGGTATATATTCCTGAAAGATTCTATATTTCTCTACTTGCAGAACTTTCCGTGTCAAGAAGTTGAAAGGCATAATAAACCAGAGGTTGAACTAAAGTATGTAAGCTTGTCACAAGAAGATGCATGTGAGAATGGAATGCTCTTTTGCTATTTTTCATTTCAAGTAGTAGAATCTTAATATCACCATGTTTTTGTTTTCTTGTAGGACGAGCCCAGAACTTTTACTAAATCCTGTAAGAAGTTTATTTGTTTCCCTCCCAGTTTTGCATTGATATTGCACTTTTATCCTACCTAAGTTTTGTAGTTGACTGCTAAGTTTTTTGCAACTTGCAGGTTTTAATATGCCGTAATGAGGCTGAAAAGTGTTTAATAGAAACATCTATAAATTCACTCCGGATAAGCCTCAAGGTGGTTATTAATCTTACCTTAGCTTTTCCCTCGATCACTTACAAGAAGTGCCCCTTGTGATACACTGATCAACAAAGGCTTCGTGTTGTCTTCCTGCTACTTACTGTTTCCTTTAGTTTTTTTCTCCTGATATAATGTCTTGATGAGTCATTACTTAAACATCTGTCTTGTCCTGCTGTCACGAATATTTGTTATCATTAATTTGCAGGTCAAACAAGCGGATGAACTTGAAAACATACTAACCAAAAAGTTCCTTAGATTTTTATCCATGAGGGCAGAAGCTTTTCAAGTACTGCGGAGGAAGCCAGTGCAGGTAGACTTTATTCCTGATTCAACACTTACCTACATCTCTGTGCTACTATGTTTATCTGGCAGTTGTAATGCATTTTCTCTTCTGAACAAGTTCTAATTATTCTGGTGAATGCATCATTAATTGGTAGTATACAAAACTTTTCCTTCATTTTTGCATTCTAGACGGACACTTTATAGTTTATAGGCTTAAGATGGACACTTATGAATTCTTTTGACAATTAAATTCATGCCACAATCCTTTCTTTTTCCCCCCGATTTATGAACCATGAATCATCTCACCGTGTGGAAATGCATGCCTTGGCTTAAGATTATTTACTGACTATTCCCTGATCCCCTTCTACTGGTTTCTTCTTTGTTGGTCTTGAGCAGGGCTATGACATTAGCTTTCTTATAACAAACTACCACTGTGAAGAGATGCAGAAACAGAAGCTTATCGATTTCATTATTCAGTTTATGGAGGCAAGTCTTTCTCTAAACCAAATCTTGTTTATTCTATGACCCTGGTTGCATGCAATAGTAGCATCCTAACGATCAAAATATGTAAGGAGTAGACTTACATCGTTGTGTTTCTCACAGTACTAATTTGAGAAGTATTATTCTGACTAGTTGACCTAACCACAGTCAATATATCCGCCTATAGTTAGAAGTGTTTCGAAAAGAGTCGAAAGAGATTAGTTACTCTGATGATGTCCTCCAACATTGTATTCTCCTCTTAATCAGATCGAAAACTTGAAAGTGTGAGTAATATTTTACCATGGAAAATGCAGGATATAGAGAAAGAAATAAGGGACTTGAAGGAATCAGTGAACACAAGAGGAAGACTCGTTGCTACAGAGTTCCTGAAACAGTTCATGTAAAACAGCAGTTGAGGTATTATAATGTAAACCACTCATTGTATCAATCAGTCATTATTTGGTTAAATTCCATCTACACTCAGACATTCACTTCTTTTTGGTACTTCCACTGTTCTTCTTACACAACCCGATGTCCCAAACCATCGGCTTGGTCATTGTACTGTATGTAACTCAAATACTTCTAAAAAATGGTGTGTTGATCATACATGTTCCAACGTACAATCCCAGAACCAAGAAATTGTTTTATTTACCACAAGAGGACCAACAAACTGTTAACTTTAGATACTTCCCTATGGCTAGATCATCAGCAAAACTCAAGTGCCCTATGAGAAAAGCAAACGTCGTCGTTTTCTTCTGGTTTTCACCATAAACCCAAAAATAGATGTTACTGGGCTGAGCCCATTATAATCGGGAGAATTAATAATTTAAATGTTTAATACTTTAATTGATAATTATGAAACGACGCCGTATTACACAGGTTCCTGAAGAGAAAGTCTAAAAACACAGTCGTATCTCTTTTCCGGCGTCTCCATCGCCGTCTTCTTCTTCTCAATCTCGCTGTCTAATTTCGTTCGGCTTCGACCTCGTGAGCTACTTCTGAGTCCGGCCATCACGCAGCTCCAGGTTAGTATTGATTAAACTCAGAACAACAATACGGTGAATGAGTCGGTGTGTTGTACCTTGAATGGTACTGATAACTATGGTTTTAGGGCTCTTTCATCTGAGGAACCGATTGAAAATTTCTAGGATTTAAGGGATCTTTCATACGAGGAAACGAAAAATTGTTGATTTTTATGGATTCTTTGTCATCTCACACTAGTGTGCACTGTGCAGGTCATTTAAAAACTTTGAATTTATGCAAATTTTGGGTGATTGGCATGGTTAATGGATTCCTCTCAATCTATGTTCTGTAACACAAAATTTAACAAATTTGCATGATTCAGTCAGAAAGATGTGAAATTACTGGTTACATGTAGTAGCTGCTAGTCTTGGGTTTTGTGGTTAGGTTTCAACTGTTGATTTTTCTCCTTGCAGTCATTTGCTTTGTGATTTATACAAAGATGACAACAATTGAAACCAATCAGAAAACTCAAAAGTCTTCTCCTTCCGGTTCTGCTGCTACTGCTACCGCTACTCCCAAGCAGCCATCAGCGTCGTTTAAAAGGTGGGGAAGAAGACACCCATTTGTAAGATATGGAATTCCGATGATATCTCTCACAGTATTTGGAGCACTCGGACTTGGCCAACTCCTTCAAGGCAGGTCAGTTCTTTCTTGATTTAAACTTAGCTTTTGAATATATAAGTGAAATGTTCTAGGGGATATAATATCAATATATCTGTTTAGGATTTTTCAATCTGTGTAGAATATGTTTTATTTGGTTAGTTCAGTAAGGATATCGCAAAGGTAAAAGATGACCAAGAATGGGAGATTATAGAGACAAGAAAGGCCCTTTCGAGAACAGGACCTGTTGATGCTTATAAACCTAAAAACACATCCATCGAAGAAGAGCTCAAGGTATCATGATTTAACTAACGCGTAGACTGCAAAAAAAGCATTGATGAAACACTAAAATCTTGACTGGGCTGTTGTATTCCGCAGGCTATGCAAGAGAAGGTGGACATAAACTCGTACGAGTACAAGAAAATTCCAAAGCTAAACGAAAGCCAGTCTGATTAATCGAAGTCAGTCCTTGTATCAGAATTTTGCCTTCTTAGATGTGTTCAGTTTCAAATGACTCTTCACATAACATAAGCGCCCAAGTAAAAAAAAATACAGTGCAGTAGGTTTTGGCCTTGCTAAACCAAGAACAAAAGATGAGGCATAGGGCTATTTCTTCATTATACATCACTTGATTGTCTTTTATAAAATTAGTGTTTGGTAATCCAATAATCATAAGATGCTTTCTTTCGATTCAATCCATTGTTTTAGTATTTGTTGTAATCATGAATCTCTATGTATACATATAATATAAGGATACGTGTGTCAATTTCCGAATTCGATGAATCTGAATACAATTTCGAGTTTTGTAAGACAGGACAATGAACTCCTTAGTTTAATAACTTTAACTTGTTATGATGACTCTTGAGGTTTTGGTTGGACCACCGCCTTATCCATACCTCTTTGTTTTTATTGATTTTGCCAACTATCTCTATTCATCATTTACTAGTCAGGAGCCATACTTGAAAACCTAAATGTGTTGCCTCTTTAAATGGCCACACATTCAAACAAAAAAAAACCCACCGATCATGAATGGAATATTAAATTGCTCTAGTTAATACTTAAAAACATTTTCGAAACCAACCTACAATGTATCCAATGGCCTCTCAAAATCTAGATCAAAGGGTTTCAGTTTTAATGCGTGTAGTATTAATGTTTTATTTTTATGTTAGACTTGAAAAATCTATATAACTACATGTCTACACAATAGTGTAAAACATTAGTAAAGAAAAAGAAAAAGTAGATAGAAATGTTTGATTAATTAAGGCAGTGCCAAACTCACTTTATGTGTTGTTCTTATTAGGTAAACGTACAAAATCATAACAGAAGACACTAAACTTCTATACAACCCTAAACAATACTATGTTATCCCAAACAAATGAGTAATTGGAAAGTGGAATATAGTCATTTGCATGGGGATGGGAATGCCATGCCATGCCGGCTGGAACAGATAGAGATCGATGAGTTCCGTTAGGTCACAGTCACACCACACGTGAAGGAGGTACGAGGCAAGTGACAAATCTGAGAGACAAGAGATAACACAAAGTCTACAGAAGAAGAAGAAGAAAGAGAGTGGCCATCTCCATGCCAGCTTGTCACTCACCATTCCTATTCTTTCCTCTTTTTTTGGCTACATAAATTCTCATTTCCAAGACTAGAAACAAAATCATACATTGGTGTCATACAAGAACAGGAGAGAACATTTTATTGTTACTTTGTTAGATGGGTTACCTTATTTTTAGTACTATATATTTAAGATAGTTAAACTAATTCAATCATTGCAAAATCACTTTAAAAACCACCATATTGGTCGTAAGAATTACTCGTTAATTTTTTTCACCTATATAAAAAGATAAAGAAATATATATAAACTATGATATAGTATTTGAAAGGCATGGGGAAGTAGTTCTACCAATCGTAATGATTCTTAATCCTTTATAATTCTCCATAAACTTTTGTCCTGCCTTTGTTACTAAATTATTATATACATACACAAAAAAAATAAACAATCTCTAATAAAATGATGAAATGCATAATATATACATGGTGAATGATGGATTCTATTATGTTTATCAACTTTCTATCCTCAATCTGAAAAATATTTTAATGAGTTTGAACTAATTTATTCTTTCAATGTAGTAGATTAGAATTCTATTATAAGAAGAACCTCAAAAAAAAGGTAAGGAGGCTCGAGGTATGATGATGATGGGTGAAGCAGAAGAGCTGGCAACAGCTCTCAACTGAGTGTAGTGTACACTCTCTCACACACTTCTTTTGTTCTCTTTCTTTTGGACAGCTTTATCATTATTTTCTCTTTTCTTTTTTTCACTCATATTATCAAAATAAGCCTCATGAGAGAATAAAGCAAATATATGTATACCAATGATGGGGCTTCTCAATAATGCAAATAAAAATGGAGTATATGAAATTTTCAAGATTTTAAAAAACAGCTGTAGTTAAGGTTAGCTTCTCATTCCCAAGGCTTCTCAAGCTATATATATAAATACAGCTATCCCCTTCTTAAACCCATCTCACACCAAAACATAAACAGCTCTCATCTTCTTTAGTTTTCAAATTTTGTTAAACACCTTTCATTTGTAACACTCAAACTGACTCAAATGGGTCGAAACTCAAGCCTCACCACTTTAGTGGCGACTGTTCTGTTGGTGACAATGGTCGGTTCGGCTTACTCAGGCAACTTCTTTGATGAGTTTGACCTTACGTGGGGTGACCACAGGGGTAAAATCTTTAACGGTGGAAATATGTTGTCTTTGTCACTAGACCGGGTTTCCGGGTCGGGTTTCAAATCCAAGAAAGAGTATTTGTTCGGACGGATCGACATGCAGCTCAAACTCGTCGCTGGGAACTCTGCAGGCACCGTTACTGCTTACTACGTAACGTTCTTAAACTCGCATTTTACTCAAAATGTTACTAAAACATGAAGAGACTGATCTTTGGTAAAAATTTGTATGAAACTTTTTGCAGTTGTCGTCACAAGGGGCAGCACATGATGAGATAGACTTTGAGTTTCTTGGGAACGAGACAGGGAAGCCTTATGTTCTTCACACCAATGTCTTTGCTCTAGGGAAAGGAAACAGAGAGCAACAGTTTTATCTCTGGTTCGATCCAACCAAGAACTTTCACACTTACTCCATTGTCTGGAGACCCCAACACATCATGTAAAGCTCTTTTGACCTCTCCCTCTGCTTCAACGCTAATTGAAAATGAAGATCTTGTCTTAACTTTGTTCTTGTCAATGCAGATTCTTGGTGGACAATTTACCCATTAGAGTGTTCAACAATGCAGAGAAGCTAGGTGTTCCTTTCCCAAAGAGCCAACCCATGAGGATCTACTCGAGCCTGTGGAATGCAGATGACTGGGCCACTAGAGGTGGGTTGGTCAAGACTGACTGGTCCAAGGCTCCTTTTACAGCTTACTACAGAGGATTCAAGGCTGCGGCTTGCACCGTCTCTTCTGGATGCGACCCTAAATTCAAGAGTTCTTTTGGTGATGGTAAATTGCAAGTAGCGAACGAGCTCAATGCTTATGGCAGGAGGAGACTCAGATGGGTTCAGAAGTACTTCATGATCTATAATTATTGCTCTGACCTCAAAAGGTTCCCTCGTGGATTCCCTCCAGAATGCAAGAGGTCCAGAGTCTGATGTTTGATGTGATTCCCTCCATGATTCTCTACTTGTTTGATTGCAATTCTTAGATTGGTTTCTTTATCTGTTATTCCATTGTACATTCTCAAGTTCAAATAAAGCTCTTATCAGCTACTTTCAAAATATAAGCATCTGAATCCATAATTAGTCATGACTAGTGTTCCTTTCACAGGAACTGTCACAGTTCTAAACTCTAATAAGGCAAGATTACTGTGGATCAGATAACAACAACAGTTTGATATGCTTGAGAAAAAACAAAGAAAGAGACTACTAATGTTGAACAACAAGACAACTGTGGAGACACAACAATCAACAAGTCTAATGCTTAGATGCTAGTTACCTCTAAGGTTTGTGCTTTGGAGATAAATTGTTAGGTTCATATGATCTAGGAGCCGTTTTAATTCTTTGACCTACAAGTTCCTTCCTAGATGAACAAGCTCTAGGCGTAAACAAGTCAAACACGCTTTAAGCTATATACAGCTTCACTAAATAACACTAACAGCTAAACTGGCTAACAAAAGTTTGAGTTTCCTGTTCGTACTCCGGATCAGAAAGTGACGCCTCAACATTGTTAGAGCATGTATTCAAATCTTTAGCTTCATTTGCTGCCCCTTTATTCTCAGTGGCTGGAGCATTTGTTTCAATATTCTTCTGAGGATCTATATGTTTACTGGTTTCAGCCGTCCCTAGAAGAACAATTAAAGACAAAGAACAATCATTTCCTAAGTCTACCATCTACACACAGATACACTATATACAATTCACCTAGCCACAGAAGACAGTAAGGACTAACTGTACCAATGTGACAACTATTACTGACATCAAAAATACCATGCGCAGAACATGAATATAAAGAGACTTACCAGGATTATCCTCTGAGCTATCTCTGAGATATGAAAGCATTCTTTTGTAATTCACAGAACCTGGCACTTTAAATAGCCTACGCTTGGAGCACAACTGCTTCATGTCAAAAACAGGGAAAATGTTAAAAGACAGATGGAAGAACCAAACCAGCCGGACGAAATCAAAACATTCAACGCAACAAGACTGAAAGATCATACAGGAGGTTTGGTGGCACTAGATGAAGTCATCTTCTCCAAAGGACTAATGTTTCCATCTAATTTTTGTGCTGATGGTTTAACAAAGCTATTGGGAGATAGCAAAACAGTCCCGGTTGGATCTTTTGCATCAGCAGCATCTCTAGTATCATCAGCAGTTTCCTTCAAGTAAGGAAGCAGTCTCCTATAGCTCACAGAACCAAGGTTCTTGAAAATCTTTTCCGGATGACGAATCTATCACAGTGAATAAGCAACCAGTGAAAAGCCAACATTGCAGTTTAAACATATCCTTTGCTTATAAACCTATCCAGAACACATACAAGTTTGCTGCTGAGCTTGGTACCAACCTTTTTCACAGAGAATCCATCAATGTCTTGGCGGATAGAACCAGCTACACTAGTGAACTTATCTGAATCCGGTGGCGTCGTTTGTGAACATTCCCCTACTTCTATATCACTGATTCCTATTCCCGCAACTGTTTCACCATTAAAAACCATTGTGGAATCAGATCGTCTCTAAACACATCCTAAACTATTGAGAATTTTGAGTCTGCTTAGACGAAAAAAAGAGCTTAAAAAACAGAAATTACCGTTCGAATTCGGAGTATCGCAAGGAGATTCCACATTTAGCTCCTTCGTTTGATTTTGCCCTTTCATGAGACAGTCCCAATCGCTAGGGCTCGAACTTTGGGATGATACGCGCCTGAGACACAGATTCCTCACCGTGACACGATGACACGCTCGAGGATGTTTGGTAACAATTTTATCGCTGAGAGGCGACGCATGATCCGTGAGAAATTTGTTTCCGATGTGAGACAGAGCTGATTCAAATCGAACGGTGGAGCGGTTGCTGTGATTCCGTAATCTGCTTGCCATAAGGTTCTTAGATGTCGCATCTCGAACTGAAGAAGAAGAAGAAAATCGCATTCTCTTCGCTAAGGTGTAATCTGATGATTCCGCCATGGAAGAGCTAACGCCAAAAGCAGCTACAGAGTCAGAGAGAGAGAGAGAAGAGAGAGTTGTTTTCGCGGGAACATACCTGTTTGGCGCGAAACTTTTGGCTTAGTGGATCAACACCACAAGAGCTTTATTGGGCTCGGCCCATTTTTAGTACGGTTTAAATTTGGTTATGATCGGTTAAAGTAAACCGTGTTGAGGAGGTTTATAAAACTTGTGTGAATGAATCTGAGAGAATTTATTTTTTTCCCCTAAGAGTGTTTTAGAAAGAAGGATCGTCATCTTCGCCAAAGCTTCGAGAGCAGTGCAATCGAAACCCAGCCATGGATCTCTCATCTGTTAAGGAAGCTCTAGCTGAAAAATCCTTTGATAAAATCGCCGATGTTTGTGATAATTTGATGCTTCAGGTCACAAATTTCTCTTCGCTATTGTTGTTTCTGATGATGTTCACTAGGGTTTTGTGAAGTTTTAATAGTTTGATGTTGTAATTTATAGGTTGCTAGCAAAGGAACTGCGTTTCATGATGACTGGCCTTACGCAATTCATCTTCTGGGTTACTTCTACGTCGACGATTGGTGAGTTAATTCTTCTTCTTTGAATGTAATTAGTTCTCTGATGAAGTTAGAGAACGTTTCTTTGAATTCTTGTGGATTTTAGGGCTTCAGGATCGGTGTGTTTGCTTTGAAGATAACAATTTGTATCCTAGAAGATCTGTCTAGGGTCGTAAGTTCTTCTTTTTGCATTGTCTTCTTCGTATCCACTGAGATGAGAAACTTCGACACAAGTTAATAGTTGTAGACGCTCCTTTTAACAGATTTTTTAACAGATTGTTGTATGTTGTATGTTGAATATATGACCGTTTTGGAGTTGGAATTGGAGTTGGAATTGTATTTGATGTTTGTTGTGCTTGTTTGGAACTAACTGCAGTGATAGCGCTCGTTTCTTATGGAAGACAATACCTTCATCTATCAAGGAGAAGAAGCCTGAAGTTGTTGCAGCTTGGAAGATTGGTCAGAAGCTGTGGACACATGACTACGCAGGTGTACATGGAGCAATCCATGGTTATGATTGGAGTCAAGAGGCTAAAGATCTGGTTGCTGCATTCTCAGGTTATTCTTGAACTAAGCTTCTTGCCTGCTTATTACCATATAAGCATGTAAAGTTAAATTTTTTTAACTTCATATTCCTCTCTATGTTTCGAGCTTTGGTCTGCATATTGGGATTTAATAGCTGTGTTGTTATGTTAACTTCTGAGGCCTTACTTTAGGATTTGTGTCATGCACTAGGTTTCTAGCTGTGATCTGGACATTGAGATGTAATTGCTGTGTTGTTATGTTAACTTTTAAGGTCTTACTTCAGGATTTGTGTCATGCACCAAAGCCACTTGTATCTTGGCATTGAACTTATGGAACATGAATTTGAATAATAATATTGCCTAAGTATGTACCTTATCAGTTTTTGATTAAGAGGTAGCTGCTTCTTTGATCAAACTAGCACCATCCTGTTCTAGTTGTTCCTTATTGTGCATCCTTTTCTAGGCAGCACAGCTTTTATAGCATTTTTATCAATTGTTTAACCTGACTCTTAATTGCCTCTTCCCATTGGTTGATCTTTTCCATAATCCCCTAATGTTATTTATGCGTGGGATTTGTTGCAGATCTTTACACAAAAAGGATGTTTCAGCTTTTGTTGTCTGCCTACTCCACGATTACCATTCCTGAATTGGCACTTTTCCTGGGGATGACAGAGGATGATGCCACAACTTGTAAGCTTCTTTCTGCAATTTCCTTTGCTTTCAAGAGATTAACCATCTTATCCCACATTAATTCTCCGACTTCTACTGGATTCATTCTTGTATTGAAACTAATCACAAAAAGATATCTGGAAACGTCTACTTTTGAAGAATCTTGAAGAGTTTGTGGCAATGGCCTAGCTTAGTGTTTTTGTAGGCGTATACAACCATATATGTTGCGGAATCAGAATTAACAATATAATTGTTTTTGTTTTTTTTTCTGCTGGATACACACAGATGTTGTAGAGAAGGGATGGACAGTGGATGCAACTTCTCAAATGGTAACTGTGAAGAAACAAGCTGTTAAAAGAGAGCAGAAGGTGGATTCATCGAAGCTGCAACGCTTGACGGAGTATGTGTTCCACCTTGAACATTAAAACTAAGGACACAAAATCTCCTATTAAGATAGTGAATTCACAGAACAAAAATTTGTTTTTGAGAGATTTCACAATGATTGATCTAAGTTGCATTATCTTGACTCTCGAGTATATGACCAATTACTCCTACAAGATCAGTTTACACAACAAAGTTACTCAACAAACAAAAAACTAAAGATAACATTGTGATCATTTTAGCGATTAGAAGCTAGGATACTCCGACAGGATCAGTTCACACAACAAACGAAATGAAACAAGAGATGAAGCTAACATTGTGAGTCAAAAAGGACAAAGCCTAAATAGCACATGTCTTTATAACAAAAGTACGCAGAAACAAGAGAAGGTGACTTTAGTTACTACAAGCAAGGGTACTCCCAAACTTTGTTAATTATCTCTGAGATAAGGAGGTGGAGAAGGCTGTGACCAAATTAGTCGGAGAGCGCACTTGGATGAAGTTACTTCGGAAAATAGCCTCTTAAGTCCGCCTGCAACTCGACTAAGATTTCGAAAACTTGGTGGGTTGTAGTAGAAAATCATCTTTTCAAGATTCGGCATTGTCTCCAAGAAATACTTGATCTGCTTCTCCGTTCTTTCACTCAATCCACCAAATCCCCGTATCTTTATAACCTTCACCGGACTTGCTGATAAGCAACTGAGAATCTCCTCACGAGGTTTGCACAAGCACACATCTCCACATCCATCCGTGGCTTTGTGGATGAGGCCCTGAAACATAGTGAAAATATTCTCAAACATTGAAAAACGAGACAACAAATGCTATTCAAAGGTTTTGTTCCGTACTTCGAAGATAAGAGTTTCAAGTTTTGGAGAATTCCTGAGCAAGCCCGGCAATGACTGCCATCCTACTATGGGGTTACTCTCGATGGTTAACTGAGTCAGGTTGTTGAATAGCGGAATTGCACCGCAGCTGTATGTAAGAACCTGAAACAAAATCATGACAACATCACTAAATTGCAACCACTAACTCAAATTCGTAAGCATTGTTAAAAAGATTACAGGTTGTTTGTTTTCAAGTACCATAAATTTTAAAAAGACTAGAAGAAAGATGGGAACAAACCTGAAGAGTGTTGGCAGATAGATAAAGAGTCTTCACATTGCACAACCGCTTAATAAAATCTGTTGCATTACCAACCATATCATTTTCCCCATAACCCTCATGGTAATTTATCAATAACGGCTTCAACAAGCGAAGATCGATATGGGCTTCAACAAGCGAATCGATATTAACTTTTGGATACGTTCCTGCAACAGTGTCAGTAAACTTCAAGTAGACAATATTAGGAGTATCTAAAGACACACTCTTTGGAAACTCATCCCGCTCTTCCCATCGAAACGTTAGTCTCTTAAGAGTTGGGACAGACACCGAGGCGAAATCCCAAATGAACCAAGATATATCATTCAGAACTAACTCCTCAAGCATGTGACAACCAGAGAGAAGCTTGGTCAGCCCAATACCATGCTTTTCAAAATGGACACACTCAAGATGAAGTGTCTTAAGCTTTGGGAGATAAACATCTTCATCATCAAAAGTGGGAAACAACAACCCAAAATATAACTTCAGCCTAACCAGTGTCTTGCTCATGTAGACCTCTGAAGGAAGCAGAAACTCCGATTCGAAAGCCAGATGTAGATCAAGATCAAATACACAGCGTTCCAAAACATTGTGTATCCAAGGAATGACACGAACTGGATCAACACGGTCTCTGACCTTTAAAGAGAACTTATGCAGAGGAGAATTTCCTTGCAATGCCAACACTCTATCCACAAAATCCATAAAACTTGTCGAAATGTCATGCTTATTCCTAGGATTCAGATAAACAGAGTCGTCCAAATCAAGATTAGGAACATAAGCAAAGAGATATCGCCATGTTTTGGAAAGAACTGAGGTAGAAGCAGCTTCTTTAGTGGGAAGAAAGGACAAGATATGGCAAGTAATGGCTTCTGGTAAAGTACTGATTCTATCTCTTCTATGACCACTAAGTTCCATCTTTTTATTCAAGAACCTGAAAGAGGATTCCAAAGATTTCAACTTTCTTACCCTAGTCTTACACAGTCTACTAAGAATCAAACAAATATGCTATAGCTTGAGAAAAAAGATAAAGAAGAGCAGAAGATGATGGATATTGAGACTTACTTGGAGATATAAGCATAGCCCACCAAAACCACTCTGTTGTAGAAATATTAGGGTTTTTGGGCGATCGTATTTGTAGGCGAGAGTGAAGAAGAAGGAGTGAGTTTCTTTTTTTTTTTAGAGTGTCATGTCAAGTGTAAACATGATCTTTTGTAAGATTTTCTGTATAAGATATTTTGAACTCTATTTAGATAATATATTTTAGTCAGATATAGTAGCACTTTATGAAAACATTACTTGAAACCAAACCAGATGAACAAGATCATTAAACTCGTCCTTAACCACCTGATGATTTACAAACTTAGACCACGTTTAATGGTGGTTAAGAGTTTTTCTTAACAAAATGATCTTAGCCTTAAGAGGCCACTATTAAACATGGTCTTATACATTACAGCAACTGAGTGTTCTAGTGTTTGAACTGAATTTTCAGAAAACAAATTTCTAAAATTGTAAATTTGACAATAAATTTCCAACGATTTTTAGACTAGATTTCAGTCAAATAGCTGAATGAGATTGTCGGGTAACTAGTAAAATGAAAAGCTTGTAACGAGTAGTAGAAGATGATATATTCTTACGTCAAAAACAGAGTTGAAATGAATGAGAAGTAAAGGTGTGAAGTGAGCCACTTGGGATCATTAGGAAAATGTCTCACACCGAGAATGAAAAATATTTTTCACTTTTTATATATGATTGCACTCTCATCTAATTTTAGAAATGTCGAGAAAGAGAAGGTTCCCACACATGCACCGAACAAAAATGGACAGGGTGCAAGCCATCGGATTCGTGGACTCTTGCCTCGCTGAGTATTTTTTAGACTGTTGATAAGTCCTTTTTTGGTTATGATTTGGGATGCACTTGAAGTAACTTGGGATGCACTCCAAAGAATTTGCATATTACTCTAAAAATATTTTCCTAAGCCTTATCTCCTTCTACTATATAAAGAAAAGCAGATCCTCATTATTTATGAAGTTTTTAAACAGAAAGTACTGTCAATTCTGAAATTTTATCTTTGTCTTGATTCGTCCAAGTAAGTTTTAAATTTACTAGTTTTAAGAGTATATTATGAGATCTCACGCTTTTGTAAGGATGAGACAAATAATATACTTCTTTCGAAATTCCAAAGCTTTTACACACCGGAAAAAAAAAACTGAATTATCAAAATTTGAAATGAATTTAACAACTAAGACCAGCATTAGTGGGAGGATGCTATGGGGTGCTTAATATTTAAGTGGGCCAAGAATGATTGAAAAACAAAAAAGAAAGCCCCTTAAAAAAAGAGAATCGATGTTTCTTCACACATCGGAAGAATCCCATAAGTACCGCCACGTGGCGCAATCTATTATTAATTTATTTTAAAGTATCCCACAGTACTCTACTAATGATGGTTTAAACAAACCTAAAATAGAATTTTCTTATTGATCTAAACAAACCTAAAATAGAATTTTCTGATTGATCTTATCATACTTTTCTCTATCCTACCTCCTCTCTTATCTCTGGCTTTCCCTATTACACAAAGTCACGAAAAGTAATTAACAAACTCAATTCTCCAATTATTAATAGTCTCGTACTATAAATCGTATATCTTTTCAAAATGTACCAAAAGTCCCAAGATTCCCAATAAGATAATATAATTAATTAGATACAAAAACATTAGTTGAAATAAAACCAAATAAACAAGATCATCAAACTCATCCTTAACCAAATGTTTACATACTTGCATTAACTAAATGTTCCAAGTTATTTTGTTTTGTAGTATCATCTTTTATTAAGTCACGTTGTCTCATGTGATTGGGCATTAATTGACAAAAATTCAATCAAAGATATAATCTGACTGGTTTACAAAAAAAAAAAAGATATAATCTGACTAAGTAGAGTTGTGATAACCATGGTGGTTGGGTGTGGAGGGTGAGAAGTTATAAACAAACTGATCCAATTCTTTTCTTACTTGTCGCTGTTACTCGTCGGTAGCCACAAAGACTTTTCTCATCCACCGGTCTTGCAAGAGTCAGACAAGACAAGACTGTGTAAAGATGGTCAATTAGCTAAAATCTTATACTGTATTTGTCTAAACCATGGTTAACTTCACATAATTATTACTTTATGTTGTAATTACTTAAGCGATCTATAAAATGTGTTCCTTTGTTTCAAACTTGAGAACACAATCTCAAAACACTAAAAAATGGCAACGTCCGGTAATAATCGCCGTCCTCCTCCTCACTACTTGCTAGTAACTTTCCCGGCGCAAGGTCACATAAACCCGGCGCTCCAACTAGCCAACCGCCTCATCCACCACGGCGCGACAGTCACATACTCCACAGCCATCTCAGCTCACCGTCGTATGGGCGAACCACCTTCCACAAAAGGCCTATCATTCGCGTGGTTCACCGACGGATTCGACGACGGTCTCAAGTCCTTCGAAGACCAGAAGATCTACACGTCAGAACTCAAACGTTGCGGTTCAAACGCACTGAGAGACATCATCAGAGCCAATCTTGACTCCAAAACAGAACCAATCACCGGCGTAATCTACTCTGTTCTCGTCCCGTGGGTTTCCTCGGTAGCGCGTGAGTTTCACCTCCCGACTACACTTCTCTGGATCGAACCAGCTACTGTACTAGACATCTACTACTACTACTTCAACACATCTTTCAAACACCTCTTCGACGTTAACCCGATCAAACTACCAAAACTGCCACTCATCACCACCGAAGACCTCCCGTCGTTTCTACAACCCTTCAAGGCGATACCATCCGCTCTTGTAACACTAAAAGAACACGTCGAAGCTCTCGAGTCAGAATCAAACCCTAAGATTCTTGTGAACACGTTCTCTGCTTTAGAACACGATGCTTTAACCTCCGTTGAGAAACTCAACATGATTCCCATAGGACCTTTAGTTTCCTCCTCCTCGGACGGTAAAACCGATCTTTTCAAATCTTCCGACGTGGATTACACGAAATGGCTTGACTCAAAGCTCGAAAACTCCGTGATTTACATATCTTTGGGAACACACGCCGATGATTTACCGGAGAAACACATGGAGGCGCTTACTCACGGCGTGTTAGCCACTAACCGACCGTATTTATGGATCGTGAGGGAGAAAAATCCAGAAGAGAAGAAGAAGAATCGGTTTCTTGAATTGATCAGAGGAGAGGGACGAGGCTTGGTGGTGGGATGGTGTTCTCAGACGGCGGTTTTAGGGCATCGTTCAGTGGGGTGTTTTGTGACTCATTGCGGTTGGAACTCGACGTTGGAGAGTTTAGAGAGCGGTGTTCCGGTGGTTGCGTTTCCGCAGTTTGCTGATCAGTGTACGACGGCGAAGCTTGTGGAGGACACGTGGAGGATTGGAGTGAAAGTGAAGGTTGGGGAGGATGGAGAGGTGGATGGAGAGGAGGTGAGACGGTGTTTGGAGAAAGTGATGGGTGACGGAGAAGAGGCGGAGGAGATGAGAGAGAGTGCGGCGAAGTGGAAGAAGCTGATGGTTGATGCGGCTGTTGAAGGTGGACCGTCGGATTTAAATCTTAAAGGTTTTGTGGAAGAGGATGTTTCTTAATTTTAGGTTTGAAACTTTAAATAAAGGAGAGACCAAGATTTGTGGTGTGTTATTACAAAGTTCTGTGGTTAAGAAACATAATTTTGTGGGTGTATTATTATAAATAAAATCTATGAGAGAGTTAATTGTATGAATTAATTCCATTTCTGTTTTTATTTTTTCCTCCATAACTATGTTTTTAGCCCACTGTGGTTGTATCTTGATTATAAGAAAGAAATTAACATATTAGTTGTAAATATATGAAAGACTGTAATTTTTCTATATAAAAACAATGTAGTACCTAGATTCGGTTTTGCTATATCCAAAATCAGAATATCAAATGTGGAATTATTTTAACATATGAATATTGGAGATTTAGAATTCGGAGAATCTTTTTAATAATAAAAAAAGGAGTACAAAATTGAAAATCATATGACACTTACAATACCAATTTAGATTTAAGATTTTGATTAACACATGCTTATTGTTCTAACTAGGGGTACGGGCACTTAATTTGCAGGAATTAAGACTAACACATAAGTTACTAAGAAATAAATAAATCATAGAGAAGTATATAACATGTAAGCAAAACATAAGCAAAATAAAAGCAAAAAGATAAACAAGTTAGGGTGTGTTGGATAAGTAGTACATTTTTGAAACTTAATTAGAATACTAGTACAATCACTATTTACAATTAGCAAACTAGTACATTATCACTATTTGGTACTATTTCATTGACATTTAAACACCCAGAAAAACAAAATATTTACGAGTATGCCACTGTATTAATTATATAGTATAATTCGTACAACATATCTTATGTACAGATGTGCAAAAAAAATATTTTTGTACAATAATAAAAGTACTACATAATATCATCCGTACAGAATATTAGTGTACAAATGTATATAAATATGCATATTTCGTTATACTATAATAGTTTATACGAATAAAATATGTAATTTTTTATACATTCGTACATTTAGTAAGCTGTACGAGTACGTCTGTACATTTAATCAGATGTACAGATACGTCTGTACGTATACTAAACTGTACGATAAAGTATGTACACATACTAAACTGTACAAATAAATATGTATATATGAAAAACATTTAAAATTTATAATGCAAAATGTATATCAAATTATAGAGAAAAACATATAGATTTTTATGTATCAAAAATATTTTAAAAAAGAATTTTACAAAACCTAGTATTTTAATTATAAGATTTTGGGGTAGTGATATTAAAAGAAAAAAGAAAACAAAAATGAAAAAATAAATGAAAATCAGGAAAAAAAAATTTTACCCTCCTATGTCTTTTTTTTTCTTCTACTTTCTCCTATCTCACATATTTTCTATCTCTAAGCTAGGTCTCATGTACTACTTTACCAATTATAAATAGTATATGTATTAGTTTTCTAATTATATTTTGAAAATGTACTAAATTTCCTATTAATCCAACAAGTTATAAGCAAAACCAAACTTGAAAAATAAAACTATGCAGTCGTAACTATAAATATATTGCTGAAACTGTATGGAAGAAAAGCGACAATAAGTATGTGGAACTCAACAGTAGGAACAAAAGATGAGTTCAGCTTGTCACAAATCTGGATGACTTCAGGATCATATGAGACTAATGATCTTAAGTTGTGTGGCATGTAGTTCAAAGTTAATGATTTTGTTTTTTAAAGAAAATATGCACAAAGTTAGTAGTGCCTAATACATTTTAACTATCTAAAATTTTCATTTTTTTTGGTTTAACCAGCTTTAAATCCGGACATAAGTCAAAATTATTCATGTATAGGAATGTAAGTAGCTAAATATTGGCTGACAAAAAAAGAAGAAGTAAATATTGGTTTACGAAATATTTATTTAGTTCATTAGTATGAAGTATTCTAGTTTCTATACAAACTCATAATTATAACATAAGGTTTTCTTTTGTTATACAATGTTATAGAGGAAAATATTTGGAGAAAATTATATTTTCGTGGATAAAAGTTTGAAAAGTCAATGATTTAAAATTAGATAATCTGATTTTTGTTTAATTTACTTTTCCATATTATACGATTAATATTTTTATCTTTTGGACATGATTTTTTCTTCTTCTTTTTGTGTTCAGCAATAAATTTGACATCTTCTTTCACAATTTTTATAATTTGAGAAATGAAAATTGGCTGATAAGTCACTGTCTCATACTTTCTTAACAAAGTTACTGACTAAAACAACATTTACATATGTCTAAAATTTCGAAGTAAGAAACCAAACCAAAAAACAAATTTACTCGAACTGGAGACAAATTTTCTCAACTGAAACGAGTAAAAGAAAAGGTTTACAACGACTATACTACTGTTCATAAGTAACCGTAGTCCCCATTTATTCACTCTTTTGCTCCTCCTGATTGATCCTCTAGAAGAAAAAGAAGGTCTCTCGTTAATTAACATTACAAAGCAGCCTTTTCTTTGTATCCTCTAAATTCTCTCAAAGCTCCCTTTGTAGATGAACTCTTCTTCTCCTTGTCGAAACAATAGACCGGTGCTTGCCACTTCTCATCCTCTAGGACCGCACCGACCTCATATGTCATTATATGAGCCTCTCTCCCTGCAACAAGTTTTCTCCTCATTTCAGATGAACTTTGCTAGAAATAAAACAGATATTTCATGCTAAGTAGAGAATGTCATGGCGAGCTTAACCTGTATAGAAGATCCATTGGACGGGTCTCTTGGTTGCAACATCCTCATAGTACCATATAAAGTCTACTTTCTCCCATACATTACAGAGAAACCCACTAACATTTCTTTGACCTAGATACTTGGCTCCATCTAGCCAGTTTGGTCGCAGGATTCCAACCTTTTGTGACATAAAATTCCAAACATATTCAGAAACTTACTATATACAAAGCATTACATGTTCATACAGGATTATTGTATCTTAACTGACTATGTATCAAAACCAAAACAACCATATCTTAGTTTAAACTCACGCAGCACCATCATCTCCCGATTCTACAGGTTTCTACTCTACCTAAGTCATTTATACCAAGAAACACGGTTCTACAACACACTACAACTACTACTACTACCACCAAATTTTAGTCTCCTGATCTTGGTTAACGATTTTGCAGAGTATTATCACAGTCACAAGAATGATTTGTTAACTTAAGATGAGATGAGGGTTTATGAGACACAGCACAAAGAGTTATTGGCAACAATCATAATTATACAGCACACTGCTACTATACTTAACAAGGAAATGCCACAAATACTGGAACATTGAAGTAAATAATGAACAAGTACTGGAGAAGTAGTATGAACAAGAAACAACTTCAAACTAAATCTGCAGAGAGCTCCATTTTGATTCAATCACCTGATTTAAGCTAAACATAGAACTCTCCCCTCAGGAGACTTCAATTGAAAAAAGTCAAACCTCACAACACCCATTTCCCCAGTAAAATCACACAAACCAAGAACAGAATTGACCAAATCCGTCGCCCCAAATTCGAATTTGTTCCTATTCTGAGATCTGTGACAGAGTCGTAAACTAAGAAAACACACAAACCTCGAGCTGAGCTGAGCGGCACGATCTTGACTCGTCGAGAGTGTAGAGGAAGGAGGTACCATTGTTCCATTCAAGGTCGTAGGTAATGCCACCGAGCTGCTCCTGGATGATATTGAAGTTACGACCGTTGGTCCAGTCGTACCAAAGGTCAATCATCGAGAGATCTCCGGAGTAATTCATAAACATTAACGCGTGGAACTGGTGTGGCCATGGCATCGGAACCGGGTCATCCGCGGTGGCGATTTTAACGCCGGCGGTTAAAGCGATGAAAAGGACGATTAGTATCAGTGGTCGTCTAAAAGCCATGTGTGTGTATCAGGGTTTCGGTTGATGTGCTCAGGATAATTTCCTTATTTTTGTTAAATACTACTCTATATACTTTATATTTAAATAATTTTTTACTGATGTTAAATTTTTATCTTAAAAAGCATGCAGGAGTACGGTTTAAACGTAGTAGTTGCGGTTGCAGTTACAAAAATTTACGGAGTAGTTAGAGTTTCAAACGCTATTTTAAATTATACAATTTGCAATTAAACATACTATATATATACTATAAAATTATTTATGACTGTTCGATCGTTAAAACAAAAAAATTGTCAAAAATATATATCATTATAACGGATTTAAAAATAACAAAGACTATAATTATTGAGATTTTGTAGTAATGAAGAATCATATAAATAGTTACTAACTAAGTATTCAACAATTTTCAGTTTGAATAATTAAAATTAAAGAATGATTAGTGTTTGAGAATTATGTGAATATATATAGAGTTTAAAACTATATTTTTCATTTGTTGATTTTTTTTTTATTGAATCATCAGTTTATGTTCTCAATCGCAAATGCTTTTGAAATTTAACAAATGTCTATAAACGTAAAATTTGAGGGTGGTTGTAGGAGAACCAATCAAGTTCTAAACTCTAAACTATACGCGATAAGTTCATTAGTCTTCTGTCTCCCCAACTCAAGATCTTTATTGATACATTATCTCAATCTACAATTACCAATATGGATTTTGTATAACATTCTCAATTTGAAAATTTCCTTATATGTATTTTGTTGTACAAAATTCAATTCTCAATTTTGGGGGAAAGAGTTATTGGTTCAATTTGAACCATCCAACCAACAATCTTTTAAAAACCATAGCACAAAAGAACTATGAGAGTTTCAAAAGAAAATCAAAAAGCCTCCCAAACTTAAAAAAAAAAAAAAGCTTTTCTTGCATGACTCAATTATAAACCTACACCATATTCCTACTTAAACACCTCATCCTCCAATTCCACACCCATTCCATCCTCAAAAGTCACAATATAATCTGATCATCACCAAACACATTGCAAACCAAACACAAAGACATGACTCTTCTTGCTTTCTTCCTCTTCACCCTCCTTGTCTTTTCAGGTTAACTCGATCAACATCTCCGTTTTATGTACAATGTTTTCTTGTAATTAACTCATCTTCTCCATTTTTCTTGGTTTAACAGGTTCATATTGCTCCGCGACTCCGTTCCAAAAGCACAGGTACAGACAGAGGAAAACAATGCTAGATTTAGCCAGCAAGATTGGTATCAACTACGGAAGACAAGGTAACAACCTCCCATCTCCATACCAATCCATCAACTTCATCAAATCCATCAAAGCTGGTCATGTCAAGCTCTACGACGCTGATCCAGAGAGTCTCACACTCCTCTCTCAAACCAATCTTTACGTTACCATAACCGTCCCTAACCACCAAATCACATCACTCAGCTCCAACCAAACCATAGCTGACGAATGGGTCAGAACCAATATCATCCCTTACTATCCACAAACACAAATCCGCTTTGTCCTCGTCGGACACGAGATCCTCAGCTATAACTACGGGAACGTTTCGGCGAATCTTGTACCAGCCATGCGCAAAATCGTGAACTCTCTTAGATTTCATGGTATTCACAACATCAAAGTCGGGACACCTCTCGCCATGGACTCTCTCCGATCGTCGTTTCCTCCTTCTAACGGAACGTTCCGGGAAGAAGTCGCCGGACCGGTGATATTACCGTTGCTGAAGTTTCTCAACGGAACAAACTCTTACTTCTTTATTAATGTTCATCCTTACTTCCGCTGGTCAAGAAACCCCATGAACACAAGTTTGGATTATGCTCTGTTCCAAGGTAACTCAACTTATACCGACCCTCATACCGGTTTGGTTTACCGTAATCTTCTAGACCAAATGTTGGATTCGGTTCTCTTCGCCATGACCAAGCTCGGTTACCCACACATCCGCCTCGCAATCTCCGAAACCGGATGGCCTAATTCAGGTGACATAGACGAAACCGGAGCCAACATTCTCAACGCTGCAACATATAACCGGAATCTGATCAAGAAGATGACCGCAAGTCCACCAATCGGTACACCATCTAGACCCGGTTTACCAATACCGACATTTGTTTTCTCCTTGTTCAACGAAAACCAGAAATCCGGTTCTGGAACACAGAGACACTGGGGAATCTTGCATCCCGACGGTATACCAATCTACGACATAGATTTCACCGGTCAAAAACCGTTAACCGGTTTCAACCCTTTGCCTAAACCGACGAACAACGTTCCATACAAAGGTCAGGTTTGGTGCGTACCGGTCGATGGAGCCAACGTGTCTGAGCTTGAGGAAACTCTAAGGACTACTTGTAGCCGAAGCAACACCACTTGTGCGGCTTTGGCTCCTGGAAGAGAATGCTACGAACCGGTCTCTGTTTATTGGCACGCAAGCTACGCAATAAGCTCGTACTGGGCTCAGTTCCGTAACCAAAACGTTCAATGTTACTTCAATGGACTGGCTCATGAGACCACGACAAACCCTGGTAACCTTCGGACCAAAATAACCTTTAGTATAGTCACGGTTCACGTGACAGAGTAAGGGTATTTATGGAATGTGAATATTTTCTTTTTACAGGCAATGATCGTTGCAAGTTTCCGAGCGTTACGCTGTGAGGACTGATCGAGGAAGAAGACTGATTAAAGCTGGATTATTCGTATTTACTTATATTGTTCTTTTATCTTTATTGTACCTTTTATGCTTCATGCTGAGAAAAAAAAAATCAAATAATTAATAAATAGTAGTATTAATTTTTTCCCTTACAAAGGTTAAAAAAAAGAAGAAGATCATATTCTGTATCATTATAGGAGATGTACTTTACTCTAAAGCTGCAACTAATCCAGAACTTTAACTAAAACTCTGTAACGTAAAACAAAAAATCAAACTAGGCGAAGAACTAATGTAATTAACATGGTTGGATTGGATTCATCATCACCAAACAATTCGTTAAGTATTTAAATAAACGTCGCATAATTCATGTGATTTACATTAGATATTAACAATAAAGTTTTCATACGAGGTAATAATGAAATTAAATTTGGTAGAAATATAATAAATTTATAAAAAAACCTCGTCCGTTGGAAAAAAGGCCATGGTTTAAGGATTTCGTCATTACAAGTGAAGAACGTAATCACGACAAGGACATGGTTTGCGTCACTTTTGTATCTTACTAGTCGTTTCGAGATCTCACTTTCTCTCTGTGTTCCATGTCCTTTTTAAGGTCCCCTTCTTCATATTCATCTTATCTCCAAATGCAACTTCATCTGAAACCTGATCATTCCTTCTTCATCGCATCTTCTTCAATGGTGGCGTCGACGACATCGTTGGGACCTTCTACGCTGCTTTCTTACGCTTCTTCTTCTCGTCAATTTCCTGATTTTGGGTTCCGATTGATCTTGGGTCACGACGGTGTTCGAGTTCCCTCGTTCCGGCGATTTAGGATTCACTGCGAGTCTAAGGCGAGTTCAATTTTTTCCTTTTTCCTCTGTTTTGTGTTATTATAACAATTTTATTCGTGCTTTTGGGTTTTTGGATAATGTTTCTTCACTTTAATTTCGGAAGTAATCATTATTGGTTTAGACAAGTTATCAAAATTGAATCTTTTTTCATGTTCGATGTAAAGTTTGTAGCTTTATGTTGATTCTTTGGGACCCAACTGTCCTGTAGATGAAACAAGATCTTAAATTTTGAATCTTTGATAGATGTTCTGTGAATTCGAAATGATCTTGCTCACTAACCTCAACAAGGAGTTTGATTCTCAATTCTTTTCAGATATGTGTTTACTCAGTAAGGTTTGTATCTACTCCTGTAACATAAATTTTGGTATGTATGATTCAGGCAAAAGAAGTGAGACCGTCTTCGCTAGTCATTGAAAGCTCGTTATTGTCTAATGAATGGAAGGCTGTTCCTGATATTTGGAGGTCATCTGCAGAAAAGTATGGTGATAGAGTTGCATTGGTGGATCCTTATCATGATCCTCCTTTGAAACTAACGTACAAGCAGGTAAGAATCAATTGATGCTTTTTTTTCTAATGGTTTTAGTTGGGTATTCTCATTGGTGTAGTTATGTTTTAGGATCCTAGAACCAATATTGTTTCAGTTAGTCTTCAACTGGTTATAGCAAATTTGTTGCTGTCTTTTTATGTGAGAGGTGGAGAATTTGAAATTTCTAGTGATTCAGATATTAATGTTTTGTTAGAAACGGAAGCCTTCATCTTATTTACTTAACTTTTAGTTGGAACAAGAAATTTTGGACTTTGCTGAGGGATTAAGAGTTGTTGGAGTGAAAGCAGATGAGAAGATTGGACTTTTTGCTGATAACTCCTGCAGATGGCTTGTTTCAGATCAAGGTATGTGGTTGATAAACTAGAATAAAGTGTGGAAATGAGTCTGTTACTCATGAATCAATAGGAAGAGCATAAAGCATTAGGGGATTGATTTCATTAATATTTGCATCTCTAAGCTGTGTTTGCCTTACATAGTAACTATTAAACAACAATCCTTTCGAGCTAAGTTTGATATGTTTCTGCTCTTTACATTTTCTTCCCTCTAAATTTCTAGTTCGTCAAACATCCAATCACCTTATGAATACCCTTCCTCTCTGTTCTGTTGATGTTCTAAACGGATAGAATTTCCATCTGTAGTGCTTGCATAATTTTTCCTGACCGGCAACTAAATAGTAATTTCCTATGGTTGAAATAGCAGATCTAAAGAAGTAAGTCTTTTAGCAATTTTTTACGTGGTAGTCTCTCATTTGATGATAACCTCAGGGAGTAGCTTTGCGTAGGTATTTTAAATGCACTTCTTGGTGCAAATAGTTCTTATATATATTGCTCTTTCATTTCTCCTTCTCTCGCGCAGTTATCTGTTTCTTTATGTTCGGTTTATTACTTTATGCCAGGTATAATGGCCACAGGAGCAGTCAATGTTGTCAGAGGATCTAGGTCCTCTGTTGAAGAGTTACTGCAAATATACCGTCATTCTGAAAGGTGTGCCAATACTTCGTCTTTTTGTTGTTGTTTGACATAATTATCATAGCTATTATTGAGAAGTTAATAGTTGGCATTATTAGAAACACTATGGACTTCATCAGTTATACTGAACTCATTTTGTACCTTTTGCTTCATCATCTTGGTAGTTTGTTTTTCATGCATCAGTTTTAGTTCTATGTCTTCAGATGCTGTTGAGTCTAAGAGTACTATGCATGGTTTCTTGATGATTGACAGTTTTGATGCCTTTTTAAGAAATAATTTTTCTGTAAGTGTAGTTCTAATTACACAGCTTGTTGAGTTCTTATCTATCTTATTGCATCAGCTATCCTGTGAAATCATACCTATTCAAAAAGTTTCTTGGATTATAAGACAGATCTTTAGTCTCTCCATATACTGTGTCTTTTGAATTATCTATGCCATACTTGTTTGCAATACAGAGATCAATAATTTCAAGTGATCTGTATTGCAGTGTAGCCCTTGTTGTGGATAATCCTGAGTTTTTCAACCGCATTGCTGAGACATTTACTTCCAAGGCATCTCTAAGATTTTTGATACTTCTCTGGGGTGAGAAATCTTCATTGGTCTCACAGGGGTTGCAGATTCCAGTTTACAGTTATGCAGACATTAAAAGCCTAGGACAGGAGAGTCGTGCAAACTTGTCAGGATCTAATGATACCAGTACGTTGAGATTCTATGTTTTTCTTTAAGGCCCTAAAAGAATCAACTCCTGATGCTAACACACCAATGACTGCAGGTAACTATAATTTCATCAATTCAGATGATATAGCCGCAATTATGTATACCAGTGGTACTACGGGAAATCCGAAAGGCGTTACACTTACACATCGGAATCTTCTACACCAGGTTCAAGCCAACAGGCCAAATACTTTTTTTGCAAGCGTTTTTGGTGATTCTGTCAATTATATATATCAAGTTTTTCTTTGTACTTTCTTGAACTAATAGGTTTGAGAATCTTTAATGTTTTCTTGAACACTGTCCAGATAAAACATTTATCCAAATATGTACCTGCTCAAGCTGGCGATAAATTTCTAAGCATGCTGCCATCATGGCATGCCTATGAACGTGCTAGTGAATACTTCATATTCACCTGTGGAATTGAGCAAATGTATACGTCTATAAGATACTTAAAGGTTATTCTCATCATCCGATTTTTTGTTAAGTCTGTATCTTTTGCAATCATTTTACTTATACCGAGTTGTGTTAGACTGTTAGTCCCCTGTTAGTGTGATACACTTCACTAACTTTCCTAGATCAATCACTTTTTGTTTTTTTTTTTAACTCTTAACAGTGGCCTGTACATTCATCAAATATCATTGTGCCATAAAAGTTTTGAAATACGCATATTTCATTTAGCGTTGCTCCTTTTGGCTCTAATTCGTTTTCTTTTTCTTTTTTGTACAGGATGATCTAAAACGGTATCAACCAAACTATATTGTTTCCGTTCCTTTGGTATATGAGACACTTTACAGGTTTGTCATTTCAGTCATTAACTACTCCTCAGCATTTTCATTATGTGTTAGTTGTTAAACAATCTTTTTTTTTCTCTTTGAGCTCTCAGTGGGATTCAAAAGCAAATTTCTTCAAGTTCTGCTGCACGTAAATTTCTAGCACTTACATTGATCAAAGTCAGTATGGCATATATGGAAATGAAAAGGATATATGAGGTTCATGAACAATATTCCCTCTTGTACATATATTTTCTTACCATATAGTTTGTTTTAAGAGGCTTTCTGCTTATCCCTGTTTGTGGTTCCTGAAGTTTTGATATGGTCTTTGGTCTGGTTTACAGGGTATGTGTCTGACAAAAGAGCAAAAGCCTCCAATGCATATTGTTGCTTTCGTGGATTGGTTGTGGGCAAGAGTAGTCGCTGCCTTATTGTGGCCATTACATATGTTGGCTAAAATGCTTATCTACAAGAAAATACATGCGTCTATTGGGATATCGAAGGTAGTGGAAATATTCTATTTTCTATTTTGATTCGTTAGATTTATATTTGTAGTGAAAGACTGATATGATTCTTCCACAGGCTGGTATTAGCGGAGGTGGTAGTTTACCCATTCATGTTGACAAGTTTTTTGAGGTTAAGCCATCTATAATTTCTCTTGGAAATAGAAATTGTTCTTTTCTGTTTTGGCGTGAAAGTTTCGATATTTAAATGACTTTGTTCCAAAATTATGCAGGCCATTGGGGTGACTTTACAAAACGGTTATGGTTTGACAGAGACCTCGCCGGTTGTATGTGCACGGACGCTTAGCTATAATGTAAGTCATTCTTGCTTCCATATTCATATGTATGTTTTGAACTCACAACGCTTTGAAGTTTCCTTTTGAATGTTTGCAAAGAAAATGCTAATCATTTCTGAAATGCCCTTACCAAAGTTCTTAGACAAAGCAATTAATGTTGTATAAGTGTTAAACACAACTTCACAAGCTAGTCAGTTTTATCTCTTTCCCCACTGAGCTTCCTTATCAATCAAAACAAAAATAATAGAACCCAACTTTGTATTTCTTAGAAGTTGCAAGTCTTAATAACTGTCATTTCTTTTGATCCATCGGTTGCCTTTTTCTTCTACTTATTACAGTATTTCGTTTGTCTTTTTTTTTGGTCGCTACAGGTTCTTGGCTCAGCTGGGCATCCAATGCATGGTACAGAATTCAAAATTGTAGATCCTGAGACTAATGATGTACTCCCTCCTGGTGTAAAAGGCATTATCAAAGTCAGAGGTCCACAAGTTATGAAGGGTTATTATAAGGTCGTGTTGCATTATTAGCTTACTTAATCATTATATTACTGTGAAGCTGTGAAAAAGGTGACAGCGAAGAAACACACAAGTTTAAAAATCAAGCTCGTTTCTTCTGAATAACCTGCTAATAAACATATAAATAAGCTTCCCTAGCTTTGTCATAATGCATATTTTTCTTCTTCACTTCCTGTTTTCCTCACATTTATGTTTGTTGCCTGACTCATCAAGCATCACACTTAAGTAAAGGGTTTAACTCATCTTTCTGTTGGTGTATGCTTCAGAATCCATTGACCACAAAGCAAGTTCTAAATGAGAGTGGATGGTTCAATACAGGAGATACGGGCTGGATCGCTCCTCATCACTCAATAGGGCGGAGTCGCCGTTGTGGAGGTGTCATTGTTCTTGAAGGCCGTGCCAAGGACACAATTGTACTATCCACAGGTATAATCCAAGTCACAAACATGTTCAAATGCATAAATGAACCCAAAATTGATTAAACAAAACTCAAAAGAAACCAGTCCTTATATTTATAGCATCATCGTCTTTATAGGTGAAAACGTGGAACCATTGGAGATTGAAGAAGCAGCAATGAGAAGCAGTTTGATTGAACAAATCCTTGTTATTGGACAGGTGCTTGGATTATCTTAAAGACTGTTACAACACGTCAAATCTTAGTATCGGTTGATTCGCTTATCTTTTGTTATTCAAATTTTGACTTCTCCTTCACAGGATCGACGCCGGCTTGGAGCCATCATTATCCCAAACAAAGAGGAAGCGCAAAGAGTAAATCCTGAAATAACCAAAGAAACACTAAAGAGCTTGATCTACCAAGAACTGAGGAAATGGTACTACTACTTTTAAAACTTTAGCTAAAAGTATCATATTTTACATCTTACTATGTTTGAGCAATGTTACAGGACATCAGAATGTTCGTTTCAAGTCGGACCAGTCTTGATCATCGACGAGCCCTTCACGGTCAATATACATAACCAATCCTCTCTTATTGATATTTGGCATATTCAGGATCGTCGACAATCGAAAACTTAATGAAGAAAACTGTTTCTTTTTTACAACGTTGCAGATAGACAACGGCTTAATGACACCAACGATGAAGATTAGACGGGACAAGGTGGTGGCTAAATACAAAGACGAGATTGACCAACTCTACAATTAGTACATATGTATTAATCTTATTGTTAATATTAGTTAAACAATAAAACATACCATTTATCAATGCAAACTTTTGAGTAAGGTTTGATTGTTACTTCACCAAATAATTTTGTGTTTACTCTGTTGGATCGTGTGTTCTGTTGTGCATCACATGAAAGCTAATCGATCCTATTTATGAACCTCTCACACAGGTTCTAATAGTTAAAATACAAACTATATCAGATGATATTGAATCCCAAACACATGAAATGATAAACCAAATAAACATAGAAGAGATGTATGTGAAGCAAACATAAAATAAACACAGCTGTTAATACGAGGATACATCAAATGGTATATAGCAATTCGTCTTGGCCCTTTGATGTGTCTTGTGTGCAACAGCCCATTGAACAACCATATTCAACAGTTGAATCATCAACAACAGCCTTGAGATAGGAAGGGAACATGCAACGGTTTTTACAAACTATGCAAAAAGGTCTGGTCATACCATCGTTGGAGACTAGTTCTGCTCCCAAGTATTTGTTCCCTGGCTTGAAGTAATACATGTCTCCAAGTACACACTTGATATGGAGGGTAGTGCCACAACTATCACAACCATAAAACCATACTCTTGGATCTGTCTTTCCTTCACAAATATCACACCACAGTTGAGTACTCTTTGAGTTCCCATCCCCAAAATGCAACGACAAAACATGATCGTCGCATCTGTGTTTCACTGTTCTTGGTAAAGTGGCACATTCCATGCCTAAAGCAAACTTACACGAAGTACAGCTTAAGACATAGTCTGACTCTTGACCACATGCTCCACAAGTCTTAGTCTCTCTCGAGGTACGGTATAAGGGATGGGGATGCAGTTCATGGTTAAAAGGCTCAGAAATGGAACCGCACCGCACATCTATTTTAAAAGAACAACGTGTAAAGGATTTGAGAGAATTCTTACAAGTGTACCTGAAGCCATCGAAGAATTGAAGACAGTAGATACACTCAAAATACTTGCCCGGCTTATCCCGAACCCGTAGATCAACCTTATGGTTATGCAAGATATTTCTTTTTTTCCGAGGAAGACTAGCACATACTTTATGAAGGAAGAAGTTGCATTGCACACATTTGAAGAATATATCAGAATTGATGGGAAGGATGCAAGCGTCACACCTCATCTTTTCACAATCGATGACATTATCATCCCCAAGTCTTAGGTTGTGTTCTTCATGACTGAAATGAATGATTTCATTCTCATTGACTTCCTTGTATGGAGCTTCTTCTTCCTCTTCTTCCGGCTCATCTTCAAGTTCCTCTCCATCCCACACATCGTCCCTTGTGGCACATTTTGAATGAACAGCATAATTAGGACAACGCTTGCAAGAGAAACCTCCAAAGGGCCAATGCATCTTCTCCCGACAAACTCCACATTCCCAATCGCCATGACCGAGGTGATAAGAGCGAGAAACTCGGTGGTCATGACGATTTATGCTTATGACTCGTGGCAATGTGATGCAACCATGGTAACCACATTCAAGACAAACGTAAGGATTACGGCAAAAAATTGTGCTCAAATATTCTAGTTTTTAACCTAAATACTATCATTATTTGGAGAAGATTTTTTTTTTTTAATTATAGTGATACGTTTCATAATGAAATGATTATAAAACAGTTAAACAGAACTTTAATTCAAATATATCAACGGTGCAGAACAGTTAAAAGGTTTGTTCTGCACCGTTGGCCGAGCTGTGGGGGGTTTACTACGGGCTACTTATAGCGTGGGAGCGTCGGGCTACGCGTGTCGAACTTGAGGTGGATTCAGAGGTAGTTGTGGGCTTTCTTACGACAGGGATAAGTGGCTCTCATCTGTTGTCTTTCCTAGTACGCTTGTGCTATGGCTTTTTATCAAAGGACTGAATAGTCCGTATTAGTCATGTGTATAGAGAAGCTAATCGTCTTGCCGATAGATTAGCGAACTATGCTTTTACTTTATTGTCGGGTTTTCATATGTTTGATGTTGTACCAGAGAGCGTTAAGCCTCTTTTATTGGACGATGCTAGGGGGTCTACTCGACCACGGAATGTGCGTTTGTAAGTTTTTGTTTTTTGAATAAATTGCGGGGGACATTGTCTCCCGTTTCCGACCAAAAAAAAAAATATCAAATAATCAATTAAGTTATGTATATGCGAAATAATGATATGGTACATGAATTTATTTTCATGAAATACTTTAAAGATAACGAAAATTTTCAAAATAAATTATAGTATAGAGGATAGGTAGATTTAGGCATGAGATGTAAATGTTATTTTCAAATTTTACTTGCATTCATATCTAGAAAACCATAAAGCGACAACAGCTGATGAATGCTTATCCCACACTATCTTCATCAGCTCCAGCTCTGCGCTAGGAATCGAACCTTAACAACTGGCAAAGCCCTCCATGCCCACATCGTCAAGCTCGGGATCGTTCAATGTTGCCCTTTGGCCAACACTCTTGTCAATGTCTATGGAAAATGCGGTGCTGCTTCTTATGCTCTCAAGTTGTTCGACGAAATGCCTCAAAGAGACCATATCGCCTGGGCCTCAGTTCTCACAGCTCTTAATCAAGCGAATCTCTCTGGTAAGACTCTCTCAGTGTTTTCTTCAGTGGGTTCGAGCGTTGGGTTGCGTCCGGATGATTTTGTGTTCTCGGCACTTGTTAAGGCTTGTGCTAACTTAGGATCTATTGAGCATGGAAAGCAAGTTCATTGCCATTTTTTAGTCTCTGAGTATTCCAGTGATGATGTTGTTAAGTCATCACTTGTTGATATGTACGCTAAATGTGGGTTGCTTGATAGTGCTAAAGCAGTTTTCGAATCTATAAGAGTGAAAAACACCATTTCATGGACTGCCATGGTGTCTGGATATGCTAAAAGTGGAAGAAAGGAAGAAGCTTTGGAGCTTTTTAGGAAATTACCAGCCAAGAATTTGTATTCTTGGACTGCATTGATCTCTGGTTTTGTACAGAGTGGGAAAGGGCTTGAGGCTTTTTCTGTATTCACTGAAATGAGGAGAGAAAGAGTCGACATTTTGGATCCTTTAGTGCTTTCGAGCATTGTTGGCGCTTGTGCTAATTTGGCAGCTTCAATAGCGGGTAGGCAGGTTCACGGGTTGGTTATAGGTCTAGGATTTGATTCTTGTGTGTTTATTAGTAACGCCCTTATCGATATGTATGCGAAATGCAGCGATGTTATAGCTGCAAAGGATATTTTCAGTAGAATGCGCCACAGAGATGTAGTTTCATGGACATCGCTTATAGTTGGAATGGCTCAGCACGGGCAAGCTGAGAAGGCATTAGCTGTGTATGATGACATGGTTTCTCATGGTGTAAAGCCCAATGAGGTCACATTTGTTGGGTTGATATATGCGTGTAGCCATGTCGGTTTCGTAGTGAAAGGCCGTGCGCTTTTCCAATCAATGACCAAGGACTATGGAATTCGTCCATCATTGCAGCATTATACATGCTTATTGGATCTTTTTGGTCGATCTGGACTCCTTGATGAAGCTGAGAACTTAATACATACAATGCCGTTTCCACCAGATGAACCAACTTGGGCTGCTTTACTTAGCGCTTGTAAGCGCCAGGGACAGGGTCAGATGGGTGTAAGAATCGCTGATCATCTTGTAAGCTGCTTTAAACCGAAAGATCCATCGACTTATATACTTTTATCAAACATCTATGCAAGTGCTTCTTTATGGGGAAAAGTATCAGAAGCAAGAAGGAAACTAGGAGACATGGAAGTTAGAAAAGATCCAGGGTACAGTAGTGTCGAAGTCAGGAAAGAAACTGAAGTGTTTTACGCAGGAGAAACATCTCATCCTCTAAAAGAAGACATATTTAGATTGCTTAAGAAGCTAGAGGGAGAAATGAGAAAAAGAAACGGTTATGTTCCTGATACGAGTTGGATCCTACACGATATGGATGAGCAAGAGAAAGAGAAGCTATTGTTTTGGCATAGCGAACGATCAGCTGTAGCATACGGTTTACTTAAAGCTGTTCCGGGAACTCCTATACGGATTGTCAAAAATCTAAGAGTTTGTGGAGATTGCCATGTTGTTCTGAAGCATATAAGTGAGATTACAGAAAGAGAGATTATAGTTAGAGATGCAACTAGATATCATCATTTTAAAGGAGGCAAATGTTCCTGCAATGACTTCTGGTAACTGGTAAGTCCCAGCTTCTCTGTTGTAACATTTTGTTTACGAAATTTGCTAAGGTTTTTAGAATTGAGTATAGTGATGAGTGATGAGTGATGAGTGATGAGGCAGAATCGAATTGTATCTATCTCCACAGTAAAGAACAAGAAACTGGGTGAGTTCACTTCACATGCTTTATAGATAACAACAAAAGAGTCACTGTTTCATCGCACTCACTCACCAACTCACGGATTTATTAACGTGTTTATTCTAATTTCATTCACCAACTCACGAATATAATAACTACACGTGAATCCTTGGACTTATGCATGAACAGAGTAATGAATATGGTTTTTTGAGTTATTTTTCAATTATATATCTTACTTTGGATAGTGCATACAAACATATGTTTCAATTCAAAACACTTTAATTAGAGAAAATAATAATAAAGTACATACACAAAAGGTATACTTTGGTTAGAACTTACTATAAACTTGCATAAATCTGTTTTAAATTCCTTAATGTACAACTAAACGGCTTTTAGCAAAAGTTGAATTATTGAATGAATAGTATTTCTTGTCACATACTATATATAGAGACATACAATAAGACAACAACAACAAGGACACAAAGTCACCATCGCTCTTACTCACGTATAGCTAAATCCAAAAGCTTCCCATTCCTATATATCACATGTGTTTATGATCAGAGACGTGTAGTTTCATTACTTCCACATACTCAAAGAGACAGTGTAGATATGGCTACAGAAACTGTATTGGCGACGGCAGTGGGCAACGGCGGAAACAAAGGATGTTGCAAGTCTGGTCCAGGTTACGCGACGCCTCTAGCCGCCATGGCTGGTCCACGAGAAAAGCTCATCTACGTTACTGCTCTCTACTCCGGTACACATTTCACTAACCATCTTCTACCTCTTTTTATTCAACACTACTACCAACTCAAAATCACAGAGACTGAACTAGCTAGCCTATGATTAAACTGTTTATCATATGAGTTTATGTCCTTAAATTGTGGTTTTAATGAAGAAAAATGTTGGATAAACTTGGTTCCTCTGTATTCTAATACCTTATGATATGTTTGAATGGGGTAACTAGGAACGGGGAGAGACAAACCGGACTACTTGGCCACGGTGGATGTGGATCCAAGTTCACCTACTTATTCAAGCGTCATTCACAGACTGAAAATGCCTTATGTGGGAGATGAGCTTCACCACACTGGATGGAACTCTTGTAGCTCTTGCCATGGTGATGCTTCTGCTGATCGACGTTACCTTGTCTTACCAGGCTTAATGTAAGACCCTTTCATTGATCCTCTCATCAGATTTCTAGATGATGACTGAATGTGTGCTTATTTCTTGTTTTTTGGATGAAGATCTGGTCGCATTTATGCAATCGACACAAAGGCCGATCCAAAGGCTCCCTCTTTGTATAAGGTTGTAGAGCCTAAAGAGATTGCTGAAAAGACAGGATTAGCTTTTCCACACACATCTCATTGCCTCGCCACAGGAGATATGTTGGTGTCTTGCCTTGGGGACAAAGAAGGAAACGCCAAAGGGAATGGGTTTCTCCTTCTTGACTCTGACTTCAATGTGAAAAGCAGGTGGGACAAAGCAGGACATAGTCCTTTGTTTGGTTATGATTTCTGGTACCAACCTAGGTTCAAGACAATGATCAGCACTTCTTGGGGAGCACCTAAAGCCTTCTCCAAAGGTTTTGATCTCCAGCAGGTTGCTGATGGCTTGTACGGAAGTCATTTACATGTTTATAGTTGGCCTGAAGGTGAAATGAAGCAAGTTATTGACCTTGGAGATACTGGTCTCTTACCTCTTGAGGTAACATTTACTCTAACATAAGTGTGATGATCTGTGTTATTAATCAAGGAATGTAATCTAACAAGGTTTTTGTTGTTATTATGTGGTTGCAGATAAGGTTCTTGCACGATCCGTCTAAAGATACAGGGTATGTTGGGAGTGCCTTATCTAGTAACATGATAAGATTTTTCAAGAACAGTGATGATACATGGAGCCATGAGGCAAGTGGAGTTTCTAAATGTTCTTTCTATTTTTCTTCTTTGAAATCTATGATAAAATTGTTATTCAAACTTGTCTTGTTTTAGGTTGTTATATCAGTAGAACCGTTGAAGGTGGAAAACTGGATGCTTCCAGAAATGCCGGGGCTTATCACCGACTTCTTGATCTCCCTCGATGATCGGTTTTTCTACTTTGTGAACTGGCTTCATGGAGACATTCGTCAGTACAACATAGAAGACCCTAAAAACCCTGTCTTAACAGGACAAATTTGGGTTGGAGGGTTACTTCAAAAGGGTAGTCCTTATAAGGCTGTTGGAGAAGACGGCAACACTTACCAATTCGATGTTCCTCAAATCAAGGTTTGTACCCAAAATGTTAACACTTTGGAACGTTTTAACCAAAGTTACATTCTATTGAGAATTGTTTTTGTGGGTTTCAGGGGAAATCTCTAAGAGGAGGACCGCAGATGATCCAACTGAGCCTCGATGGGAAACGATTGTACGCAACAAACTCGCTGTTCAGCGCATGGGATCGTCAGTTTTACCCGGAAATCATAGAGAAAGGCTCACACATCATTCAAATCGATGTTGATACAGACAAAGGTGGTCTCACCATAAACCCTGACTTCTTTGTAGACTTTGGTGATGAACCAGACGGTCCTGCACTTGCTCATGAGATGAGATACCCCGGTGGAGACTGCACTTCCGATATCTGGATTTGAACTTTGGCTAGAGTGAAGCTGGCTTTGTTACTTTCATTGTTATGTTCTAATGATGTGTAATAAATAAATAAGAGGTTGCTAGTTTCATTAAATTTGGTTTGCTTATTCCGTGATAACCGATCGATAACCGAATCGAACCGGTCGAGTTATCTACAATGATACTTCCAAAGTAAACGCTTTCTCAGATACAATGTACGTAGACAAGATTTGTTATAATCTCATCATTATGATTTTGTCAACGGACACTATTTGTTTTTTTATTTTAATCTGTTTTTTGCATGGAGACGTATTTTAAAATTTTAATTATAAAATACATTTCCTATACAAACTTACTAATTTAGTAGTAATCTAATTAACTAATTTAAGAATTGTTTCTTTCTCCTTCACATGCCTAACATTAATGACAAGGATTAGTTAAGTCATTAATATCTTAAGTTCGTTCACTCGCATAGATCCAAAAGCATACACCACTCTTGTGTGTTTACGATAAACACAAAACAGGCACGTCAGAGACGTGAAGCTTTAATTTAACCACTGCCATATACAATTCAAGATTTGACTTTACAGAGAGATTTAGAGAGAGAGACATGGCGACGGAAACTGAAGTGGTGACTCCGGTGATGATCAACGGTGGAGACAAAGGATGTTGCAAGTACGGTGGTCCTGGTTACGCTACGCCTCTTGCAGCTATGTCCGGTCCTCGTGAAAAACTCATCTATGTCACTTCCGTCTACACTGGTACAGATCAATTTTTGTTTTTTTCTTACAGTTTCAAGAATCAAGATCCAATGTTTTTTTTTTTTCAGTTAGAATCTTAAAGCTGATTCAAGATTTTAGTAGGTCCTATGGAATCTTCAGATCTGATCTGAACCGAAGTCTTATGTCTATGTCTGTACTTGATTGTCGGAAAGATACTGGTTCCTCTGTATTCTAATAACTTTTGATTTCGGGTTTTATAGGAACTGGAATAGATAAACCGGATTATTTGGCGACGGTGGATGTGGATCCAAGCTCGCCGTCGTATTCAAGTGTGATTCATAGATTACCAATGCCTTTTGTTGGAGATGAGCTTCATCACTCTGGTTGGAACTCTTGTAGTTCTTGTCATGGTGATGCTTCTGCTGATAGACGTTTTCTTGTCTTACCATCTCTTATGTAAAGATCCTTTCAGCCTCTTTTTACATTTTCTCTTATGTCTCTGTAAGTTTATGTTATTGACTAGAGAGATGTTGTGTTGTTTCTTTGTTTGGGATGAAGGTCTGGTCGCATTTATGCGATTGACACTAAAGAAAACCCGAAGGCTCCGTCTTTGTATAAGTATGTAGATCCTAAAGAGATTGCTGATAAGACCGGATTGGCGTTTCCACATACGGCTCATTGTCTTGCTTCCGGGGAGATCTTGGTGTCTTGTCTTGGAGATGAAGAGGGGAACGCTAAGGGGAATGGGTTTCTTCTTCTTGATTCTGATTTTAACATCAAGAATAGGTATCAGCTTATTGCAAAAACCAATCTTTATTCATGTTTTTGTTTCTTATCACTCAACTATTAATTACATGGGATACCTCAGGTGGGAGAAACCAGGACATAGTCCTTTGTATGGGTATGATTTTTGGTACCAACCTCGGCACAAGACAATGATCAGCACATCTTGGGGAGCACCTAAAGCCTTCTCCACAGGCTTTGATCTCCAGCATGTTGCTGATGGATTGTATGGAAGTCATCTACATGTTTATAGTTGGCCAGGAGGTGAAATGAAACAATTGATTGACCTTGGACCGACTGGTCTATTACCTTTGGAGGTAACATAATCACACATCTCTTTTTAAACGTGGTCTGTGTATGTTTTTAGACTTCATATATGGAAAGGCTAATCTCTTAACTTATATGTGGTTGCAGATTAGATTCTTGCATGAACCGTCTAAAGATACAGGGTTTGTTGGGAGTGCCTTGTCAAGTAATATGATCAGATTTTTCAAGAACAGTGATGAAACATGGAGTCATGAGGCAAGTGTAGTTTCTGAATCTTCTTTGTTTTACCTCATTTTTTTGGTTCTTTCAAATCTATGCCTAACCAGCAATTTATACCAACTTGTTTTAGGTGGTTATATCAGTTAAACCTCTGAAAGTAGAAAACTGGATTCTTCCAGAAATGCCGGGGCTTATCACCGACTTCTTGATCTCTCTCGATGACCGATTTATCTACTTTGTGAACTGGCTCCATGGAGATGTTCGTCAGTACAACATCGAAGACCCCAAAAACCCTGTCTTAACAGGACAAATTTGGGTAGGAGGGTTACTACAAAAGGGCAGTCCTGTTAAGGCGGTTGGAGAAGACGGCAACACTTTCCAGTATGATGTTCCTCAGATCAAGGTTTGCACTAAAATGTGTAATCTTTTGAGGTCTTTAACTAAGTTTCACATTTTTGCATAACATAGAAGCTGTTTTGGTGATGTTCAGGGGAACTCTCTACGAGGAGGACCTCAAATGATCCAGCTGAGCCTCGACGGGAAACGATTGTATGCAACAAACTCGCTGTTTAGCGCATGGGATCGTCAGTTTTACCCGGAGATCATGGAGAAAGGCTCACACATAATTCAGATTGATGTTGATACAGACAAAGGTGGTCTCACCTTAAACCCTGACTTCTTTGTAGACTTTGGTACTGAACCAGACGGTCCTGCGCTTGCTCACGAGATGAGATATCCAGGAGGAGACTGCACTTCAGATATCTGGATTTGAATCAGGCTTGTTTTAAAGATTGTGTGTTTGTGGTAAGTCTGAAGTGAGTTTGATTAGTTTGTTGTGTGTTCTGTAAAGTTGAATAAAAAAGGAATAAGAAGAGGTCATTAGATGATCCAGATATAATAAACACTTTGTTTGTACACTTATTAGTCTCCTTGTGTCTTATGCTTTGATATAAAACTTTCTACATTTCTAGTTAACACTCTCTTCTGTTTTTGTTCTTTCTTTTCACCACTCTGTTCTGTTCGCGTTGTTCACGTTTCAGTGTCAGACTTATCAACTTCTTTATAACACCATCGACATATCGCTTCACTCGATGGTTACACATAAGATGGTGCGGCATGTTGTATTACTAACCAAAACTACATGGTGTACTACGGCATAAAATATTTACCAATCAACACCATAATCAATTACAAACTTAGCTAAAGATACCTTTATTAGTGATATAACTTTAAAATACTGCATTTTATATAACTTTGTTGTTGTTGATGTACAAATTCTGGTTGTGATTTCTTAAAAAAGTTTTGATTGGTTATATTTATATTAACGATTGAAAAATAAAATTTAAATTTACACAATTTTCACGTTATTTATATGCATAATTAAGTAAAAAAATTTCAAATCGACAGAAAATCGCACTTGTAGAAGCATCATCCGTTTTTTATTTTATTTTGTTTTGTTATTATGAAAATGTTGCTTATATTCCCATAGTTTACAATATAGTTTTCGTAATTTTAGCATCTCCATCAGTGATATATTTTTATGGGAATATATACAAAATGACCTTGGATTCAAAAAAATTAGGGAAATAGATATGGTGTCAGAGGCTCTCTCTCTCCTCAGTTGCAATTACTGTTATACCCATTATATATATTACATGTTATTTTTCAAAATCACATAAACATTTGTACAATTCTTTAAAAATAAATTAATAAATAAAGCAAATTAAGGAAATAAATTATATAATATTTTATAAAGAGTGGTTAGGGTTTGAGCTTATAAGTAAATATCACACGATATATAAAATAAATCAAAATTGCAATAGATTTCTCATGACAGCAGTGATGAGAAGCCATTATTAAAAAATCACAATGTTAAAATGATGTATGTTGATAAATAATTTAGAAAGTAGAAATTGAAGTTGAAAATTGTTTTAAATTATTTTTGTTCATGATATTGTTCACAAATTTGTATTGAAAAGAAAGTCTGAAAAATTTCTCAAAAGAAAAACAAATATATAGATTTCTACAGGTTTGTACATTTTTGAATAGAAAAGAAAGTTTGAAAATTTCTCAAAAAAAACAAATATATAGATTTTGAATAGACACAATTGTTTGTAAAAGACACAACTGTACATTCAACAGACAAAACATTTTAAAGATTTTCTCTAAAAAAATTTAAAATATCCTATAGCTATTTTCGTATTTATTGAGTTTTCTATTATTATATAGAATATAAAAATACCCATTATGGTTTTTTATACCTAGTGGATGGTCGGTGTAAAAATACTCCTTATCATTCTTGTCACCAGCTCTAGCGTTGGCCGTTGCTGAAGACATCAATTTTTTTTTTTTTTTTGGCTCAACATCAACTATTTATTTATCAATTCGATATTAAAAATCATTTGACCTCAACAATTTTCACTCAAATACAATGATTTAGTCTAGTTTCATCCTGAAACATTAGCCGATCCAACACTACCCGACTAAAAATCTTTGTATCTTTTCTACCACTGCGAAATGAACCACACCACGACTCGATGTAGAATCATCTCTTAAATTACCTAAACTGATCCTATTGACACGAGAACAATTACTAGCACGGAGAAGACCAAAGTCTAAACTAAAATACAAATCAAACCAAGCTATTAATCCTTATGATCGGAATGTAGAGATTGTCCCAATAGCATCACCACCCGGATGCGCATTATCAGAAAGACGTGGGTTCTCCGGCTTTTATCGGAACGTTAAAAGCTGAAGACATCAATTAAGTAGGCGCAAGTGACACGGCTAAGTCATTGTCTCTTGCCCACTTCATATTTTGGAATAAGATTCTAAGAGATAACAATATTTTCGCATCATCACAAAACAATCCGAATCTGCCAACGTATTATTCAATTCCGACTTACAAATTATTATTCTATATTTTTTCAATCATATTATATTATTTTTTCATCAGTTTCAATAATTTACGATATTTTTTTTTTTTTTTTTTTGCTTATAAATATATATTTACGAAGATGAATTTGCTCGTTTGTTAGTTTACTCTCTTTCAATTAGATGAGCTTTTAATTAGGCCTTGTATGAGAAAACAAAATATGTTATATTTTCTTTTTATATATTAATACTCTTCAATTTTAGCTTTGAATATAATTTGTTTTTCCGATTATAGATCTTTTCATATTTTTGAATAACATAGATAAAATATCATTTACGATACTACTTTATTAATATTCTCGAATACCCTTTTCGAAAAGTTGAAAACAAATGTATTATTATTTTTCGATATAATGAAATATTCTTCTACGAAAGTAAAAAAAAAAAAAAGATACGCTTAAGCATTAGAGATTTAAAACCAAATCTACCACTATAAATAATAATGATGTTATCTCCTACCAATAAACATATAAACATCATCTCATTCATCAAAACATGGAGTACTACACATTCACCGAGAACGACGAAGAACGTGTATCGGGAAACCATCACGTGAAGAACACGTGGGTGAAAGAACGTTACGAGAGCGATGAAGAAGATGCAGAAGTGAACAAACTCATCCTAAAGGAAGACGAAGAGACTAAAGATATGGTGACATCGCAGAGTGGTGAGAGGTTGATGTTGACGAGTAAGGTGAGGTATCTCAACTATGATGCTCTCAAACATGACACGGGGGCTCCGGCAGCTTCCGGTGGTGGAGGAAGAGCCTTGCCTCCTCCGTCTAACAGGTACCACCGTGGCCACCCCAAGTACTACCGATGCAGGGGTTGAAGTGAAAACTCTACGAATACAAGAACCCTATGTATTGTAATAATAAGTTTGTTGAGTGTATATGTATACTCCATGCAACGTGTGTTATCTAAAGACTAATTATAAGAGAAACAACCAATTATGGAAGTAGATATATGGAAGGTAGTTGCAACAATTGACGATTTGAATGGTTTATTTGCACAAAACCTTTTTCGAAAAGGCTTATTTGTAAATTAAAAGTAACTAAAGCCGAAATAATCAAATTAAAATCCACACTTGACTACAAGAAATAATCTTCAACAATGAAATTACATTTTTCTAATTCATTTGATTTTTGAAAGAAAAATATTATTAACACACAACACAATGACACATACATGACATATTAGGACACACGAGACATGATTTTTGTCCCGAAATATACAAGCCACACTTTTTTACTATTTGTTTTAATGTACATCTGTCCAAAACAAAATTGTATTATTCTTTTTTGTTTAGTGTGATTTAAAAACAAATCAAATATTGACCCGTTACAGGTTTAGATTATAAATGTTAATAACATTCCTAAAAATTATGTTTACAAACATACCCCGTACGTACCCAATATATTTCAACATTTAATAACAAATTTTATTTTGAAAATCAATTCCGCACGTACGTGCAGATCCAAATCTAGTATATTTTTTAAATAAACAGATTTATTCCCAAATAACTTGAATTTCTTGTTGGAAACATCGTAGAGAACACAATGTATGTTTTCCCAAAAAATTTCAAGATGGATGGGTATTGACAGCGACGATTACAACAAACACAAAATGGTCGAGTTATACGATTATTAAGAATAACATAAACCATGGATGATTCAGTCTCTCCTCCCCTTTTAAACCATATGAAGTCTCCGAGGGTGCATTTGATGTGAAAAGTGATGCTACAGTGATCACATGAATAAAACCATTTCCTTGGATTTATTGTTTCCTCGCATATCTCGCACCAGCATTGCTCACTTTTTCTTTCGTAACGTAGAGATAGAACTTTGGTCTTTGGTCTATATATGTGTGATTTAGACATAGTTTTGAGTCACTAACAAACATAGTTTTGAACTTTGGTCTATTATAGACAAGTACAGCCATGTACACTACTGTATGCCAGTCGCAAAGAAGCAAGTCTTGAAGCTTTAAGAATGATCGTAAAAATAACTAATTTACCATGTTATTGTTTTATGCTTGCATGAAGTTTCATACTGATCATGATTATTATAAAATTACTTAAAAAAACGTTTTGGTGGTATACATTGTCATCATAAGTACCTTTTGTTTTGGCTCTAGTGATAAATGTACTTTTCCAATAAGAAGAATCCGGATCCATACTTTTTACCAAAACAAAAACATTATAGGAAAGAAAAATGTATTATATAAGTCGTTTTACATTAACATTGAGAGTGGTCCGACATTAATATACACTCGTACTCAATTATGTAAAGCAGTGTGTTAGGTGAAGTGCGGTCCCTTCTAGTGCTACTCCCACTAAGTGTTATCTTTCCATGCTTCTTTATTTTCATATAGCCAAAGATTCTTCTTCACAATCCACTCTCTTCTTCTCTCTTTTTTTCTTTTCTTGGCCTCTCCAATAAAATGGAGACAAAAACCTCTATGATCTTCTTGACCAACACCTTCTTCTTCGTCTGCCTTCTTGCACACGTCACCTCCGAGGCATCTTCATCATCTTTGTGCAATGGATCGGTAGCAAAGTGTAGCAGCGTGGTGGAGACAGAGGATGTGACGGTAATAATGGAGTCTTGGTCAAGCCAGAGGTTAACTGAGGAGCAGACGCAGAAGCTTTCGTATGGAGCTTTGAGGAGGAATCAGCCTGCTTGCGACGGTGGTAAACGTGGTGAGTCTTACTCTACACAATGTCTTCCTCCACCGTCTAACCCTTATAGTAGAGGCTGCTCTAAGCATTACCGTTGTAGACATGACTCTTGACCTTTTTTTTTACCATCCATGCATCTTTATGGAATCTTTTATGCTATATATGTAACTCTATATACTCATATGTTCTTTTATTTTGTTAGTGGAATTTGAATTGTTTTGGTTTGAACTGTATAATCTCTTTTGAATCTTTGTAACACTTTGTGACTTTGGGGTTTCTTTTGTTAGATTAAATATGTGTTGGGGTCCAAACGAAATTCTGAAAAAGATAATTACTTTTTTTTCATGTCGGGATTTTTTTTGACTTTTTGACTCAGTCGACTTAACGCCAACTGCTACGCCTCTTATCTCAAATTTAATTGGAGACCAAAACATAATCATCCGAGTCATTACCAAGTAAGTCTAGTATGGGCTGCACTTACTGATTTAATGGGCAACCATGGTGTTGACTTTATTAAGACAATGTCCTTATACAAGACATGCATGTACAATAGACTAGTGTACGTTGATGTAATGTATTCAGTGAACATTGATGTTGCATCACGGGAGAGTAATGGGTATCGTACGTTCTACGATGATTCTATAGCATGGGATCAAATTCACATTCTTTTTTAAAAGAAAATAATCATTTGCACGATGCGATATTCAAGTATTTAATTAGATTTAAATACAAATTGAAATTGAAACTATATACATAAAACCCCACCTTATAGTATATCATAATTTTCTTTAAATACTATTATGTCTAAACCAAAGGATTAAAAACAGGAAAAAAAATTCGAAATTGAATACAAGTAGTAATCTTCAACAATGAAATAACATTTTTAAAAATATTTATTTGATACTTAGAAGATAAAACAAGTATACCACAACACATACATTATTTTATAAGATTTACAGCCCAAACATTTCTTTTATCTTTTGTTGGAAACATTGCAGAGAACACAATGTTTTCCCAAAACATTTCAAGATGTTTGAGTATTTACAGCGAGAATTACAAGCAACACAAACTGGTCGAGTTATACGATTATTAAGAATCACATTAATTATGGATGACTCAGTTTCTCTTTCTGGTATAAACCCTAAGAAGTCTCCAAGTGTGCATTTGATGTGAAAATTGATACTACAATGATCACATGAATAAAACCAATTCTCTAGATTTATTGTTTCCTCACATATCTCGCACCAGCATTGCTGACTTTTTTTCTCTCCGTAACATAGAGATAGAAAATGATCTTTATCATTTTTGTGCTTAACAGTCTTTGGTAAAATTGAGCATTTAACGTCTAACACAAACTCACATTCTTCACAACTTATAACTATTTTTGCTTTATCTCCACAAGCGTTACAAAATCGGCCTTTTGTTGAGTAGTTGATGTATAACAAATGAGGATGACTTTCATGGAAGAAAGGTTCAGAAATAGAACCACACCGGACATCCAGGATAATATTCTTATCATCACTTAAGTACCTAAAACCCTGAAAAAGGTTTTGACAACCATCGCAAATGATTACTTCGTCAATACTAAAAGATGGGATTAGAGTGGTCGATGTCTTGTAGAATGAATCTATTTTCTTTTTTGGGAGATAAGCACATTTTTCATGAAGGATGAAATCATCACATTCCATGCAACGGTAACATGGACTAGAAAATATAGGATAAATGCATGCTTTACACCGCATGCATTCATCACTAGAGTCACTTTCTTCTTTAAGCTTTAAAGTATGCTCCTCGTGACTAAAATGCTTTATTACTCCCTTTTCTATCTCCTCGTATGATTTAGTCTCTAAAGTATTTTTGGATATGCCTTCAAGTTTAATTCGATCCCATATCCCAAATCTTGTGGCACATCTCAAATGAAAGGCAATATCAGGACATTCTGAACAAGTATATGCCCCACATGTCCAATTTATCTTTTTATGACAAATTCCACATTTCCAATCTCCGACATCAAGACAATGATTGTAATGAATAAGGTGATCATGACGATAAATCTTTATAACGCGTGGTATATCAATACAATTTCGATGAATCATGAAATTGCATTGAGGACATACATAAGGATTTGGATCATCATCCATTCCACAAGCACTGCATGTAAAACTTCGTTGCGGCATAAGGATAAGTGAGTGCTCATGAGCCTTAGGGTGGATAAGAGTGAAAGCGGGTGGATTCTTTTGACAGTTGACATCCACACTGAAATTGCAAACAGAGCAGTGATATAATAAGTTATGAAGTTTGCTTCCACACAAACAACATTTTCCATCGGTATAACTTGGAACATGCGTGAGACGCTTGAGCAAGTGTTTAGGATGACAAGAGTAATTGATCTCTGGTGTAGATTCCGCGCAATCTTTGTGAAAATTCAATCCACATAAGTTACAAGCGTAAGGAAATCGGTCATCAAGCCGTCCACACAAATGACAAGTAAACGTAACAATCATTGGAACAAGGGATACATGATGCTCGTGAGTCTTTGGACCCTCAATTGTTACCACAACTTCTTTTCTTGCGCATATTAAATCAATGGCAAAATCACATATTGAACAATAGTAATACATCTTAGCCAAATTACCTCTACAAAGCTTGCATTCTCCATGGACATCTTCATTTTCTGCTAGTATTTTGAGGTGCAAAGAATGTTGTGGATGATAGACATAGCATATCTCTAGATCGGATTTGGCGCATTCTTTATGGAAGTAGAGTCCAGACCGCATACAACGATAGCCAATACTGTAGTAGTCTTTACCATGATTGCAGCCGTCACAGTTTAACCCACGCGTTTTGACTAGTGTATAATGTTTCTTGAGTATCATCATATTATCTTAGTTTTAGTAATGTATTAGAGCTTTTTCTTTTTTCTTTTTGTTTTAAGTATTAGAGGTTTTTCATATATACCTTTTTATAGATTAAGTTATGTTCTTTGTTTACATGAAAAGGATACTCATGGAATTATTCTTGTGCTTAATATCGATAAACAAGTCTCAAAGGAATAAAATAATTCTTTTTTTTGGTAAAAGAAAAGGAATAAAAGAATTATTGTACTTAAACTATATATTTTCTTAACATTCTTTTTCTTTTTGTTAGACTTTTTTAAAGAATATTTATACATCTAAGTTATTCCATTTTACTATTCAATTTATTCTTTGTTTAAGTAAGAGGACATTTCAGTTTCAATGTGGGAATTCTAAAACTAACTTGGTAAAATAGAAAAGGTATCAGAGGGATAAAGGCACTTATCTGAATTGGTAATACACAGTAAATGTGAGTCATTCCCAAAGTAAAGCTTAGTTTGGTACAAATAAGCTAAACATGGATGAGATTTTGAATTTCAACTCATTATACTGAGCAATCCAAATTCACTATAGTCGGATCGTTGGATTTGGAGCGACACTAAAATCCTGGTAGAACTTTTTTGACTTATTTGTACGAAAGCTTCCATACCTCTCTGACATTGGAGGAACCATCTGTAACTTCAGACACCAATGTTGAAGCAAGAACACCTGCAATGAAGATAAATATATGCGGTCTTAATACACACGGGTTACATTATCATTGTAGAAGATGAACAATATACATCATCGAATAGATCATATTTACCGTCTTTCTCTATCATAGACAAGAACTGTCTTGTCCCTCCACCAACCCCAAAATAGTACTTCTTTGCAGCCATGTAGACTACTCCATCAGGATACGCAAGGCACTGCAAAGAACCAAGTGTTGAAACTCCAATGAATCTTTAAGAATGATCGTAAAACGAGAGTGGTGTTACCCTTTTAATTAAGCCGTATAGACTTTTCTGAGCGGAGATGGAGTAAATCGTCTCTGCCATTAGAATGATGTCATAACCACCCTTCTTATCACTCTCTCCGTCATGATCAACTAGTGGAAGAACCTGATGAACTTCACTCCACTCACCGCCAAAGAAGCGTACTTCTGTTTCACCTACTGAGACAGAGGAAGACTTCTCGGATAGATTAGCATTCAGATTCGGGATGGTGAGACATCTAAGGACCTCAGCATTGAAGTCCTGGAAATGAACTGCATCTGAACCCTGGACACCAAACGAGACCAATAGATCTAAGAACGATGGGCCTTGGTACACAGAGCATAATAGAGCTCAGAAAGCATCAAATTACCTTGAGACACGCATAGATTCCTGGAAGTGCATGACCACATCCAAGCTTAAAACCATAGATTCATATGTAAGTGATTTAAAGAACCAAGTGATGTCTCTTGTTTAACAGCTAACGCAATAGCCTACCTCGAGAACCCGCTTTCCAGAAAGTGATAAGTTTCCAGTTTGTGATTCTTTCTCAAGAGCTTTGACAAGATCAATTGATCCTTCCCAAAGCTTAAGCCCACCTAGATTCAAATCGTATTCAAGATTAGCAAAAAATGCATAATGCAGGAGATACACATCACACAAACCATAACTTGATTATATCCATTATACCTTCATATACTCCAGGAACCAAATCTGAATTAGGCAATCCAAAGACCTCTTTAGTGCTCACACGACCCTATAACCAAACCATAAACTAAAACTACTCATTTCCATGAACATCATCCTCTTTAGCATCTGAGAGTCTCAATTTCTCAAAATTTTCTGGATAAAGTGAAACCAGAAACGCACCTTCAAAAGAGTGATCTCGCCGATACTCACTTTATCCACTGCTAGATCAACGGAGGAAGACGCCTACTGCGACGAAATCCCCAGAAATCAAAAGAGGGAAAGTTACATAAGAAATTGGAGATGAGGTTGCAGAGGAAGGGGTAGTAGTGACGATACCTCGGAGGATAATACTTCCACAGGAGGAGGCGGTGGAGGAAGAGCTGGCTCTGGTGAATCAAGGAACCCTAAACCTAAACCAGAACCTTGCGAAGACGAAAACAGCTGAAACGTCGGATTCGTCGTCATTGACAAAAAAGCTTCGGCGGCAGCACTTCAAAGTAGCCTCCAGAGTCCAGAGCACAGAGGAGCAAATAGAAACCAATTGAACCGGTCGGTACGAGATTCGATTATTTGGTCCAGTTAACCGATCAATTTGACTATGAAATTTTAAATTAAACCAAACATAACTTTTTACATAGTTTCTAGTTTCTACACCAACTTGTATACAATACATGTTAACCAATCAAAACCTCAATTCATTCTACATATTTTTTGGGCACTTTTTATACTTACTGTGGAGTATTTGGTATTCTCACACTGCACAGTCTACATACAAACCAAATCCAATGGACCAAACCAAATGGTTCAACAGCATTGAACACAACCAAATTTTTTGAACAAAGCTCAAAGATTCACTTCTTTTGTTCTGTTCTTATGTATCAAAATAGCTTCTTTTGAGCAAATTGCTTTTACCTATATAAAACTAAAAAAGCCACAGTAATGAATGACATAGTTTCCACTTTTATGCCAAAATTTGAGGTTCATAAGGAGAAAAAGTATACTTGTAATCATCACTATCATCAAACCCATCACTACCATCTTTCCCTTGTCTCATCATCTCTCTTACTTCTTCAATCCTCTCTAACATTCCCTTCACAGCCAGCTCAAATGCATCTTCATTCCCTTTTGATCCATACTTCGGATCAGCGTAGATCACCCTCGGTATCAACTTTATCACCTCTTCTCTCAAACTCACCACTCTCTCCTCTGGAATCTCAATCAACCTCTCCTTGATTTTGATATTCCACTCCTTCACATCCTTAACCGGTAGATAAACCGAGTAACTCGTGTGGTTCTTAGGCAAATGCCACTTGTATTGAGCGTATGCAGTCCCCGGATGGAAGAACACTGGGATGCAGCCTGCCAATATCGAATCAAATATGGATCGTCTCGTGTAAGAATCTCCCGGTGGCTGAAGACAAAACACCGAGTTCCTGAACACTTTCATAACATTGACAGGGTTGTCACAATTCGTTTTCCCATAGTTACAGTCTAGCAAATAACATTGCTTCTTTGATTCCAAACATTCATCAATGATCTTCCCTCGAACCGAGTCTTTATACTCAGGTCTCGGAGCACCCGCAAAGGCGAATAGATACTCACGTTTCCGAGACCTCATTAGCTCTTGCCACTCCGCAACTTCATCCACTGATCTAGGATGAAAACATGTCGGATAAGGAACAGCGTAATCGTTATTCCAAGAACTCGACTCAATAGACAACATAGACATGTTTCTTGATTCGGGCAAGAACCTAAGCTTGCTCCCCCAATCAGATTCGTTATCAGTCTGTCTCCTAAAATCCCAAGCAATCCTTCCTGAAACCAAGAAATGGTCTCTACCGGACATACGACGCCACTCTTTCTGTTCCACAAGCCAATTCATGAGCTCATGAGACGAAGAATCCCTAACAGAAATGTTGAAACCCCAAAGATACCTACTCATATCAAGACCTGCGTAAAAGGGCACAAAAACCGCAGAGGCAAGAGACGAATCATTCGTCAAGCATCTGTAATTCATCATCTTGTTGTGAAAAATCACCTCGAGCATAAACTGATTCGTCGTGAACCAGCTCTCCTTCAACAACACATTCTCGTAGCTCTTAATCGCATGACCGAAACCGTAGTTCTCGATGTAAGGACAAATGTCTTTCTCGGTTCCTCTAGTAATCAAATAGCAGTTATCAAGCAATTCGAAATTGAATTTGTACGGAAGATCATGAACATAGATGTACCGACCGGAGCAAGAAGGAGATGGGTCGTCGAGTTTTCGAGAAAAGTTGTCACCTTTAGTGAATTCAGAGGGGATTGATTTCTGGGTAACGTCAGGGATTGAGAAAGAGGGTTCGTCTGTGTCGGTGAAGAGAGCAGAGTAGTCGAAACAGAGGAGAACGAAACAGAGGATGAAGAAGAGTGGAACAATGAACCAGACATTGTTATGATTGTTGTTGTTGTTGTTGTTGTTGTTGATACGGTACTTCCCCGTCGAGATGGGTTTCTCCATCTGAGAATAGTTCTTGGGTCGCATCAAATAAGGTAATGGGGAAAGAAATCAAAATCAAAAAAAGAGAAAATGTGGAGATTTGTTGAGAAGTTAAAGGAGATTATAGATAGTGTGAGCATGAAATTTGGGGGGGAGAGAAAGAGAGTTAAAGAGTGACACATGGATGTGTCGAGAGATACTAAAGGTGACCGTTTCGTTGTCGGCAAAATTAAGTTTCTGAGGAGAGATTTCAGTTTTTCACATCACATGGGTCAGTCAGTCAATAAAGGGATCTTTCTTCTCTTTTCTCTCGGCTCTCTACCTAATAATAGTACTCTATTAATGGTGTATTTACATTTTAAAATATAAAAGTGTTTTAACATTTTGTTTAATTAACTGTAAATTTGTATTTTAGTGGGTTTCATTTGTATATAGCTAAAAAAAAGATATGGGAATTTTTTAACGAAAATGTGCAAATAAATTTGTGGATTTCGCAACAAATATTTTTTTTGGTCGATAAATTTAGTATCGAACCTTTTAGTAAAAAAGAGGGTGCAAATAAACATATTGTTGGATCAATTATTGAAAAAAGGTGTTGAACAAATTTATATGAAAAATATTTGGGTTCCCCTTACTCTTGTTCATCTTTTTTAGTTAACCAATCATAATACAACAATATGGCATATTATTTTTTATTTTTAACAAAAGTAAATTAAAATAAAAATAAAAAAACAAAGCAAATTAAAGAAACAAATTCTCTAGGATTTTTATTAAGAAAATATATTTCGATTTGGGTTGACAAATTAGTGTTAGGGTTTAGATTTTGTAATTAAACAAAATTATATTTTGGTTTGGGTTGACCAAATAGCGGTTAGAGTTTAGATTTTGTAATTAAAAAAATTATATTTTCGGTTTGGGTTGACAAATTAGTGGTTAGGATTTGGATTTCGTAATTAAACGAAATTATATTTTCGGTTTGGGTTGACAAAATAGTGGTTAGGGTTTAGATTTTGTAATTAAAAAAAATTATATTTTCGGTTTGGGTTGACAAATTAGTGGTTAGGATTTGGATTTCGTAATTAAACGAAATTATATTTTCGGTTTGGGTTGACAAAATAGTGGTTAGGGTTTAGATTTTGTAATTAAACAAAATTATATTTTGGTTTGGGTTGACAAAATAGTGGTTAGGGTTTAGATTTTGTAATTAGACGAAGTTATATCTCCGTTTGGGTTGATAAAATAGTGATTAGGATTTAGATTTTGTAATTAAACAAAATTTTATTTCGCTTTGGGTTTATAAAAAAGTGATTAAGGTTTGTTTTATTTTTAATTTATTTAAAAAAAATAATATGACATGACATACAGTATATTGTTTTTTTGATTGGCTAATCAATATGGGTTGAACAGGGTGAACCCAAATATTGCTCAATTCATATAGAGTTTGAAAAGTTATAATATTTGAGATGGACAAATCCGTCAGCGGTTTAATTCACTTCATTGTTAGACGGACAATAAATCGACGTAAACTGAATTATTTGTATATAAGAATGATTTGTAGTTTTGCCAGAAAAAAAAAAGGTTTGTAGTTGGATTATAGCAAATTTCTTTATTTTCTTTGAATTGACACAATTACAAAATATAATCCATGAACATCTGAACAATAAATAAAAAAAAGGTACAATCCATAAACTATTTTATTCGTTCCAACTATTGTAACCATTGGAACCTATAGTATATTAGTTTTTTTATTGATACTCTGTTTACACTTTTGACAAAAGAAAAGAAAAATGAGAGAAAATAAAATATAAAAGATATTTAAAACACTTTCGTAAGGAAAATAAACTGATCTTTAAATGAGTACTAAATTTCCATCATATCATTCTCATAAAATTAAAATATTGGTTAGGAATTCTATATGAAAAGTAGCAATTGCTTTGATCTATACGTTTCTGAGTCTTTTTTGACATTTGCATAAACTTCAACATAAGAGCTTAAAAGAAGGATGGACTTTAGATTCCCAACCACCATTGATCTCGGCGAATATTATGAAACTTATATGACCACCGACAAAATTTACAACTTTACTTAAAGTTTTCATTTGGTGATGTCATCGTTTATGGTTTTTTAGACTTCACTTTTCTTTTTTTTTTGTTGCCTACAACTTCACTTTTTAGTATTCTGAAGTTTCGATAATTGATACTATAATGGGTCTTTCAAGAAAATGTAAAAATCTTCATCTTCGTATAGGTTTTAAGTGAAATAATTTTCTTGAAAGACTTTATAATCATTATAAGTTATTCGGATAAATTCTAACAAAAATCTAGAATTTACCTAATAACTATGGTTCCAAAAGGTAATTGCATTTTTTTACTGCGGGAGAAATGCGATGCGGTTCAAATAGTAACGAAAATACATAAATATATATGTATATGCAGATATTTTAACACTATTACAACACTGTTGCGGTGCGGTTTTGTAGTGCGGTATGGTTACCATTCGGAGCCTATATAGTTCATAGGTAAAATAACTTAAAAAAAAAACTTTACGATCATTCTAAGTTTGTAGGGTAAATGTTAAGTTTATACAAAGATTTAGAATTTACCTAATAACTGTATGAAGGTAAAATAAATCTCTAAACGTATATAAAAAAATTAAAGATCTTCATTTTCATATAGTTCCTAGGTAAATATTTTTTTAAAAATTTATGTGAAATCGAAAATTTAAAATCTTCATTTCATTTATTAGTTTTTAGGTACATGTTAAAGTTCTTCTTCTTCATAAATATAGTTTCTTCAAAACTACTATATTTTACTAAAATTTCAAAGGTAAGATCTTTCTATAAGATTTCTCTGTTTGCTCGGTTATATTGTTTCTTCGGTTAGTTCAAATCTTGTCAAATTGAAACAAAAAAGATTAATATTGATAAGTTCAGTAATTAGTGTTTTTGGTTCATGATAAAATCCACCGATTGAACCAAAACTTAGAACCTCTAAAGTCTATATGAAATCGATAATTTAAAAATCTTCGGTTTTGTATAGTTTTTAGGTAAAATATTTTTTGAAAGTTTATATGAAATCAAAATTTAAAGATTTCATACAGCGTTGATTGTGTTGCCTAACATAATTCTAGGGTAAAATTTAAAGATTTTCATCTTCATATAGTTAAATGCAATGGATTTAAAGAATTTCAAAGGTAAGAGATCACAGATATGACTTAACAAGTAAATGTAGTTACTTAATAATGTTCTTGTAACAAGATAAGGGATCTATACTTATGACAATACTTATTTATGACAACAGGAGAAGTACATGATGTGATTAAGACGCACCAATAACATATTAACTAATTGTCATGGCATGAAACAACAGATTGGAATGAATATTAACTTAGGGCAGAAAGATTAACTAATTGTCATGGCATGAAACAACAATTCAGACGCACCAAACACATATTCACAGATTGGAATGAATATTATAAAAGTCAACAAGATTGACATTATAATTGAACAACAAGTTCAAGACCAATAGAACAAATCAGTCAACAACAACTCACATTTTAAAGGCATCTTTAATCAGATAAAATAAATCAATACACTACCAATCTACAGGTTCAAGACAGACACACTATTACATTATCATAAACAATCTGAACAGAGAATTCATTACACTTATCAATTCATTACAGTAATAACAAATCAATTCCTAACACTACCAAAATGAATGTTCAAGAATATATGTTGCATAGACTAGAAAAACAAAATGGATTCTGACAAAATACCTGAAAGATATGTTTACAAAAGCGGCCAAGTGCTTATCCGCTCCACTTTTCCAACCTCACCACAACCTTCAAACCTCAGAATCAAAGAAAAAAACTAGTGTTAAAGACATGTAAACGCTTTGATCATATCTAGATTAAACCATACAACTATAGATCAGAACAATATCGAACCAAAACACATCCAAATCCTGATTCAAAGCATGCAAATCAAACATCAGAAGAACACACAAGGGATTTTGAATCCTATTTTAACTAAAAACTAAGGATCCAAAACAATATCAAACCAAAACACATCCAAATCCTTATCCTAAAGACTGTTAATCAACATATCTATACCCTACAACTCTTAACAACTTCATTCACAATTAATTTCCTCATTCAAACCGTGCAAATCAAACATCAGAAGAACACACAAGGGATTTTGAATCCAATTTTATTTAAAATACAAACGACCCTAAACAATATCAAACCAAAACACATCCAAAATCATGTTAACCTACATAACTAAACCCTAGAACTCTTAACATGTACAACTCACTAAATTTCCTGAATCAATACCTACAAATCAAACATCCCAACAACACAGGACCGTATTTAACAAATATTTCATTTTCGAAACTAAAGATCCAACCAAATAACCAACCCGCAGATCTTTAATCCGTGGCCAAACTATTGAGAATGAAGACGGAGGTAACTTTACACTCAACGAAATATTCATCCAACGAACGAACTTCATAAAAGAAGAAGAAGGAAAAGACGATTGTTGCATGTACCTGAACTTGGACGAATTCAGGTTTGAGAGACGGAACGGATGAGGAGGAGACGCAACAGATCCAGAAGACGAATGGGACTGGAAGGTGACGGAATACACGGTGGATGAGCCGGAGAAGACGGCTAGACCTTGTCGGATCAGACGAAACGGTGGTTCTCTCGTCGCATCGCGCAGCTAGGGTTCGAGAGAAAGAAGAAACAATTTGGGGATTTCTCGATTTGCTTCACTGGCCAAAAAACAAATAATTGTATGAAAAAAATAAAAAATCGACCTATCACAACTCGCCACGTCGCCTAAGACTCGCCCACCAAAACATATTCGTTTCGAACCGAATGGACTTTGATTTTAGACTATTCCTATTATTTGGGCTTTTTATAATAGCATAACATCCGAACGGATAGCCCGTTAAAGATGCCCTAAGCTCTTCATCTTCATATAATAAAATGTAATAGATTTGAAGAATTTCAAAAGTAAGAGCTCTCTATAAGCTCTCGGAGTATTTGGTGTTAACCTGCTCGGTTATTTCGATTTTTTTTTCCTTCGGTTCAGCTCAATGTAGTCAAATTGATTGGTTCGGTGATCAATGTTTTTGGTTCAGGATTTGAAAATTCACCGGTTTGAACCGAAACTTTTTAAAATCGATTTGGTTTGATTTTTATCCTTAATGGGCTAAGTTTATAAAAGCCCATTTGAAATACTCGAAACAAATAAACTTGAGACTTTTCACCTTTCCATTGACAGAGAGAACCCTAACTGGAGTGGAGACGGTGTTGATACGATCGATCGCATTTGATTGGAAAATTTCGATTTCGCTCCATTTCGATCTAATTAAGCAGATACCATGGATGAAGAAGACGGAGAGAGACGTGTTCGTGCGAAGCCCTCAGGTGACGGAGCAGTAGTTGAAGTAGATAAGCTGAGAAACTTGCCAGATTCTTTGCTTCATCAGATTCTCTTGAAACTTCCCACCAAGGATGTGGTGAAGTGCAGTGTGTTATCCCACCGATGGAGAAATCTATGGAGATACGTACCTGGGCTGGACTTGCAATGTGGTGATTTCATGGTGAGTGACTGTGATGACTTCTCGGATTTCATGACTTTGTTGGGGTTCGTTTATAGGTTTCTGGGTTTCAACAGTGAGTCGTGTTTACGAGAGTTTAAGTTAACGGTTGATTCTTATAAGGCTGTCGAGCTTGGCACTGATCATTTCACCCACTGGATCAACACTGTTGTTAAGAGGAAAGTTCAACATCTCAATATCTTGGACAAAAATTGGGAGATGAATAGAGTAGTGATACGGATACCCGGAACAGTTTACTCGTGTGAGAGCTTGGTATCTTTAACTCTCCGGTACATATGCTTGCCTAATCCCCCCGAGCTTGTGTCTTTACCTTCTCTTAAAGTTATTGTTCTAGATGGAGTTGAGTTTGACAACGATTTGGCTTTGGAGATGCTGATCTTAGGCTGCCCTGTTCTTGAAAGCTTAAGTTTAAACACTATTAACATGAACGGCAATTTAGAATATCTTCAAGTGTGTTCTCAGTCTCTATTGAGTTTCACTTATGTTGAGATGATGGGTTATATGAATATCATAATTGATGCTCCTAGGCTTGAGTATCTGAGGCTTAGTGATAAGGGAATGGAAAGTTTCATTATAGAAAATCATGGTTCACTTGTTAAGGCCGATATCGATACTGAGTTTGACTTAAGTTTCGATAATGAGTCTGATCCATATAATCTACCAAAGAGACATATGATTCGTAATTTTCTTGTTGGGATATCTTGTGTTAAAGATATGAGCATCTCTTCGAGTACTCTTGAGGTAATCTATGTTGATTTCACTATTTGGATGCTTGACTTTATCTTATAGGTTCTTACTGATCTCTTTTTCTTTTTCGTTCTTTGTAATAGGTCATATATAATTACTCAAGATGTGAAAAACTACCCTTATTCCATAATATAGCTTACTTGCAAGTCAAATTCACCGACTACAGGTGGGGAATGTTGCCAATCTTTCTTGAGAGCTGCCCGAATCTAAGATCTCTTGTCTTGGTTAGGATTTCTACTGAATCATAAACTCCTTTCCTTACTATGTATGCAAATGGTAAAAGTAAGACATACTCAACTTGTTTCGTCTTACTTGCAGGAAATTAGTAGCCGTCCTCCGAGGAAGAAGGGAGTTAGTATCTTACGTGGACCTCGTCAGTTTCTAACATCTCTTGAGTATGTTAAGATTGTGAAGCCGATGGCAGAGAAGGCAACAGAGACAAACCCGAAACTAGTGAGTTACTTTCTAGAGAACTCAACAATCCTCAAGAAACTCACACTATGCTTAGGCAATTTGAGACAAAAGGAAGAAGCTGTCATCCTCAGGAAACTTCTTACTATTCCAAGACTCTCTGCCTCGTGCCAAGTTTTTGTGCTCTGATCCTCACAAGTATTTATTCCGGTGATGAACATACAAGCCAATATTGTCTTTTGAGTACTAAGTTATCATGAACTCTATGTTTTTTCGTCGTTTGACGCAAGTTTGATCTATTGTCTAAGCTAGTAAGAGAAATCGTATGTTAGGTGTTTTGTTAAATATGAATATTTAAGTTTTCTCGTCAACTAATTCAATTCTAAGACTCTTTTTTGTATATTCCTTTTGAACAAACATTTCTAAGACTTTATGTTTAGTATGTTTGGCTTAAAAACATATTTTTTCATCTTCCAAAGATCTCACAGTATTCAATAATTTATCATTTTACTTGGGGCATTTGTAGTTGTTTTAGGTATTTTTGGGTTTTTAATCGTAGTTTTAAAAACACTTTAAAAAGACATTTTAGTTTAATAATATTACTCATAAAAATGAAAAAGAATAAACAAAAATCATTTATTTACGGCTAAGGCTCTCTCTCTCTCTCGGGTCTTGTTGCCCACCATCACGAATTCACGATCTCTCGTTACTGTTTCTGATTAGAATCAAAACAATGAACGGCGCATTAGGTAACTCCTCCGTTTCCATGAGCGGCGGCGGAGAAGGAGCCGGAGGACCAGCTCCTTTCTTGGTTAAGACCTACGAGATGGTAGATGATTCCTCGACGGACCAGATCGTATCGTGGAGCTCCAACAACAACAGCTTCATCGTTTGGAATCATGCGGAGTTTTCAAGCCATCTTCTTCCAACTTACTTCAAGCACAATAACTTCTCTTCTTTCATCCGTCAGCTTAATACCTATGTGAGTCTTTTTCTCTCAATTTCGATTTCTCTACCCAACTCTTCTTCTCTCTTCTCCATGTTTTTGAAATTGACCTAATTTTGATCGCGTATCGTTTGATTCAAGTTCTTAGACGAAAAGGGTTTTGTTGTTTTCGTGATTTATAGATTGAATTGTGGAATTGAGTTTATGGGTTGTGGATTGATTTCAAGACGAAGATGAAATGTAGCTAAAGTTGATGTCTTTGTATGGATGTGTAAGAGCAGCGACGAAAGCGTTTAGGCCTGTATGATTATAGATTGGATTGTCGAACTGGGTGAATTTTTTTGGGATTTTATCTCATCCAATGTGAAATGTAGCTTAAAGGTGAAGGCTTTGTATGGAATTTAAGAGCAATTTCTCAGTGCTAGCAATAGGATTTTATCTCCTCCTGTGTCATCATTTGATTGGAGCTAGGGACTGTGTGTGGACTTTTAAGAGAAGTTACGGGTACTAGCATTCGGATTTTATCTCCTCCAGTTCAGTGTTATCACTTTATTGGAACTTAGGGATTTTGTTGGTATTCCTCGTTCTCTGCTTTAGATTTCTATAACCGGTGAATGTTCTTGTGATTTTGTTGATAGGGGTTCCGGAAGATTGATCCAGAGAGGTGGGAATTTTCGAACGATGATTTTATTAAGGATCAGAAGCATCTTCTCAAGAATATACATAGAAGGAAAGCTATACACAGCCACAGTCATCCACCTGCTTCGTCGGCAGATCAAGAAAGAGCAGTGTTGCAAGAGCAAATGGACAAGCTTTCACGTGAAAAATCTGCGATTGAAGCTAAGCTTTTGAAGTTCAAACAACAGAAGGCTGTAGCTAAGCATCAGTTTGAAGAAATGACTGAGCATGTTGATGATATGGAGAAGAGGCAAAAGAAGTTGCTGAATTTCTTGGAGACAGCAATTCGAAATCCTTCATTTATTAAGAATTTTGGCCGTAAAGTTGAGCAATTGGATATTTCAGCTTACAACAAAAAGCGAAGGCTCCCTCAAGTTGAGCAATCAAAGCCACCTTCAGAAGATTCTCATCTGGACAATAGCAGTGGTAGCTCAAGACCCGAATCGGGAAATATTTTTCATCAAAATTTCTCGAATAAATTGCGGCTAGAGCTTTCTCCAGCTGTTTCAGATATGAACATGATTTCACACAGTATACAAAGTTCCAATGAAGAAGGAGCGAGTCCCAAGGGAATACTGTCAGGATGTGATCCAAAAACTACACTAACCAGAAGAGAAGGCCTACCATTTGCACCTGAAGCACTAGAGCTTGCAGACACCGGGACATGCCCGAGGAGGTTACTGCTAAATGACAATACTAGAGTGGAGACCTTGCAGCAGAGGCTAACTTCTTCAGAGGAGACTGATGGCTTTTCATGTCATTTAAATCTAACACTGGCTTCTGCTCCATTACCAGACAAGACAGCTTCACAGATAGCTAAGACAAATCATAAAAATCAGGAGATTGGAAGATATACTGAGTTAAACTTTAACTCAATAGAAACAAGTGCAAGTGAGAAAAACCGGGGTCGACAACAAGAGGTTGCAGTTGGAGTTAACCAAGCAAATGCAGCTCCTCCAGCAAGAGTGAATGATGTATTCTGGGAACAGTTCCTAACAGAAAGGCCGGGGTCTTCAGATAATGAGGAGGCAAGTTCGACTTATAGAGGAAACCCATACGAAGAGCAAGAGGACAGAAGAAACGGGAATATAATCTCACGTAATACAAAGAATATCGAGCATCTGACCTTATAAAGTAATTAACTGGTAAATACATCCTCAAACCTACTCGTTATCTCTATATTCCTTGGTGATAGACATGTTAGCCTTCTCGATACTTTGCATGATGTTATTTTTTGGCAACATTTTGGTTGTTTAGCTTTTCATTGTCGACAGTGGTTAGGAAAATTTAGCGCATACTTATGTAACCTTTGTATTGTCAGTAAAAACTTAGCATGTTGTCATCTGACTCATGTAGAGAAATCATAATCGGTTTATGCCGATATACAATGCTGTAAATTTACCCATTTGCTTTTCTTTTCAGGTTACATGAACGAGTATGGTCTGTGGTTATGCCACATGTATGTCTGAGTAAGTAATGAAACAATGGACTCCTGCTAATAGCGTCCAAAGCGTAAGTAGTCTTCCTTGGTGTGTAAACACTAGTGTCTCTCACTTGTATCTCTTTTCTACACATGTAATTTGAGTGTAAATTTAAGTGCATAGACCATACGTAGCCTTCCCCCAAACCTTAGAACCGACGATGTTAACATCCATACTCTAAAATGTGTTTCTAATTCTTTTTTGGTTTGGTTTGGTGTATGTGTAACTTGTATAATGTATCAGCAAGTTTGATACACAATTATATATCTTTTCCCCATCTTTAAAACATGAAAGCTTTTGAAGTGACATGATAATCGAGATTTCCCGAGTTATTACCCGGTTCACGCATCTTCAATCAAATCCCACGAGTTGGAACCAACGACAAACCAACTAACTGTACCAAGTAAAAAGCTTAAGTAATTTAAACCACATGACTAAACCGGTTGGTTTAGATTTGAATATAACGATGTCGTTTGATATTTCTACCATAAACGTCGTCGTATCAGCTTCTTCTCCCTCTCTCCAAGTTCGATTCTCAGACACTGAAGAAGAAGAACCCTAAAGCGTTTTCTTCAATCGTCTGTCTCTGGGGTTTATCGAAGTCGACGTCTATTTCTGACTCCGCCGTTTCAGAGTTAGTGCTTCTTTCTCTCTGTTGATTTTGATATACTCCGTTGTTTTACTTTCATTTTTTTGACGATTTTTTCAATAAAGTTCTAACCTTTCAAATACATAATCAAATTTGTGTATTTGGGGAAGTTTGATATCATTGTAAGTTTGAATTTAGGTGTTGTTATATTCCTCCTTGGTCTGATTTCATTGCTGATAAAATGCTTAATCATTTGTTTTGCCTTAATCTGTTTATGTTTGCCCTGTTGTGGTTTGAATAGCTGTGTTCTTGTTTGTTTTTTTTCCCAATTTAGTCCTTTTTACTAATAACATACATGTTTCATTTAAATGAGTTAATTTTCATGAAGACATAATGGGAGTTTATTTTTCCTATAACCAGAGACGTCTCAAGTGTTAGTGTCAAGAGTGAACAAATGTATCGTTTCAATAAATAAAAAATCTGTTTGAGAATGTCTTGTTTCAATATAGAGTTGCCAGGATTCTGTCGTGATGTTTTCAACTCTTGAAAATTTCTTAATTCTGTGTCATTTTGTTCATGATTTTGTCTACATAATGAAATGCAGATGGCTAGATGGGATCAGATTTTCTCCTTACCTGTGCAAAATCCTACTTTGCCAGAATTTTCTTCTGCTGATCTTGTTTGGTCAAAGGTTGAAGGTTACCGGGACAATATAGATAGGTTAGCCCTCATCCCGTATACTAGGGTGGATGATTTTGTAAGAGGCGAATCCTCGAATAAAGATTGTCCCACGAGTTTCCATGTCGAAGCTAGAAGAAGGAAAGCCAAAGGGAAAAAATATAAGCCAAAGGTTGATGGCATCCTGGAGTATATTCTGTAAGTTACACAACAAGTTAGATCATTTATCTGTTTGCTTGTCCTCCGCATGCATCTCTTTTTGTTAGTAAGTGTGGAACAAAATCGTTGGTTATAGTTTAGTGTTTTTGATTGAGTAGGTATTGGTGTTCCTTTGGACCAGATGACAATAGAAAAGGCGGAGCTGTTCGGCCAAGTAGGAGCACATATGTTCCAAAAAAGAACAATGCAGGCCGACCCAATTCCAAGAGAGGTTGCAGGTGTCACTTCATTGTGAAACGCTTAATTGCAGAGCCAACAGTGGCTTTAGTAATTTATAATAATGACAAGCATGTAGATGAAAAAGGGTTGCCCTGCCACGGTCCACAAGACAAAAAAGCGGCTGGAACAAGAGCTATGTTTGCTCCATATATATCAGAAGACCTTAGGCTACGTGTATTATCTTTGCTCTATGTGGGTGTCTCTGTGGAGACCATAATGCAAAGGCATAATGAATCAGTCGAAAAACAAGGGGGTCCAACTAACCGAGATGATTTGTTAACTCATAGATATGTTCGAAGACTTGAGAGGAGTATTCGACGTTCAACATATGAGCTCAATGAGGATGATGATGTCAGCACCAGCATGTGGGTTGAAAATCATCAGAGTCAGGTGTTTTTCTTTGAGGGGTTTTCTGACACCGACCCTTTTTCCTTGGGTATCCAAACTGAGTGGCAGTTGCAACAAATGATTCGATTTGGAAACTGTAGACTTTTGGCTTCAGACTCGAGGTTTGGAACAAATAAACTAAAGGTCAGTTTCTTACAGTTTGCTCAGTAGCTAAATTTGGTATATATATATTTATGATTTTCAGGTCTGTCTTGTGTTTATTTCCAGTATCCCATTCATAGTCTTGTTGTATTCGACTCTGAGAATAAGGCTATTCCAGTTGCTTGGATAATTGCACCACGGTTTTCCAGTGGAGATGCATATAGATGGATGAGAGCTCTTTGTAACCGAGTCCATGCCAAGGATCCCTCCTGGAAGGTGGCTGGGTTCATAGTTGATGATCCTTTTGCTGACGTAACAACGATCAGGTTGGTTGCTTCAACGACCACTTTTTTATTTAAAACCATATTTTGCATGTCCCTTCTTTCCGTAAATTGGCAGAGTTTACCACAGCAAAGCATTTAGCTTTGAATGCAGTTAACTTAGTTATATAACCAATTGATATATTGATTGAAGTTGACTTTGGTCACTTATATAGTGGAGCTCTGTGTAGTACTATTTGGACAAATTGACTTAGATGTTACAACCATAGGGCTTGAACCCTTGGTTGGACTGGCTAGGTGCAGTTTGACCTAGTTAGATTATAAGATTCATCACTTCATCAACAGATACTGAATCATATTGCTCTCGTTTGTTGATAAGAACTTTGGTGTAAGCATATGTTTCAGACAAGGAACCAAATTCAACCCTCAATATTATAGTTATTGAATGCTATTGCTTGCGATGTTCTCAGGGATGTATTTCAGTGTCCTGTCTTGTTTTCCTTTTGGCGCGTTCGCCATGCATGGCAGAAGAACATATTCAAGAGATGTCCAGAAACAGAGACACGCGTTGAGATTTCAAGACATCTTGGGCAGGCTGTAGATAAAATCTGTAGAAGACAAGGAACAGCCACATTGTTTGACAGTTTTGTGGGGGATTTTGTTGGTAGTCCAGAATTTGTAGAGTACTTCAGAGCTGTTTGGTCTCCCAGAATAGGTTATTTTCCGATTCTCTCTTTTCATTTCTTACACTCTACCTGCATGAGTGCATGGTCATCAAAAATTCATTGGTAGGTCTAAAGGTTCATGGACCCTAAGTATCAAGTGTATACATGTAATTCTACATTGGTTCTCTGCCACTCTACCTGAAATTATTGCAGATATTTGACATTAGTTCTCTCGAGAATGACTTTTTCCCTCCAATTTATTGTAGGAGCTTGGACAAGTGCGTTACAATCTCTTCCCTTGGCAAGCCAAGAGACATGTGCAGCAATGGAGCTTTACCACTATCAGCTGAAGTGCAGGCTTTTGAATGAGAGGGACTCTGAAGCTTATCAACGTGCTGATTGGTTGGTCGATAAGTTAGGGACAAAAGTACATTCTTACTTCTGGCTTGATGAGTATTCTGGAAAAGATAATTTTGCCAGGTATTGGAAAGAGGAATGGGTGAGCGGGTTGACTTCCTTCCGCAAAGCAATGAGTATACCAGATTCTGATGTTGTTTTATCTGGTATGTCTGCAAAAATAACAGATGAGTGTGAAGGCAACAAAATTCATGTTGTGTGGAATCCAGGGTCACAGTTTGGGGTTTGCAGCTGCAGCTGGGCAGAAAAGGGATACATATGTAAGCACATGATCAAACTTACACAACAATGTCTTGGAAACAGAGCTTCTATGCAATCCGCGAGCCTTCTACAGTATTATCAGACCTTGATTGATCTGCTACGTTGCCCACCTCGCGATTCCTTGTTTCGTGATTATGCAATTTCATTAGCCGTCTCTGTGGAAAAGCAAATAAATGCACCCGTCAATCTGCAAAAGAGTGATGCTAATGAAGGTAACTTGCAGAAAGAAATTGCTTTCAGTGAACCATCTAATGGAAAATCTCTTGATGAATATGATTTGCTAGATAAACATGAGGGTCATGGCGGAGTTGCTACTGATTTAGATGGTGAGTTGAGTAAATTGCCAATGAGTTGTCTAAGGGCCTGCTCAGAAAATGCAGAAGAAGTTATTTTGGGTTCTGAAATGGAAATCGAACCTTCACTATGTTCATCCAAAGCTGCTGTAGAGAATGTTACCTCAACTACACCGAATGAGACAGACAGTGTGAACGAGAATTGTGAAAGAGGTGCCAAAAGGTTGAAAATTTGGGCACCCGAGCAAGGGAGTGTATGAATGATCGTAAATGAGCCGAGAACTTAGCGAGAATTTCAAGATTTGAATGAGCAACCTAATGTTGGGCAGACACAAACTGATGAGCAACATTTACCGGGTCTTAGGATACTTGATTCCAGTGACCACCCACTTATGATGAAGAGTCTGTTGTGTTGACGTTGTATCTTCCATACAACGTGAATGAGTGATCCAAGAACGCTTACATTCATCTGAAAGCAACAGCAGCTGAGTGTCTTGTACTCAAGTCAGCTCTGCTGAATAGGTTATGAAAGTGTATTATTCAAACCAATAGACTTGTTGAATAGATTATGAAAGCCACTAAATGAGTCTCTCTGTCAACTTTGATAATTATGATTTGTGTACAAAAGTGTGAAATCAATCACGTACTAAAAGCAGTGTAAAGCAAAATGTATTGCTTAACAAATCAAGTGATGTAGATCATTTATTTATAAGAGAATATGTGTATAAATTTATAGATGTAAGTATAGTTGTGTTTTTGATAATAGAGTATACATTGTATATAGTAATATATGATAATCAATTAGTAATGAATGAGTCCATTATTGGTATTCTTGGATTTGGAAGAGTCTTGATATAGCAGCAGCAACGGCTCACACGAAGAAAACAAGTTCCTCCCAATTCGTGGTTGTTAGCTTTGCAAAGATCGATGCATGTCGATGAGTCTTTACATTCTAGTCCTGAGTAGCATTGTGCGTTTTGCCCTGTTTTGTTCATAAAACAATAACACCATGAACAAATAATAATTTTAACAACCATTGTTTTAAATTGGAATTCGAACTTAGAAAATAGAAAAATATGAAACATGTTATTCAAAATATATAAAAAACAATTTCTTGAGTGTTATATATATATAAAACCTGAAATCTTGGGTAGAAGGATGAGAGTGCAGACCATCAACAATACAAGAAATGAAATCATCTTGGCACCCATTTTACTAGAGGATTTAACAATTATTTGTTACAAGTTTAAACAAGTAAGGTTCAGAATCAATTTCATTATGTGTTACGAATTTATACATATTAACTTATAACCTAATTTAGAAAAATCACATATTTGCTTTTCAATAATCAAACCATTTGATATCATTCTAATAAAACTTCCCAATTTGTTTCCCCCTAAACATATTTGATTTTTATATTAGTTATCAAATTCTAAGACATATTTATCTACAAATGTGAAAATTTCCAAAGCTAGTTAGATTTTAAGCTATTCTCTTAAACATGCATTTAAGAAAGAAATAAAAATGATTCTTACCACACTTTTTTACATTTTATATCCTCATTAAGATAATAGTAAATCTTTTTTTTTTTTGACAAAAGATAATAGTAAATAATCTTTTTTTTTTGTAGTAAATAGTAATAGTAAATCTATATAATTGTTATTATATATTCTGACTTTAGGTAAGAAATAAATAATTTACACCAAGCACACTCATTCAAACATCTCCTATGATGGATTTTTCTGATTCTTTTCTCTTTTCTGCTTTCTTTTTAGTTTGAATTGGTCTTTGAAATCAAACACTTGATTTGACCTACATTTCATTATTTCAAGATAAATATAGTAAATAAACTAACTCATATAATATTTTCAAAATTATTTTAATGGATCTCCCATAATTTATAATGGATTCTCTAAAATAGAATTTTCTTATAATTATTTAGAAAATCAATCTTGGTCAAATACTTGAGTTCTCTATTAACTTTTCTTTGCTGGAGATGGGAACTATATGGAAATGTAAATTGGATAATTATGATTTGTGTAAGAAGATGAAATAATCATATTCGTTGTCGTATTTGTCCCCAAGATGAATTAATCGTACTCTAGGAAAACAAAATAATCGTATTCGTTGTACTTTGATGACATTGATGGTCAAATCAATTTGTTTTTGAAAAACCGTGTTTTCTGAAACCGGAACGTCACAATAATATTAGTATTTTTTAATGTTTATAAGCTAGTTCAAAGCCTCTGCATAGAAAACGAATCAAAAGTGTGAAGTCATAATGTACTAAAGCAGGGTAAAACAAAATGTATTGCTTAACAAAACAAGTAAAGTATTGAGTCCATTATTGGTATTCTTGGATATGGAGATTCGATCATGAAACTAATATATAGCAGCAGCAACGGTTGACACTAAGAAAACAAGTTCCTCCTAATGTGTGGTTGTTAGCTTTGCAAAGGTCAATGCATGTAGATGTGTCTTTACATTCTAGTTCTGAGTAGCATTGCGTGTTTTGCCCTGTTTAGTACATAAACACATAACATATGAATAAGAACGAATATAATAACCATTGTTTTAAGTTGGATTAATCGAACTTAGAAAAAATGAAAAATATGAACAATTTCTTGAGTTATATATATATATATATATATATATATATATAACCTGAAATCATGGGTAGAAGGATGAGAGTAAAGACCATCAACAATACAAGAAATGAAATCATCTTGACACCAATTTTACTAGATGTTGGATATAGGCCATGGTCCTCATATATTAGAAGGCCACAAAACAAAGGTCCAACAAACTTAAAGAAGGATTTTCTCAAAATAAGCCCATTAAGCTCGGAGGGGCTAAATCGTAATTCGTAGAAAGTAGAGAAGAGATTTCTAGGATTTCTAGGATTTCTAGCCCCTATAAATACATTGTATCATTGTTGGGAACGAGGAGGGCCGGAGGATATTACCCAGAAAACAAGACAGTCGCTGCCTAGCCACGACTCTCTCGCGTTTTCTCCTTCTTTTTTTTAGAATTGTTGCCTAGCCGCGACTCTCTCGCGTTTTGTCCCTCTATTTCGTATAAGTTCTTGGCTCGGTAGATTGTAGCGAGACTTATTCTCGTTGTAACTTTGGATCTCACTTAAACGGTAATAAAGGAACTAGTTTCGTATCGTCCCTAAACTCTCTTATTATTGTTATCACCCCATGTACAAACACTAGAGGATTTCATTTGAAATTTAAAAGACAAAACCAATTAGCAAGATAACTTCTATGTCTAATACCAACACCAATACTAAGATTATATATATATAGAAAAACTTACATTTCTAAGTAATGTATTGTTACACTATAAATACAAATCGTTGCCTTTAAATTCCTGTATAAGATTTTCCATATGTCATACAAATTTATAATCTAATTTAGAAAATTCACAAATTTGCTTTTTCAATAATAACACCATCGATATCTTTCAAAATCTTCCGATTTTTTTCCCTAAATATATTTGATTTGTATATTAGTTACCAAATTAAAAGACATAATAATCGACATAAAATAAAATTATCAAAGCTATATAGTTAGATTTCAAGCTGTGTTTAAGGGAAAAGATATATTATTTTTACCACATTTTTTACATTTTATTTCCTCATTAAAAAAATTGTTAGTCGATATAAATAATTTTAGAGGCACCCATTCAAATATAGAGTACAATTATTTTAGATATATGGATACATGTTCTAGAAAAAAATTAGGTTACTATGATCAAACACATGTTCAGCTGTTCGGGTATCAGCTAATACCCAGAGCCAAACCATTATTTGTCGATTCCAGTTCCGGTTTCTGGGTTTGTTTTTGTTTTGCTTAGACCTTACAAGAAATTATATAATCTATATATAAACATATAGCTAAAATTATTATAATTATTCTGATATAGATAGTACAGATAAAATGATGGATTACTTAATAATGAATACATTAGAAATTAGTATCATGTGATTTAGAAGACTTCTGAGATTCAAAGCTATAATAACAGCAACAGTGACCTTTCTTTGATCTACCATAGCGTTCACAAAACCCTCCTAATGGGTATCCTTTATATCTGCAAAACTCATTGCATGTACCTGAGTTTGAACACACCGGTTCTAAATAACATTGTCTAGCTCCTGTTTAGTTCAAAAACAAACATATTAACAAGACTATAAAAAAAACACACAATGATGATGAACTTATGCATTTGTATACTAGTGCAAATATTTAACATGTTATGAAATTACACAAAACATTAATTTCTTTAATCTATAACCCAAAAGAAGAGTCACATTTCTTCTTAAATAAAATCTCAATTTGATTATTTCACCATGATATTATTAGATTAATAAAGATAACTATTTACATTTATATCACTTAACCCAGAATAAAATATAGGTATTACCTGAAGCTGAAGTCATGGGTAGGAGGATAAAAGCACACACCATCAACAATATAAGACAAGACAAATTCTTGATTCCCATTAGTTGTTTTACTAAATGATGCAAAGAAAGTTGTTAGAACATATTCAATCTCATGAAAATCTTATTAATAAAATAAAAAGATCTTTTGAAAGTAAAGTTTAAAATCAATGTTTAGAGAAGTTCCATTTCGCGTAAAAACATTGATAATAGGAATATATAGATATATACCAATTAATATCTTACAAATACTAACGCGATAATAACAAGTCGTTTTTCTTCTTAATAGAAAATTTTCAGGATTTCGTACCAAGCCATATTTATAATCTAATTTACATTAATTTAAAAGTTTTATTTTTAAAAGTCAAAATATCAATAGCTAGCTATTATAGAATTTCCAGTTTTAGTTTTATTTTAATGGATTTTTTAGACCATAATCTGGTCAAACCTACATTTTAAGCCATAACAGATTTTCCATAATAACATATTTCGTTATTTCTATTTTGTTATTTAGACATTAAATATTGGTCAAATACTTGATCTTCATTTATTTTAATTTTCTTTTACTATATATAAATAAATAAAATCTAAATATATTAACTTTATGAGATCTTTTATTTATACAAAGTTGATTGTTCATATATAATAAGAGATTGACTCTTAGAGCATCTGCAAAGGTGAATTTTTCTAATTAGTTTTTTAAAAAGTTCTTTATAAATTTTGATTAATTGATTAAGTGAAAGAGAGAGAGAGAATCAAAGGAAAAAAAAGAAACATTGACCAACTCCGATCATTGTTCTCCACATGTCACTAATTAAGGACTCATCCTTAGCTAAATACACATTTATTTATTTATTTTTGAACATATTAAAGTTAAGAATCCATTTATGAACTCCCCTTTGGAAATGGTCTTACACTTTTAAAATAAGGATGAGAAATGTGAGATAATAACTAAACACTAAAAATATATACAATTTTAAAGTACATTTTGTACTAAAATTATTTTTTTATAATCGATTTCCCAAAAACTAATGTCTTAAACACTATTAATCTCAAATCAGTAAAGTTAATTTTGTAAATATATATATTTTGGATCGGTTCAGAATTAAAATTTACAACCCGAAATTACAAATCGGATGCTCATTTATTATCTTAATTGAAATTAAAAAAAATACTATATTTTGAAACTATGGTAATATTCTGGTTGTTATAGAAAATAAATATAAATCTTCTATATCATTATACTAAGTCATTTAAATTTAAATAATTTATAGAACACGGGGTCAATCCTAGTATATTAACATTTTGTAAATACATTTTTGACAAAAACTTCGGAGTTCTCACGAGGTACGTTTTCCAGGCTGCTCTCCACTCTCTATAGCGTGAACGGAACGGTCGACGACATAGTGAGGTTCCAAACACCCCATAACAGATTATCGGCTCACTCGCAACAGATTATGTTCACTAAATGAGTCAAGAGCTCCTCGACTGGAGGATGGGTTACGCACTTGGTTGGCAACTCGTCTCTACACCAACTCTACGTAAACCTTTATTTTATTTTTTCTCACATTAGTCTTAATTCTGAATCCTCTTTCAAACTAAGGTTGCATATATTGTAAACAAGGTTTTTTTGGATTGAATAAATTTTAAATTCATCCAAAAAAAAAAACTTTGGGGTTCTAAATTCCAAAAAGTTAAATTAACAATAAATGTTACATGGCCGGTAAAAATTTAGTGTATTATATAATAAATTATAGAATGTAAAATTGTCTAATATGAGCCCTTTCTTAACCAAAGGTGTATCTTAATCTGACATAAGAGAGTAGAATCCATATCAAAACATATTTGACAATACAATATATGAATTATTCTGATTTTTATATGTAATACATATGAAACTAGATATTAATTAGGAATTGATATCATTGGATATGGAAAAGTCTTGAAATGAATCAAACTTTTTGGAATTTTTGAGAATAATCAAAACTAATTAGGATGACAACAACAATAACCAGTCTTTTTGCCAACATATTTTTGACAGTAACCTCCAAATCTGAATCCTTTAGTTATGCAAACTTCGTTGCATGTCTTATCGTTTGAACATCTTATTTCTTCTATACATGGTATCACTTCAACTGCATGAACAAAACACATTAACAAAGATTATATTAACCATGGATTTAATCAATACTAATCGTATTATAAATTTTAATTTACTATAGTTACAAGTCTCTCATCGTGAAATCTTAAATATGAACACAAAAAATTGCTTATAAGAAAATTTAACATTGAATAAATATGTGTGTTACCTGAAATTATTGATGGAAGGATGAAAGCAAACACCATCAATAAAGGTAATAGAAAATATGAAAACTTCTTCGTGACCATTTTTAATGTTGCTAGAAAATACAAAACTATTTGTTAGAAGAACAAAAGAAAAAAAAACTTAAGAAAAATCAAGTTCAAATTCACAGTAATAGAGTAATATTAGATATTTTAGATAAACCATTCTAATGACATTCATGATATTTACCTCTCCTCTTTTTGATATTTAGATATTGGGAATTTGACTGTATAAGTTGTGTGACTTGTATATATGCTTTCTTTATTATATGGCTTATATATTTGTTTATTTGGTTATTTGAACAATGATAAGTTGGTCAAAGGGGTTATTAATTTAGGATCAGTTTATGATTGTGTTTAAATAAATTTTGCTAAACACAATTTTATCTAATAGTGTTATAGTATTTTTTCCTTTTCTTAAAAAATATTTTTGTTGACCACATATATATTAGACTTAATTAGTGTTAAATGTTGATAATATTTACATTAGTTGTTTGGATGTGACCAAAGCTCCAACTCGTGACCACTCTTTAGGAATAGAATGAAGAGAAACGTGGTGTTACTCTTTATTCCTCAATTTTTGTTACCATTTATAAAGAATTTTCCAATTTTTAGATATGTAAGACCTACATTATTCCTATTCATTCTTCAAATAAAAGGAACAACAGTTCAAAAATGTTCGTCCTAAAAATTATAGAGGAACAACGAGGAAAAAATCTTAATAATAGTTTTATATAATTAAATATTTTAAAATACTTTTAATGATAATATTGACATTTAATTTCTAAATATAAATAATTACATAATTTTATTATAACTTTTAAATAAAATATAATTCCATCATAATTTTTACTTTATACTAATGTTATGAATTTATATATTATATTATAAAATATTTAAAGAAATTTAAAATATTCTTTAACCTAAAATAAATATTAATGTTTTATAATAACATATTTAAATTTAATTTAATATTAAGTGCAAAAAATTAAAGAAAGTTGTTAACTAAATTTATTTTAAACTTAAATTTATTAAATAAAGTTTTTGTAAAAATTATTTATATTAATCAGTTTTACTTGTTCAGTTTTTGGTTACCATTTACTAGAACATTTTTAATATTTATAAATTAGTTTATTTATTTTAATTTGCTTTTACAATATATAAATAAGTAAAATCTAAATATATTAACTTTTCCAGATCTTTCTTTTTTTGTTTAACAAAATCTTTTATTTATACATAGTTGATGTCTATATTAAAAGATGTAACATCCCGACCGCCATCTCTCTATTGGGCTCCATGTTCACCACCAGTTTATAAGGCCCACCTCTCTTAATGGAAATCACGTTCTCTCCCTAGGTTCTTGAGCCCATCAACACCTGCATGTCAGTTTGCTACGTCTGAGATGCTTAATGACTTGTTTACCGATCCTATAAACCACCACATGATCTTTCATTATATTTTGACCTCATTCACACAGTTTAGACAACCACTTCCCGAAATGTCACCCATCTTTGAACTACTCTAGCATATGCATATTTAACTGTGTAGTTTTCTCGAGACCCTTTACCGAAAAGATAAGTGCACTTTAATGACATGGATAGCCAAATCAATTCATTTAAGTCTCTCTTTAAACTAAGGTCTCACAAGAGAGTTGACTCTTACACTTTTAAATAGGGAAATTTCAAAAATATCTTTTTACAAACATGAATGAGAAGTGTGAGATAATTACTAAACACTAAAAATATGTATTACATAATAAACTGTAAAACGTAAATTTTCTAATAAGAGCCGTGTCTTAACCAACTGTGTAGCTGACATAAGAGAGTATAATCCATATAAAACATATTTGAAACTAAAATATATTAATTATTCTGATCATAATGTATATGAAATACATATAAAACGAGAAATTAATTAGGAATTAATACATTGATATCATTAGATATGGAAGAGTGTTGAGATGAATCAAAATTAGGATGACAACAACAATGACCAGTCTTTTTGCCCACATATTTTTGACAGTAACCTCCTAATCTGTATCCTTTAGATATGCAAATTTCGTTGCATGTCGTATCATTTGAACATCTTACTCCTTGTAAACATGGTATTACTTCGACTGCATAAACAAAACACATTAACAAAAATTATTTCAACCATGGAACTGATCAGTTAATCATATTATAAATTTGTATTACACATTGTTTTTACTAATCAAATGTGAGAAAATGTTATAAGTCTCTCATTTTGATGTCGTAAATAAAAACACAAAAAAATTGCTTTTAAGAAAATTTAGCCTCGATGAATAAATATGTGTGTTACCTGAAATCATTGATGGAAGGATAAAAGCAAACACCATCAATAAAGGTAATAGAAAAGATGAAAACTTCTTCGTGGCCATTTTCAATGTTGCTAGAAAATACAACAACTATTTGTTAGAATATATTTGAGAAAGAAAAAAAAAACTAAAGAAAAATAAGGTTCAAATTGACACTAATTAATAGAAATAATAGAAATTTAGAGCAACAATTCTAATGAAATATAACATTTTTACAACCCAGTTTACCTCTCCTCTTTGTGACTTGTAAGCTATGGTTTCTCTATAATATGGCTTATATATAGTATTTTTTTTTTTGGTTATTCAAACAATGATTATTTGGTCAAAGGGGTTATTAATTTTGGCTTAGGTTATGATTGTGTTTAATTAATATTATACACAATTTTATTTTATCTAAAGGTGTTATACTTTTTCCTTTATCAGAAAATATTTTAATTGACCACAATTGGATTAGACTTAATTAGTGTTAAATGTTGATAATATCTAGTATCTACATTATTTGTTTGGATTAGAATAAGAAAGAAATAGCATCATATCCATTATTCAAATTTCTATAAAACTGAATTTAAAAAAAAAAACTTAGATTCTTTTCTTATAAAGTTTATTTGGTTATTTAAAAAATGATCTTGGTTATTTTCTTATAAGTGTTACTTACATTTTAAAATCGCATTAGGAATTTAAACAATTCATGTTACAATACAAAGAGTTGATGGTCAAAACAATTTTTTACACACTTTTGGAGAAAAAAAAACATGAGTATGTAGGAATTTAAAAAGGAACCAAATGCTAATAGCTCAATTGGTGAAAATATCTGGCAAATATCAAGAGGTCGCCGGTGCGAGTAGTGCTTGGGACGAGACCATATAACATGCTCTGGTTTCGGGTCTGAGGGATATATGTGATGCCTCTTAGTTATTAAAAAAAAAGGACATCAAAAAAGAATATTAACATAAATTTTGTTAGTTTTCATGGTGTACTATAAATGTATTTTAATTTTTTTTTGTCATCAAAAGAAGAGAATCAGCTCAAACGAGCCAATTTGGAAGACAGCTGTTTACAAACTTGACAAAGTGCGGTATGGTACGAACATGTCGCGCCAAAGAATCCGCCTTAACATTCAAGTTACAAGAAATAAGAGATAAGGAAAATGTCTAAAATTCTTCCCTATCAGCGATAATATCCTCCAGGTAGATAGCGAATGCCGACCATTCGATTAGAGAAAACACCATCTTCACCAGGTCGGAACCGTCAGTGACAAACAAAACAGCTCTATAGTTATGTCTAATCATGCAGCGCATCACCCACACAAAGGCTTCAACTTCACCATGAAAAAGGGAGAGATTGCGGCGGAGATTCGATTGCGGTGTACTATAAATATATGTATACACTAGTTTAGTGAACTTCTAATTTCTAATTAATTTTTATGCATTAATAACTAAATATAAATAAATAGTGGTAGTGTTAAAAAAAAAAGGTAAAATGTTAAAAAAAAAAATGGTAAAATTAGAATATATTTTTTTGTTACGAGATTCTAAATATAAAAATGAGATTATTTCATTTTTTTGGATATTAAATTACATGTTTTATCACTATAAGTATTATTCAAAAAAAAGTATTATTCAAAAAAAATAACAAGATATTAAACATGTAAATTAAAAAAAATAGATCAAATATTTTTAGCCTTGATTCATAACTTCACTAACCTGAGAAGAAACATTATCTTCGCAAACCGGCCGGTCTAAGTTGTCTAGCCAACCTAAATCCAAAATAATTGAAAATCAAAACCGGTTTATTTTTACTGTACATTTTTCAGCTACTCTTCTTCTTCTTCTTCTTCTTCACCAACTACCTCCATTTCTGCTTTTAACCTTAACCTTCACCTTCTCCCAAAACTACACGAAACATAGAGAGAGAGAGAGAGAGCTTTGGCACAATCTGCATAAAGATGTTAAACTATGTGGCGATGGTGTTGTTCGCCGTCATTTTCCTCTCACTCTCCGACGCGATCTCGATCCCGTCGCCGAACAGAGAGATCGAAACAATGCTAGTACGAAACAGCTTAATCGGAGAAGAAGAAGATCTGATGCCGTCGGAGATAAGCCGGAGAGTTCTCATGGCGCATAAAAGGTACATCGGATACGAAACCCTAAGGAGAGACATGGTTCCTTGTCAGAAACCAGGAGCTTCTTACTACGATTGCCGATCTGGACAAGCTAATTCTTACAGCAGAGGTTGCGAAACCATTACACGATGTGCTAGAGACACAAGCGACATCAACACCTGAGAAAACACTTGTTTGGTCCTTTTGTGTTCAAGAGGCAAGTAAATTAAAAGGCTTTTTGTTGTTATATAATGTCTCTGAGACTTTGACATAAGAATTGTTATATGTATGTAACTCTGCAACTATGTGGTTTATCAAATGTTTAATTATTAAGATCTTATATATTTACAATTTACAAGATTGATTTGAAAAACTTTGGGTGCTTTTGGACCAAATTAGAAGCTTTTCACTTAGGATATGTTTGATGGTTCTTGTATAGTAGATCATGTGAAATCTAGTGTGTGTCATGGAACACAATCATATACATGTCCTTGTACAACAATGGGATAGACCTTGGTAGAATCTAGAGAGTACTTTCCAATCCCCTGGCCTTGGCCATCAGATGGAGTTAGGCTTGAATCCACGGTACATCCTTGCTAAACATAGCAGATCTATATACTATGTGAGTTTGGTGATTTGAGGCTCTCCACGTACGTGTATGTATTCTCGTGTCGCCAGAAATCAACACCGCGGATGTTCATATCCCCTCTATGTTTTATGCTCAGAGTTGTATAAGACCAACTGTCCATCGAATCCTAGCAAAAGCTCCTTGTGAGTCTTGGTCGAACACAATGGTTTCATGAATTTGTAGGAAACGCTGATTCGAATCTCACGCCATGAACTCTCGACTCTGTACTCGCTCATTACCCATATAACATCATCATCCATCTTGTAGTAGCATTACCTGAGAGTAGTGACCGCATATGTCCCAAAGCTATGCTCACATTTAGGCAATGACATAACTCAGAATTTTTCTGTGTTAAGACCAAATGATATAACCGCTTTCTGATGTTTTTCTACATCATGAAGTAAGGAAATCCAATGGATCACTCCGTTGAGTTCCACAGAATAAGTGAAAGCTAATGCATTATAAGACATATTGCATATCCGCCTCCACGAATCTGTCTTCAGTGAGTATATATACATTATTGTAGTCGTTTGCATCATAAAACTTAACCACTTTATAATCATTGGTCAGAGAATCAAAACCAAAACCATGACTAAACCCACTCATACTTCTATAAGGCAGAGATTGATCATCAAGCAAGTTCCGTAGTCTCTTGGATTCTAAGGTGGTCGGGTTATACAAGAAGATATCGTTTGAACTCAAAGCGATACACACCAACCCGTTCGAAGATCCAATGATTTGAACCAACTTGTTTTAGATAAGCGATCTTTCTTTTTTAAAAGATTTTCTTTAAGGGGATAATCGAGTTCCACAGCAGTCAAATCCTTAAGTTCTCCACAACCATCAGGGATCGAATCCAAGTTCACCGCGTAAAGATTTTGCCAAAGACAGTATAAGTCTACGGTTGCCAAAACGTACTGCGTTATGATCGACATGCTTCTTCGCAAACTCGGGATCTATCAACAGAGAGCAAAAATGCTTTGACACGCATCTGAATCTTCTTAATGATCTAACATGTGATCCAAGTAGAATTTCTGTGATTATGTCTTGAGGAAGGTATGGAAATTTTGTCGGTAAAGTTTTGTGATAGCTCACTTCTTTGCCCTCGTTTTCCCACTTCGTCGCTTCTCATCGTTCTCTGACCCTTTAGGAACCTTTGCTTTCGAAAATATTACAAAGCAAGCTAACCCTAAACCTAGATTATACAACAAGCTAAATATAAGGCAATACATATCTTCTTTTATTTGACTGCCATGTGTGTTTTTTTAAATAAAAAGAATATAAATCATTTTAAATCAAAATTTTCACATCTTCATCATATTTTTTTTAGGGTTTCATCTAATATCCAAATTGTCATATTAACTATTCAGTGTTTCCCAGTCGTAAAAACTTTAGAAGTTTTGCCTATAATAATTATTACATTCAGTGTCCATATTTGTTTCGCTATCTACTATTTGGGCCAATCCGCGGGTTAAAAACCGGATTGGCATTTCTACTATAATCTCTCAATAATCTGAAGTTCGATTTTCGATATTCGAATTTTTTTTTTAAGAAACCTCCGGTGGATTGAACCCGGACACACAAAAAGAAAACCCAACTCTATTGTACTTGTACTACCTCTAGTACCACACTTCCAACCATACAATTTAGTTCCTTCTCCCTCAAGTTTTCTTGTGAAGAGATAATAGGCAAGTACAAGACAGACCATCATATGTAAGGGTTATGGTCTTATGGTCCTTATGGTGGAGCCACTAATCAAAGTAGATACCAAAATGTTTGCTTCGCCAAAACTGCATTTTGATTTTGTGGACCAACAATTTTATTGGATTTTGAGGACCAACAGTTTATTAAATAGGAGTTCTATTAAATAACACGAGGAACAAAGTATATATGATGGTGAATGAAATTTGAATTTAGAGGCATGTTTTAGCTATGACAAAGATGGATATTTTCGTCTAAGGAAATAAAAACGTATAGTTTAGCATCAATGCAAAGCCCTACCAGTCGAAGAGTTCATTAAAATTGGGATGCTGAAAATAAGTTTCCCCTTTGTGTTTTTTTTGGTTTCTCATTTGTATTGAAGAGTACAATGTTGAACAGAACACGCAAAATAAAAATCAAGAGAGGAAACTAAAACCAAAAACTAATTTTTTTAAGTCTCATGAAAAATGTAGAAAACAAAGCACAACCTTCAAAAGCCAATAACACCCTTATTCATTGATATTTTGGTCAACTTCATCAGTTAGACCAAATATCTCAAACTGTTCCCACTCTCCAACCACAAACCCAACACAAAACCACAAGTAGAACCGAACCCGGAACCGGTTTGTCCACTCTCTCTCTTTCTCAGTACCTGTAGTGAGGAGGCTTGTATGGTCCCTCAATTGGAATGCTGACGTAGTCAGATTGGTCCTTTGAAAGCTTAGTGAGTCTGGCTCCAAGCTTGCCCAAGTGAAGTGCTGCGACCTTCTCATCCAAATGCTTGGGGAGAACGTACACCTTCTTCTCGTACTTGCCGCTTGACTTCTCGTTCCAGAGCTCGAGCTGGGCAATCACCTGGTTGGTGAAAGAGCAAGACATCACGAAACTAGGGTGACCAGTGGCACAACCCAAGTTCATGAGACGACCCTCAGCCAAGACAATGATTCCGGTCTTGGTCTCTGGGAACACCCACCTGTCTGTCTGGGGCTTGATGGTGATACGCTTCACACCTGGGTAAGTCTCGAGTCCGAGCATGTCGATCTCGTTGTCAAAGTGACCAATGTTGCACACAATGGCGTTGTTCTTCATCTTGGTCATGTGGTCAACCATGATGATGTCCTTGTTACCGGTGGTGGTGACAAAGATGTCAGCTTCTGAGACGACATCCTCAAGGGTAAGAACCTGAAGTCCTTCCATCAAAGCCTGAAGAGCACAGATGGGATCAATCTCTGTCACAATGACTCTGGCACCAGCAGTCTTCATGGCAGCGGCACAACCCTTTCCAACATCACCATATCCACAGACAACAGCAACCTTTCCGGCGATCATGACATCAGTAGCCCTCATGAGACCATCAGGGAGTGAGTGACGGCAACCGTACAAGTTGTCGAACTGCAAGTAAAGAACACAATAGATAAGATATCAATAAAAACGTTCAAGACGTTGACGTTAAGCAAACGAAGTTATAACTATAACTTAACAAAGGAAAGACATTTCTCCATTAAGATTGGTTCTTCCTACTCGCTACTAGATCATACTAGTAACAAGAAACAATTCAGACGTTGCATCTACTTAGTTTAATCCGTTGTTTTGAAACCTAACACATCAAAAACTACAGATCTAACATATTCATCAATATTAGTAGAGTTGGTATAGTGATCAATACCTTGCTCTTGGTGACAGAGTCGTTGACGTTAATAGCAGGGAACAAAAGGGTTCCGTTTTGCTGCATCTGGTAAAGCCTCTTAACACCGGTGGTAGTTTCCTCAGAGACACCAACAAGTCTCTCCTTCATCTTGTGGTACTTCTTAGGATCAACCTGAAGACCTTCCTTGATGATAGACAACACGATCTGGAACTCAGGGTTATCAGTAGAAGTAGGATCAGGAACCTGACCAGTCTTCTCAAAGATCTCCTCAGCCTTAACTCCCTCATGGATCAAAAGCGTGGCGTCACCACCATCGTCAACAATCAGATCAGGACCACCACCTGGACCCCAATCAAGAGCACGCTCCGTACACCACCAGTACTCCTGAAGAGTCTCACCCTTCCAGGCGAAAACAGCGGCGGAGTCACGAGCGATCGCGGCGGCGGCGTGGTCTTGGGTAGAGAAGATGTTGCAGGAACACCATCTGACTTCAGCGCCGAGAGCAGTTAGGGTTTCGATAAGTACGGCGGTTTGGATCGTCATGTGAAGAGATCCGGTGATTCTAGCGCCTTTGAATGGCTGAGAAGGTCCGAATTCAGTACGGCAAGCCATGAGTCCAGGCATCTCAACTTCGGCGAGCTCGAGCTCGAGACGACCGAAATCGGCTTGGGACATGTCCTTGACCTTGTATTCACGGCCACTAGAGGTCTTCTCAACGAGCAACGCCATTGTTGAGAGAGGGAATCTCAGATATTTTTTCTGGATCTGAGATTTGAAAATGAAAAAAATCGAAAGAGGCAGAGAGATAGAGAAGAGAGTGTGCGAGGAGAAGAGAAAGGGAGTGAGAGAGTATATATAGATGAGGTCAAAATGAAATGAACGGTTCAGATCGTTTTGAGGGTTTGGTGGATCTGGTAGAAGTTGTAATCCCGTAGATCACGGAACACGCTGCACGAGCAGCATGACTCGTGTTTGTGAGCTTGTCGTGGGTTCATCGGACGGTGATGTGGGAGGGATTGCCACGTGGCTGTGTTTTATTTGTTTTGGCGGATCGTATAGATCGTAGTTTATGACTTATTTTGAGAATCCTTAACGGGCCTTCACGGTAGCCCACGAATGACGTATCAGTTAATCTCTTTGTTTTTTTTTTCCGATGACTGACTATTCAAGAATTATCAACTACTACTACAGTAGAGAGTACTAGGTTATTATTTAAGGCATATTTCTGTTTTTCACCATTTTAGCATTTACTATTTAAGAAAAAAAAAATTAATGTAATATCACTAAAGATATTTGTAAATCTTATCATTTCCATGCATTAATGAAGAGTTTTGAATACTAATAATTACCCCCCTAAATTCCTAATTAATCTATAGTTAGATTTTTCACACATATTAAAGTTAATTATAATTGTATTTTTTGTGATTTACATATTTTATAAATTTAATCAATTATATTCATTTACATTTCTTAAAACTTACACTCATCAATAATAACGAATAAATAGTATTGAATTAAAAAAAAATTCAAAAACTATCTTTTTCTAGAAATTGGATTAGTAAGGAATAGAGGGAGTGATAATGCAAGTTTTGCTCAAGTGAATCCAATCTAGGTGGCAAAGACACAACTAGGAGAGTCAAACTCACTATAGGCATAAATGATGAAATTAAGCAATTTAACCGGATCAACTTAATCATAGTTTAACAATAAAAGTTAAAATCTTTAAAATTTGTAGCACTTTCCAAATTTTGTTCTGATAATATTTATATATATATAATAATATTTCTATATATAAAAAAAAAAATCAGATTATCATCTTGCTTTTTTTTTTTTGGTAGGAAGATTATCATCTTGCTTGTATAACACTAATATATATACCATCACTCACTCAAATAAGCTTACTATGCATTGCTCACGAGTCTTCGTATCACTTTCACTCTAAAGTCAATTCGAAAATTGCATCATCATTCTCGTGTCATGAATCCTCCCCATGTTCCAAAGTCATTTAATTTACGAGATCTTCTCGTTCTGTCTTATTGGCCCACGAGAGACGTCCCATGTTCTCCGCTTACCGTAACACAACATTTTTCTAAACTTTAAATGCCTTAAGATCCACGACATGTGACCTCTTCTGTGTTTTTTTTGTCAACTTTTAGCTAATGGGTTATTCATACAGAATTTATAATAAATCGGTCCAAATTTTTAAGTATGAATCCATATTAAAGTTGGGTTTGAAAAAAAAAAGCCAAAATAATAATAACTTGTTATTGAAGAATAGAATAATAATAGGTGCAAAAATGCAATAGCCACACAAAAGCGTTTACACTTTAGTGGGCGTTGTGACTGTGTGTGCGCTGTTTGGATCTGGACCTGCGAGTGTATGAGCGTCGGTGGATCTGATCTCACAAAGAGGATCAAACCATAAATATTACTAAAAGGTATTTAATAAACTAATACTACTTTTATACATTATTATTATGTTGTGATTTACAAAAAGAATTGTAATATTTCAAAGCAACCGACAATGGGAATCAGAGCAATTATGCGACGGTGTGCGTTTTCTTTTGTATTTCTTTGTTTTGGTACTATGCAGATCTAATACATTGTTTTTCTTTGATTTAGGGTTCAAATTGTTATAACGATTGGATAAACAAATGTCATTTAGTCCGGCGGAATAAGAGCTCTAATTTTGATACAAACCATAAACTGCAGCAGTCAAACTCTATTAGTATCTTAGAACGGTTTATAATTTTTTTTTTATAATAATCAATGAAATTCTGGGCCTAACCCCATACTTCCTTTCAAATCCGAGACCGGATCATGTTATATGGTCTCGTCCCAAGCGTTATTTGAACTGTCGATTTCTAAATTTTTGCCAGAGATCTTTACTAATTAAACTATTAGCACTTAGTTTTCATTTTTTTTAGAAACTAGATCACTACAATTATAATTAGCGGATGATAAATAAAAACCGGTTTGGTTTATAAATGGTTTTATTTGAATCGTTATAAACATTCGAACCATAAAGTATGAATTTTAAATATATTAAATTTGTTATTGATCGATACGATATATTATTGTCTGAATTTTAAATAGATTAAAATTGGTATCGATCGAAAGGTATATTCTAGTTTTGCTATTAAACAAATAACGTATACTTTTAATATAATAGTCAGTCGCCATAATGTTTCACATTTGGGTCATACATAACAAGCAACATGCAGCAACATGTGGACTGTTGGCACTGATAAATTTATCATCCCAAAGACTTTATAAGCAATCGAAAAAGACTATTTAAATAGATTTAGTTTGGAAGTTATGGAACTGGTAGTGCCGTAGTGGTAGGTTTGTGATTCATATAATTGTGGTAAACAGTGTACTCGATTAAGACATTCGATCCTATTCAATCGACCTGAAAAGGACAACACTGTTCTGCTGTCGATTTCAGTGTTAGCCTTTTGCCACCACAAATAATATTTCTGTGTTTTAGACCAACTATAGCATCTTCTTGGCTCCATGACCATTCCATTAGTAAATCATGATCGTAGAAGTGTCTAACACCAACATTATAGAGGTATCTTAGGAAGATTTTCTGGGAGCAATGTTGCTTTTAGAGATACGATTTATGGGATTTAAAATATTTTCTAGTGTAAATCTTATCTTTAAGATTTCACCAATAATATTGGTATTAGATTGTTTCAATTCTCGACATCGTCTTGATCTCAAAATACACCTCTCGTTCTGATGCAAGCTTTAGTCACGAGATTTTCTCAAGTTTTCTTATTTATATCTACTTGGGTTGAATTGTTTTAGTTTTGGATTTATATCAAGTTTATTGTTTTTTTTTTCTTATGTGATTTCACTTATGGTTGATTTGCTCGGTAAACCGTACATAATATATAATAAGAATTTTTTATGAAACACACTAATTTTGGTGTGTTTATTTTTAAAAATGTGTTATTTAGTTGTCCATTCTTTTAGATATTTTTCCATTAAATCTGAAAATCTATAATGTTTATAAAGTGCGTACTTAATGGTAGTTAGTATTCGGAGATTAAATCAAAGTATTTTATAACATTTTATAGGGTTTACAATGTATTTATAAAGATTTTTAAATATATATTCTGAAAAATGGTACGAGAAAATAATCATTTTTGATTTTTTGCATATATAAAATAATATAATAAAGGTTTATTTGAGAAGCTGACACGTGGCATGCATCAATTTGACATGTGTCATTTTCAAATTAATTTAAATTAATTTTTCATAAGAATTGTTTTACATTATTATATTACAAAATATTAAAAAAACCATGAGACATATTTGATCTTTGGTTTTCAATCATTAAGAACAAAATAGATATTATTAAATTAGACTCATGTTCTGACTATTTTTTCTTTTGTTTTGTTTTCACTAAATTGAAAACTAACATCAAAATAAATTCATGAAAATTAAATTAAATCAAAGAAAAACATTTTTTCTTTTTTTTTTAATCATTTGAGAAATAGGAAAGAGACAGCATTAAAATATACACTTTTTGTCTATTTTCCTTTTTTCATGAAATATAAAAATTACCCTTATATAAAGGGTTATATAAATGTATATACATAGATAACTTAAAAACAAAAAAAACAACCTTCTTTATTTTTTAATTAGTTCTCTTTCTTTTGACTCAATTAATATCACAATTACCCTCTGTTACATATATATAAAAATTTACACTATATCATGATACCAAACAGACTATATAATTGACACTAACTTAGCACATTAATATAATTTTTAATAACAAATTTTATTCTATATGTTCTAACATTTGGGGACTTCAGTTTAGATATTCATATTTACATTTGTTGAACTTATTAATTTTTATTTATTCACAAAGATTCATGACTATCCCTTCAGATTTTGTTTAGTTTTCATATATTCACAAAGATTCATGATTACCTCTTCACATTTTTTATAAAATTAGTTTTGAACAAAAAAATGTCAAAGATGTTTGTTAATTATGATTTTTTTTTGTTGACATAAATTTCTAGACACTAAAAATACATTATTGTATGTTATTATTAATTTTAAATATATGGTATCATAGAATATCTAAAGTCATTTAAATTTGATAATATGAAATTGAACGGATTATAAAGTTGGGGTAGTAAAGATATGAATTTATTGCACAAAGTATAAACATATCATAAAAAATTTTGTCCGTTGATTTATTATATATTTTTGAATGTAAAAATCATATGGTATGAGTGTAATACGTGAATGTCAACTTCATAGAGCTTTTATTGTATTTTTCAAATTGAATTCGTTAAAAAAATTATTTATGTTAAAAAGGAAATTTTCAGTTTTTATGTGTTACTTGTAATGTTGCATAATTTACTATATATACAAAATTTGATGATTTCTTAAGATCCTTTACCATCTATTCGGGAACTATAAAGATACAAGAATGGAGTCGAGTCCACGGTTGAGTGCTTACACAAAGACCTACATAGGAATATTTGGGTTTCCTCTCAGCTGATGAAACTATACCGGCTTATGTAATTTTAAAATATTTGCAGAACATGTGGAAGACATTTCCTGCAATAACGTTTGGTTATTGAAAGCATAGGGACGAAGTTTTTTGGATATTTGTCGAAAAAATTGCCTTCTTGAGCACGTCAGAGGACTTCAAGAGCTCAATCTTGTCATTGATTTCAAAGATTCAAGGAAACTAAACGCTGATATAGGGGCTGGGGTAGTTTCGTGAACAATTGTAGTTTGCAATGGTTCACCACTTAAGGATCTAAGGGACCTCGCGTACTCATTCTTGTGACATACAAGGATGGTTTGGTCTAAAAACTGTGAAATACAAGGATGGTTTGGTTTTGTCTTCTTCTCATATCTTGCCAGTATCTAATAAAGGAAATTAACCTTACACCCATATCACTATATTTAGTATTATAAGTTTCAATTAATTATTGAGATACATATTGGATATGTCACTAATATAATATTAATATATATTTTAAAATATGTTTTATTTTCATCAATATTTTAAAACCATCAGACTACATATTAAGTAATATTTATTTATATTCGTTAGTTATATTTAATAGAGAAATTTTGAGAAATACCTTATTTGACGTACATCTTTTCAAAAGTGCCCATTTTCAAAAATGTTCCTTTCATATATCTATTTTCAAAATACTTATTTTTAAATATGATTAATATAAAGTTTTATATGGTTTATAAGATAATTTTGAATAATAACTATTATTGGGAGACACTATCCAAATATTTATAAGGTTTTCAACGTTTTTACAAGGTTTTAATAGGTTTTAATAATGTATTTATACGTTATTTATAAAGAAAAAATATAAAATTTTTACACACATATAAGTAATTTGTGTATATTTTTACAAGTTTATACACATATTTGGAGAAAAAAAAATTGAGAAATCTTTAGAAAAGGGGTATTTTTGAAAAAAAAATAGTATTGAAAAAATGATTGTTAAAGTTCCCCTATTTAATAAGAAATTTTGTAGATGAAAATAATGAAGATATAAAACTCTATACATAATGGAAGAACGTAATAATAACTATATATGAGTTTATCAAAATATAAATTCACTGGAAAAATATCTTTCAACACACAAAAAGATAAAATTACCTCTCTCTCTCTTTTTTTTCTTTTTGATAAAATAAAAGAGAAATAACACTATTAAAATAAAAACATGAAATTTGGTATTTCTTTTCTTTGTCAAGGCAAACCCATCAACTAAAGAAAAAAAAAAAAGAGAGAAAGAAACAGTTCTTTGTGTTCTATTCTAGCTAATATAAATATAAATTTTTGAACTCATTAAACAAAAATAAAAAAGAAGAAGATATTTTTGGCATAATAAAAGAATAGTCTCACTCTCATGTCACCATGTCGACACCAACAATAAGAGTTACAAAACAATAATATAGCCTTACTTTATCATCATGATTCACGACCCCAAAAAGAATTGTTTTATGTAACTTTTTGTATTTTCATTCTTGTTGTTGTTAGGTGGGTTTCCAACTACACAGCCTAAAAATCTGAGGTTGGTGAAGTATCCCCTAATTAAAAAAGTCTTTCTCTACTAATCTACCACATGGCTAAATTCTCCAAAACGTGACTATACACTTATAAAAATACACTCACTATATTTAATTTCTTTATATTCAAGATTCATAAATTACGTATATATCGTTTTATTTTCTACATGATTTTTACGAAAAATATTAGTTTTTAAAGTAAATTTTACAAATATACTGGTTTAGCTAAAATTTTATAAATTTATCATTTTTGAATATTTAAAATCGTTCGTATTTATAAAATCGTTTGACTAAAATACATACTTTATAACAATACTAAATTAAAAAAGAAGAACAAATGGACAATTATATATTTCCAAATATAACATGTCAAAAACTTATGTGTTAATCGGATTTTTGAAATTTAGTTTAAAACTTTACATAAAATGGCAAATCCATAAATATAATCGCAGAAACAAATTAAAAAATCCATAATTAATATTTCTAAATTGTAGTTAACGTTACAAAGTTACATTTTGCCAACTAATATTTAAACCTTAAATAGTAACTTTTTTTTGTCACCAAAGTAGTAACTATTTACCTGAAAAAGACCAATTTCTAACTTCATTATTCTTTGTACATACTTTTTTTATTTTTAATGAAGAAAAATAAAAATCATTGTTTACACCACATGTTGATTGTTGACCTCAGATCTGCCACTACCCACACTAGGCACTACGCTACTATTTAATAACCACAAAACCAAATCTGAAACACCAAAAGACGAGTTCGTCCCTCACCGACTCACATACATACAAAACTACCAACTCTTCATGGCACCGTCTTGAAATATGAATATGCCATTCTCAACTCAAATCTTTTTTTCTTTGTGTATACAACAACACCAACAAGTATTATTAAACTTTATACGACACGATGAAATGATGATAAACAAATAAGTTATACCATAACAACAACTCCATTGTCTAGTCTAGTGTTTCTATATCTTATGTCCTCGAAAATGGTTTGGAAGAGAGGCTACCAACTACAGTACTACTATACTACCACCAAATTCACTTGTTTACCAAAATGTGTGTTTAATGGCGTTTACCATTATATATTTGGATAATCTACTAAATATAGAGCGATTACAAGGTTTTTTGTGCGTAAAAATAATAAAATTTGTGTTTCTTGTTAAGTAATATCTTATTTTTTGGTTTTATTATTTATTAAAAGGTTCTTATGGTCGGATTATTCTGTTTTTAGTTTAGAACTTCGTCTTTTTTACTTGCAAATTTTCTGTTTTGTATATCTTCTATTTTCATATTTCTTTAATCTTTTCCATAAGGTTTAATGTTTATGAAAACATATTCATCGTGGAACGGCTTATGTTTCCTTTTTTTAAGCGTTGTGTTCCAACTTTGATTGATCCACATCAAAGATTAACAAAAAATTCAGACGATAAAAAAATCGTTAAGTAATTTGCCTCCAATATTTAATAACCTATGCTATAAACAATAATATTACTCCACATTAATCTTGGCCATTGTGTGTTTTTGATATATAATTGTTGTAGGGACTAATAATCACGTTATACTGCGACACTTAAGAACGACTCACACTGTTGTAATCTTCACAACCGAACTAATAATTTCGTGGTAGACAATGTTTTTAACGGTGGGAACGACCGAGATTGAAGGAAGCAAATCCAAGTTGACCAAAATGTAACAAATTAGAAACCATAAGAGTTTTTTTTTTGGTTAAAACTTAATTAAAACATTTGGGCTGAATCAAGAAAATGGGCCCTCTCAAAGCCTTTTGCTATGTGGTTTTTACAGTTTAATTTTAATCTAATATATCTGAATTATAAACAGATTTTGTTGCCTTATTTTTTCTGTGACTGAATCAATTAAAAAAAATATTGTTTGTAGTTTTTTTTCTACCAACAAATTAAAATTCTTAACCTAAGAAGAATAAAATAATCCAATAAGGTTGAGATTTACCCAAAAACAACCTTAAATGCACTTAAAGCTTTTAGTACCAATCTAATCATTTTAATTAGTTAAATAAAATAATAATAATGGTAAGAGGGTAAAATAGTCAAAACACATCCGCTTCTTTCTCCTACCACACATACACACCTAACCAACCAACACCAAAATTAGCAAAAGAAGGTCAAATCCGTAATTTAATCCACTTCATCCTCTTCTTTTAAACCCAACCGCCTCTCTCCCCACTTCCCTCACTCTCCGATCTCAGATCTCTCTCTCTCTCAATCTCCGTTCTCAGATTCAACAACCACATTTCGAAGATGGAACCAGTCTCATCATGGGGAAACACCTCTCTCGTCAACGTAGATCCAGAGATCCACGACTTGATCGAGAAAGAGAAGCGTCGGCAATCTCGAGGAATCGAACTCATCGCCTCCGAGAATTTCACTTCCTTCGCCGTCATCGAAGCTCTCGGAAGTGCTTTGACCAACAAATACTCTGAAGGTATGCCTGGTAATCGTTACTACGGAGGTAACGAGTTCATCGATCAGATCGAGAATCTTTGCCGTTCTCGCGCTCTCGAAGCTTTCCATTGTGATCCTGAGAAATGGGGCGTTAATGTTCAGCCTTACTCTGGATCTCCGGCGAATTTCGCCGCGTACACTGCTTTGCTCCAGCCTCATGACCGTATCATGGGGCTTGATCTGCCTTCAGGTGGTCATTTGACTCATGGTTATTATACATCTGGTGGTAAGAAGATCTCTGCGACTTCGATCTACTTTGAGAGTCTTCCGTATAAGGTGAATTTCACCACTGGTTACATTGATTACGAGAAGCTTGAGGAGAAGGCGTTGGATTTCAGGCCTAAGTTGCTCATCTGTGGTGGTAGTGCGTATCCTAGGGATTGGGATTACGCTAGATTGAGAGCTATTGCCGACAAGGTTGGAGCTCTTTTGCTCTGTGATATGGCTCACATCAGTGGTCTCGTTGCTGCTCAGGTATATAATAAGCCTATTCTCTTTTGTATTGATCTAGTGTTTCATATACCTTTAGCTTTGATTAGATCTGGTTTTGTAAGCGTTTTGAATGTTCAAGAACGAAGATCTGGATTTGTGGAACTCTCTCATCAAACGAATCTCATATCTGTTTGCATTCATGTTTCAAAACTAGTGATTTAAGGGTGTATCATCAAATGAGCTTCTTCCCAATAACCAATCATATCACATTGTTAAAGTCATTTATTCCTTAGTTACATCTCATATAGCTTTCCTTTAAGCATGTCTAAGTGAACATACCATGGGAAATTTCGATTCTTTTCAGTTATTATACCAACCTATAAGCCTAGTGATGTGATTACTCTACTGTTAGTTGCCAAGATTGAGTTTTGTGCACTTACCGACAGGACTGATTGAGTTTTGATCATGTTTACAGGAAGCTGCGAACCCGTTTGAGTACTGTGACGTTGTGACAACCACAACCCACAAGAGTTTGAGGGGGCCAAGGGCTGGTATGATCTTCTACAGGAAGGGTCCAAAACCAGCCAAGAAGGGTCAACCCGAGGGTGCAGTCTATGACTTTGAGGACAAAATCAACTTTGCTGTTTTCCCTGCACTTCAAGGAGGTCCCCACAATCACCAGATTGGTGCTCTAGCTGTTGCGTTGAAGCAGGCCAACACTCCTGGTTTCAAGGTGTATGCAAAACAGGTGAAAGCCAATGCTGTTGCCCTTGGAAACTTCTTGATGAGCAAGGGATACCAGATTGTGACCAATGGAACTGAGAACCATCTTGTCCTCTGGGATCTTCGTCCTCTTGGATTGACCGGTGAGTGAATAATATATCAAAGAATAAAATTACCCTATGTTATATGGAACTAGTCCTGAAGTTTATATGATTCGGCTTTTGCCAGGTAACAAGGTTGAGAAGCTTTGCGATCTGTGCAGCATTACATTGAACAAAAATGCAGTATTTGGAGACAGTAGTGCTCTTGCCCCTGGAGGTGTAAGAATTGGTAAAAGGGAGTTCTGAACTGTTCATGATAATAGCCAGCCACGGTACCTCATTGTCTGATCTTTGCTAATATTATAAATATATGAATAGGTACACCCGCTATGACCTCAAGAGGATTGGTGGAGAAGGACTTTGAGCAGATTGGAGAATTCCTGAGCCGTGCAGTGACACTGACGCTGGACATCCAAAAGAAGTACGGTAAGTTGTTGAAGGACTTCAACAAAGGTTTGGTGGACAACAAAGATCTCGAGCAGCTCAAGACCGACGTTGAGAAGTTCTCGGCCTCTTATGAGATGCCTGGATTCCTCATGTCTGAGATGAAGTACAAGGAGTAGATCTCTCTCTCTCTACTATCTAAGAGTAATCTTCTATTACCACAATATATATAAAATGCTTTTGTAGGATCGCCTAATTGGAATTTTAAAGGCGAAAAGATGAATGAGACAAAATAGTAAAAACCAAAAAAAAAAAGGTTTATTTTGAGTTATTTCTTGAATGTTTTGTTTTTGTTTTTTTTTTTTCTTATTGAAATTGTTGTATTTTGTTGGCTTTCTTTATAATAATATCAGCGAGTTTTTCTCTTTTCCCCAGTTCAGCTTTAAAAGATGTGTTTGTTTGTATTACTACTACTGTTCCATTACAAGGTTTCAGCGACTCGATATAAAAATGTAAAAATAACAGTAACTCAACAAAAAGACAGATTCTGAAGATGATACGAGACCCAAACAATACTATTAAAGAGAAGACACTTATTACTGATCATATTTACAGTGTCACGAAGGAGAAAAGTAGAAAAAGCTGGGGGAACTCTTACCTTATGAAGTGAGAATGTAGGCGATGGTGAGTCCACAGAACAAACCAGGTACATAGCCTACTGCAGCTGCAACCCAGTTAAAGACTTGATCTTCTTCTTCCTTTTCATCTTCATCTTGTTCTTGCTTTTTTGCTTCTTCTTCTTCTCCACCACATTTTTTGAGGAGAGGAGCACCGCAAAGCCCGGGGTTCTCTGCGAAAGAAGATATGTTCTGGCTCTGAATCTGAGTGGCTATTGGTATTGGACCTTCAAGCTTGTTGTACGAGAAGTTCATCCACTCTAGAAACGTGAGTTTCCCGAGCTCTGTTGGGATACTGCCGGATAATCTGTTTTTAGACAGATCCAATGATTCGAGATTGGTCAAGTTTGACAAAGATGGTGGAATATGGCCTGTGAAAGCGTTGTTTGACATGTTGAGTACAATCAGTTCCTTGAGTAAACCAATGGATTCTGGAATATATCCTTCGAGTCTGTTTCCGGAGACATCGAAGTTTTTGTAGATATCGTAACCACTCCCAACCAGCTCCCGTTCCACTCCTTTAACCGTCAGAAACACAGATCTCTGATGAATGTCATATAAGAAATCCCTAGGTAGAAGCCCATTAAGATAAATGATTGCGAATGATGACATTACACTCCAACCAACAAAGTAATCTGATGGTAAGACTCCACTGAAGCTATTATCTGAAATGTCAAAAATTCGTAGGATGGGGAAACTCAAAGAATATCCAGGAGAAAATATTGGCCCATAGAACTGGTTGGAACGAAGGACAAGAATCTGTAGATTGGGTAACGAACTCAACCAGAATGGAAATTTGTCCTTGATTCGGTTATTTTCCACGTTCAGAAACGCGAGACTAGTGCAGTTGATAAGAGACTTGGGAAGTTTTCCTGATAACAAATTGCCACCAACATCAAGTGATCTCAAGCCATCATTGATAATTTCCTCTGGAATAATACCAGAGAGACTGTTATTCCGAAGATGCAAGATCGAAATAGAAGAATTAACATTCTTAAAACACCGTGAAATAGAACCGCTGAAGTTGTTGTTGGATAAAACAAGTGTACCAAGATTATCTAATTCACATATTGCTCTAGGAATCTCTCCCGAAAACTGATTATCAGAGGCTATAAAGGTATTGATAATAGAGTTTGGTAACATAGTTAGTTCTCCACCGAAGGAATTTTGAGCAATGTTTACAACTTGCAATCTTGGCAGTCTCCATAGCCACTCCGGTATTTGGCCTTTAATTTGATTGGCAGAGATATCTAATTCTTGCAAACTGGTTTGATTTTCTAGAAATTTTGGGAATTCAGAAATATTGCAAGATGATAAATCCAAATACACTATCATGGGTAAGAGAAGATGGGGAGTTGAACTGAACTTCAAATGATTCCCTGAAAGATCCAGCACTTCTAGTAACTTGAAATGCAAGAAGATGCTGAAATCAACGATGTAGAAATTGTTTTCTCCAATGTCTAATTTTAGAAGGTTAGATTGTGAAGAGATATTCCCAAACTCAAGAGGACCACTGAAGTCGTTACTTCCCAAGTTAAGTTCAAACAACGAAGGGATCATAAAGAGAGAAGAGGGAATGGTTCCAGAAAAGGAATTGTCACTAATATCAAAAACTTCCAATTTGGAAAGGCTACTAATGTTCGAAGGGAGCATACCTTTGAACTGGTTAGAACCAAGGTCGATCCACATGAGCGAGCTCAAGTTGAGTAGCAAGTGAGGAAATTTCCCATTGAGCATGGCCCATCCAAGATGCAACTCTGTCAGATTATTTAAATGCCCCATCGAATCAGGTAGTTCACCGGTGAAATCATTATCAGAAAGAGCAAGAGTAGTGAGATGAGAAAGATTTCCAAGTGAAGAAGGAATTTTTCCAAAGAGACTGCAATACGGAAGATCCAAATCCCTCAAATATTTGAGGTTGCCGATGGAATCCGGTAGAATACCCGAGATATTATTCGAGCCAAGTTTCAGGCTCTGAAGATGTTGTAGTCTAAACAGGCTACTATTAGATCTCAAAGGGCCGTTGAGTTCACTGCCGTAGAGGTTTAACTCAACGACATTGCCTGTCTTATCATCACACAAGACACCATCCCAAGAACAACAATCAGTGTTGTTCCTCCACGTCTCTGTCTTCTTATCATCCATAAAGGAGTATAACTTGTAGACATAGAACTCGTTCTTGAACTCTGAAAGAGCATCCCTCTGATCTGGAAGACACAAGTGTTTAGCAAGAACAAGTGTTGAGTGAGAAAGACAGAAGAATAAACACAAGCTCCATATTATTGTGATCATCCTCCTCTCACTACAAGAATTCATCGTTTTTTTTTTTCTCTCTTTGGTTTGTTTTCTTTTTGTTTTCTGTGAACTGAATTGATATTTGGATCGTCTCTTACATTTGTGGAAAAACATTAAAGCTTGACTTAACAAGTCTCCTGTGAAGACTAATCTAATTGCTTCCACATAAAACCGATTCAATACGTGAACTATGGATCCTATTGACAGTTTCATGTGTGGAGGAGATTAAAGCTTGATCTTACAAAAGTATCAGCAAATGGCAATTTTCCCAGCCGTGTGGTGTGGGTTAATAATTGCTGAAACGTTCCACAGCCTGAAGATTTCCTTTGACTATTCAAAACCCTAAATCCAATTCTTTTGCCGTGTGGTAGAGGTTAATCTTTGAGGCTTGTTGTTGCTCCTGTTACCTCGTTCTAGAGATCAAAGGCCATGTGAGATTTGAGTTGGATCTGTGAGTGGAACCTGAGTTGATGAAGACAGAAATGTCTCTAGGCGTGTGAGCTATGGTAGTTGCCACTGTTATGGTGAAATATTTCAATTTTATTAGAAACTCTCTGCAAGCTAAATAAGCACTTACAAGTTACAATATACATCCACTAGAGCTTGTCTTTGGTGAGTAAGAAGCTAATGGAGAAGTTAAAGTTAGCCTATAATAAAATGACTCCAAGAGTATGTATGTGTAATGGTATTAAATGATGTAACTTAATGGGATATGCCAATGATATCTTGTGTTGTATATACAAAACGTTCAGTACATGGCTTTACGAAAATATCAATATCAAGAATTCAAGATCTCCTTTAAGAAAGGAATGATAACTTCGGGCGTACGTTAACCAATTGTGAGCCATGTATCTTGAATCCTGTACATTTTGGATTTAAGCTTTGATTTGACACATGTGGAGTAAGATTCAATAGAAAACAACCAACATAAATAGTAAAGAACGGTGAACATAAAGAAAGAAGAATGGATCTTAATACATTTTTCTAAGCTCATTTGATTTTCCAAAATCAGTGAATTAAAAACTAAGTTTACGAACGAACCAATCAAAGGAGATTGCTCAATAGAACAATAGTGACAACTGTATTGATGTTTCTGGTATTAGTTAAGGTCATGAAACCAAACAGTATCAGTCTTGAAACAACATGCATCAACCTCTGTTTAATAAGCAGTTAAATTACGCAGCAAGCAACCGATCGTTTCATATGGTTCATGGCATTTTAATTTTACGTGGAACTGGCTGCACAAAGATTGTCTTTGGTGAGTACGTAAGAAGCTAATGGAGAAGCAGTACTGCATATCTTAAAGGTTAAAAATTAGCTTAATAGTTCCAAAGACTAAGTCTGTGTAATGCTTAAATGATGCAACTTTTTGTGCAGATGATGTTCTTGTGTTATATGTTTCTTGTATAACAAGATTCACTTTCAGCTTACGATAATCCATCATCTGAAAACTCAAAACTAAAGCCATCACCATATAGAAGATTCGGCTTCAGATTCACTCCAAAACCTCTAGACTTTCCTATGTCTCTGTCTCTCACCATCACGATTACTGCACACACACATAAAAAAACACTCTTTTGTTTAGTGAGAAACTTAAACCGCACTGTTTAACAACATAAGATCTTGAATGTTGAATGATATCTAAAGGCTTGCTTACCATCAAGCACTTGCCCGTATCTAGAAAACGCTTGTCTCAATCGCTTATGGTACCAAGAGTCTGAAGCAGACATCAATATACATCAGTTACGTTCCTCACTTAACCAATTTTTAAATAATTACTTCGGTGTGAACCTTGTGAGCCACGTAACTTGAATCCTCAACATATAGATTTAGATTGATTTTGATCATAATCTGACACATAAAGATGGAGTAAGATTCAATAGAAAACAACCAGCATAGATAGTAAAGACTAAAGAAAGGTACTTAGTGAATGGGTAGAGTGACGTTAACGTATAGCAACGATATTCAAAGAATTGAGTAAGTTAATTAGCAAAGTATAAATCGTGTCCTGTACTATAAAAATGAGGGCAACGTCTAAACTAAAAAAAATAAAAAATAAAAAAAAAATGATAGCAAACACGTATGATCAGTCTCACTCAAAACAATCATAAGTTTTAACCATATATACAGAACAATGACCATAAATGAAGCCTAATAAGTCACACACACTTGCTCATTAATTCCTTTGATATGCATCTGATCTTTACTTCAGCTTCAGATTGATTGACGCTGGTGACATACGAACGTTTGTCTCTCCTTCTAAATTAGAAATGCACTGACAGCACAATATATAAAGGTAAAGACAAATCCACACAACATAACTAAGAGACGAAAACAGTACAATTAAAGAAAGTAGAAAACAGAGGAAGGTATTCTTCTTACCCTATGGAGTGAGAATGTAGGCGATGGTGAGTCCACAGAAAAAACCAGGTACATAGCCTACTGCAGCTGCAATCCAGCTAAAGACTTGATCTTTCTCTTCCTTTTCTTCATCTTCATCTTGTTCTTGCTTTGTTCCTTCTTCTTCTTCTTCTTCTCCACCACATTTTTTGAGGAGAGGAGCACCACAAAGCCCGGGGTTCTCTGAGAAAGAAGAAATGTTCTGGCTCTGAATCTGAGTGGCTTGTGGTATTGGACCTTCTAGCCTATTGTACGAGAAGTTCATCCACGCCAAAAAAGTGAGTTTACCGATGTCTGGTGGGATTTCGCCGGATAATATGTTTTGAGATAGATCCAATGATTGGAGATCGCTCAAGTTTGACAGAGATGGTGGAATATGGCCTGTGAAAGCGTTGTTTGACATGTTGAGGATAATCAGTTCCTTGAGTAAATCAATGGATTCAGGAATACCTCCTTCGAATTTGTTTCCAGAGACATCGATGCTTTTGTAGATTTTGAAACCACTCCCTACCAGTGCCAATTTCAATCCTTTAATCGTCAGAACCACATAGTTATGGTAGGGTGCTTGAGAACTTCCTGCAACTGCAAAACCAATAATACTATCGAATCTTGCTACTCTCACTGATGACATTGTAGTCCAACCCGCAAAGTACTCGGATGGCAAGACTCCCGTGAAGCTATTTTCCGAAATGTCAAAGATTCGCAGCGTGGGAAAACCCATAGAACTTCCAGGAGAGTATATTGGCCCATGGAACTCGTTAAAACGAAGGACAAGAATCTGTAAACCAGGCAGTGATCTCAACCAAAATGGAAACGTGTCATTGATTCTGTTGTCTTCCACGTTCAGAAACTCGAGACTAGTGCAGTTGATAAGAGACTTGGGAAGTTGTCCTGATAGCCAATTCATACCAACATCAAGTGATATCAATTTCACACTGATAAATTCCTCTGGGAAAACACCAGAGAGACTGTTATTCCGGAGATGCAAGATGGAGATAGTATTGAAATTCTTAAAACACCTTGGAATAGAACCGCTAAAGTTGTTGTTGGATAAAACAAGTATTGCGAGATTATCTAATTCGCATATTGATCTAGGAATCTCTCCCGAAAACTGGTTATCAGAGCCTAGGAAGTGCTCAATAGAGTCCGGTAACATAGTTAGTTCTCCACTGAAGAAATTCTGAGCAATGTTTACGAACTTTAAAGCTGGTAGTCTCCAAAACCACTCTGGTATTTGGCCTTGAATTTGATTGGCAGAGATGTCTAAATAGAACATATTGGTTTGGTTTTGTAGAAACATAGGAAACTCTGAAATATTGCAGGATGATAACATCAACATGTCTATAGGTGAGGGAAGATGAAGTGTTGAACTGATATTCAAATGAATCCCTGAAAGATCAAGCCCTTCAAGTGACTTGAGATGCAAGAAGATGCTGAAATCAACTATGCCCTTCCCTGCACTCCAGAAATAGAGGCTAAAAAACGATAGCCTGACTAGTCTCGATATAGATCCTGAGATTGTCCCACTGAAATTGTTTTCTCCAATGTATAAGTTTTGAAGATTAGATTGTGAAGAGATATTCCCGATATCAAGTGGACCACTGAACTCGTTAACTCTTAGGTAAAGGCTAATCAACGAAGGTATCATGAAGAGAGAAGATGGAACGGTTCCAGAAAATGAATTTCCACTAATATCAAAATACTCCAGCTTGGAAAGGCTACTCAAGTTAGACGGGAGCATACCTTTGAACTGGTTATAACCAAGGTCGATCCGGACGAGCGAGCTCAAGTTGAGTAGGACACGAGGGAAGTTCCCACTGAGCTTGGCCGATCCAAGATGCAACTCTGTTAGCTTGTTCAAATTTCCCATCGAACCCGGTAGCTCACCGGTGAAATCATTAGCAGAAAGATCAAGATTAGTGAGATGCGAAAGATTTCCAAGTGAAGAAGGAATCTTTCCAAAGAGATTGCAACCACCAAGACTCAAAACCCTCAAATGTTTGAGGTTTTCTATGGAATCTGGTAGCATACCCGAAAGATTATTCGAGCCAAGATTAACGTTGTGAAGATGTTGTAGCCTAAACAGACTACTATCATATCTCAAAGGGCCACTGAGAAAACTGTTCATGAGGTATAACTCTACCACCTTACCCGTTTTAGGATCACAAGAGATACCGTCCCAAGAGCAGCAATCTGTGTTGTTCCTCCACGTCTCTGTCTTCTTATCACCATAAATAGAGGGATCGAACTCGTTCTTGAAGTCCCAGAGAGCATCCCTCTGGTCTGGAAGACACAAGTCTTTAGTAATAACAAGTGTTGAGTGAGAAAGGCAGAAGAATAAACACAAGCTCCATTTTATTATTGTTATCATCCTCCTCCCACTACAACAATGCATCATGTTTGATTTTTTCCTTTTTTATTTCTCTGTGAAACGAGTTGTTCTTTGATTCGTCTCTTACATTTGTGGAAACCCATCACACCCCGACTTGAAAAGTCTCCTTTGAAGACTAATTTTTTCCACAGAAAATCAATTAAATATAGGGTAAATTATGTGTGTCACCCACTATTAATGTTTTTCAACCAACATTTGACAAGGTCAAATTGAGTTTACACATAATAGCCACGAGACCTTATTTAGACCAAAACTAGGATTTAAGTAACAATATTTGTATTTTAAATTTTTTATATATCAATAGTGGTTATGCTATGATGGTTTTGCTAATTTACTATATATATAAAAAAAAATATTTTTACCGTAATAATCTAGAGTTTAATTGATTTAAACGGAGTAGTTGTGGTTACACATGCATAAACTTACAAAAGCACGAAATTTGGTTTTTAACGATATCAAATATTTTGATTGATTATAAAAATATTTAAAGGTTAAGAATTAGTATCGGTTTATATCGAATTTAATGATGTATTTTCTTAGTTGTGCTTTACAGACATGATTGAACATTGATTTTAACCGGTGATATAATATTTTATCTATAAATAAAACCATGTTAAAAATATGCTGTTTCTATGAAATAGTCAACTTCTTAAAGGAGAAAATCATACAAAAATAGTAACGTGATGTAGCAAATATAGTTTTAAGTATTATACATCAATGATACAAAAGTAGTATAAACTGTGTCCTGTAATTGAAACATGCAACTCTGTCTGCGGGTAACGTCTAAACTAAAACAAACAATATACAATTAACATCGTATAGACGTATATAGTTGCTTTGCAGTTTGCAAGAAACGGTTTATGAAGTATATTGCACATGGTGTACATATCGTAAAAATGAGTAATGTTTTGCTTAATTTCTTGAAGTTATAACTTATAAGTGCAACTGGAGTTTTTATATATCTTGCAAATTGTAACTAGGAATAAACTTGTCATCAAATATTAGTTGTCATGGCAAAACTAAATTAATTAGTTTCTTTGCTGAACATATTGGAGTATACAAATGATAATATCTTTTGCCTCTCTTTAAAAGAAAGACTTGACTTGGACATTACTTGATTCTAAAGCAATCAAAAAGTCATACTTAATTCTTAAAATTCAACAAAGTCAAATGTTTAGTTTTGCACGATACACATTATATAAAGAGACCTGCCAAAAGTCTTTCTTCTTCCAATCTCAAAGATGGAACCAGTCTCTTCTTGGGGAAACAAGCATCTTGTCTCCGTTGATCCGGAGATCCACGGCCTAATCGAGAAGGAGAAACGTAGGCAATGTCGAGGAATCGAACTCATCGCAGCCGAGAATTTCACTTCCTTGGCCGTCATGGAAGCTCTAGGAAGTCCACTCACAAATAAATACTCTGAAGGTATGCCTGGAAACCGTTACTATGGAGGTACCGAGTTCATCGATGAGATCGAGAGTCTCTGCCGCTCACGCGCTCTCGAGGCATTCCATTGCCATCCGAAGAAATGGGGAGTTAACGTTCAGCCTTACTCTGGTTCCCCTGCTAATTTCGCCGCCTACACGGCTTTGCTCCAGCCTCATGATCGTATGATGGGGCTTGATCTGCCTTCAGGTGGTCATTTGAGTCATGGTTACTATACCTCTGGTGGGAAGAACATCTCTGCCACCTCTATCTACTTTGATAACCTTCCCTACAAGGTTGATTCCTTTACTGGTTACATTGATTACGACAAGCTTGAGGAGAAGGCTATGGATTTTAGACCTAAGTTAATCATCTGTGGAGGTACTTCTTACCCTAGGGAATGGGATTACGCGAGATTTAGGGCTGTCGCGGATAAGGTTGGAGCTGTTTTGCTCTGCGACATGGCTCATAACAGTGCCCTCGTTGCTGCTCAGGTATAATATATATAACTTCCTTAAGATTTTTTTTGTGTAGCATTTTGATATTATAGGGTGTGACAAGATTGAGTCTACTAATTATGTTCACAGGAAGCTGCTGACCCGTTTGAGTATTGTGACATTGTGACAACCTCAACTCACAAGAGCTTGAGAGGTCCAAGGGCCGGTATGATCTTCTACAGGAAGGGACCAAAACCCGCCAAGAAAGGCCAACCCGAGGGAGCAGTTTACGATTTCGACGAAAAAATCAACTTTGCTGTATTCCCTGCGCTTCAAAGCGGTCCTCATAATAACAAGATTGGTGCTCTAGCTGTTGCATTGAAGCAGGCTATGGCTCCTAGCTTCAAGGTTTATGCAAAACAGGTGAAAGCCAATGCTGCTTGCCTTGCAAGTTACCTAATGGGAAAAGGATATTGTATTGTAACCGGTGGAACTGATAACCACCTTATTCTATGGGATCTTCGTCCTCTTGATTTAACCGGTCAGTGAGCAAAATCAACATTAAATTTGTTATACAAAACTATTGCTGATGTTAGATATGCTTCTGCTAGGTAACAAGCTTGAGAAGCTTTGCGATTTGTGCTACATTACGTTGAACAGGAATGCAGTATTTGGTGACACTAGTTTCCTTTCTCCTGGAGGTGTAAGAATTGGTAATGGCTGAGTTCTCTAAACTGTTCTTTAACAATGGCCAGTTTATATCTCATTGTTGAATCTTTGTAAAAACTCTGTAAACATATGTGTGTTTTTTGAAGGTACACCTGCGATGACATCGAGAGGATTGGTGGAGAAGGACTTTGAGAAGATAGGGGAGTTCCTGAGCCGTGCCGTGACACTCACGTTGGCCATTCAGAAACAGTATGGTAAGGTGACGAAGGAGTTTAACAAGGGTTTGGTGAACAACAAAGAGATCGATGAGCTGAAGGCTGATGTCGAGAAGTTCACTTACTCTTTTGAAATGCCTGGATTTCTCATCTCTGAGACGATGTATGATTAGAGACCTCTCTGTATCTCTGTTATTTTATCATCTATGCGTATACACTATGCTTTTGTATGTTAAGAAACATACAGTAATTAATAAACTAATAATCTTCAGTTATTTATTCTTCTTGAAACTGTAGTAATTTGTTGGGTTTCTTAATGATAACAAAAGATTTTTTTATAAACAAGTTCAAGTTAAACAAATTTAGGGTTTGAATGGTTACCACGGTCATAGTGGAAATGGACAAATCCATCTGCAGAATAAATCGCCTTATTTTTAGGATGGATCATAAACCGCTGCAGAATGGTTCTTAGACTCTATTTGTTATGTAAACGTTAAACGGTCCGTGGTTGGTCTGATGTAGTTTTCTTTTAGGGTTTGAACGGTAACAGCAGTCGAGATAGACAAATTCGTCTACAGTTTAGTCTCGCCCTATTTTTAGGATGGACAATAAACAGCAGCATACTAACTCTATTTGTATGTAAAAGCGGTCCGGAATTAGTACACAACGGTTTTCTTTCTATTGTTTTGGACCGCACTATTACGAACTTGATGAATGGTAAATAAAAAGCGATATAATTCGCATATAGATTTGTCCGTTTTAACCGCTGCAACCATTTATACCCTTAGTTTTTTTGGATCCGCATCAGTACAGACCATAGTTGATGAATGGTGACTAAAAAGCAGTCCATTTCGCCTTCGTTTTTGTACGATTCAACCGCCACTATTCAAATCCTTATTAGTTTGAAATTATATTCGTTTATTTTTTTCGGTTCGGTTTGGTTCGGTTCATATATTTATAAGAAAATTCCAAAGAGGCCAGAAAGATTCATAGAAGGCGCAAAAATCCCTCCAAATCACTCATTTTTTTATTGTGAGTTCACAAAAATGTATTCGACAAATTGGGAAGACGACGACGACGATTTTACAGAGGAGCAGCTTCTCGCTATCGACGCCATCGAAGCTTCCTATAAACTCTCCAACTCTTCTTCTTCTTCCTCCGCTACTCCCACCGTACAGGCTACAACCTCCGGCCATGGCCACGATGTTCCACATCAAATCCCTAATAATAGTGTCCGTCGCCAATTGCCTCGCTCCATCACTTCTCCCACTTCTTACAAACGATTTCCCCTCTCTCGTTGCCGAGGTATTCATCACTCTCCCTACAGATCTCTCTTTCTCTATCTTTTTGCTTTGACATTTTCTGGGTTCGTGTTGATCTCGATTCATTTCTGATTCTTTAATTCTATCTCCAAGTTTTGTTCTTTTTGATCGTTACCGTCTCAATGTACGAATCTGTTTGTGCCCTTGTCTGTATATTTGAGAAATAACAGTGTTTGTTATTTGAAGTGAGGATGTTATGTAGCAAAGGTACTTATCCTTTTGATGATTTGTTTGTTGCAGGAAGGAATTTTCCAGCTATGAGGTTTGGTGGTAGGATTTTGTATAGTAAGACTGCTAATGAGGTTGATAGGCGAGCAATGCAGCTTCTTAAGGTTCTTGATACTAAGAGAGATGAATCTGGAAGAGCTATTGTTGGGTTAGATATTGAATGGAGACCAAGTTTTAGAAAAGGTACTTATAGACACTGATATTGCATGCTAGTTGGGTCTTATCTCGGTCTGTTCTTGATTTGTGTCTGTTTGCAAGTTTCTTCTGTTTCGATTCTAGTTTTGAAGTATGTAATGTGCACTCAGATGCTTGTGATGGTGCATTTTATCTCTATATGATGTATATGTTTTTTTTTGTTTGCTCTTTTAAAATCTTGATGAGATGCTGATATACATTTATCTTGTCTTTAGATTAGAAAGAGCTAATGGTTGTTTTCTACTTGTTAAATGTTCAGAAGAAAGTGTAGATGTCGTCTTACTTGTGCAGTTTTGTGTTGACTCCAGTCTCATTACTGCAAGCTTTTTCATATGCTACATTGTTCTACTACTTTGTAATGATTGTTGCTTGATAATTTCTTGTGAAAGTTGTAAGCTTATTATGTGTGGTCCTGCATTAAAGTTAAAACTCCATCTCTATGTATAGTTTGCTCTCTTTTTTTCGGGTTGTAGGTTTGGAGAGTTTATCCTAACTCAACCCATGTATTATCTTTTGGTAGACTATTCAATAGATTATTGTACTTTGAAAACTCACGCACAGATGCTTCAAATCATCTCAATTCAGTGGGTCATATTCTTGAACCCTTTGATGTTTGCTAATATATGCATTAGCCTGAAAGAAGTTCTCATGATCTGACTAATGATATTTTGTGAAAATATGATTTGTTCAGGTGTTCTCCCGGGGAAGGTTGCAACTGTCCAGATATGTGTAGATAATAATTATTGTGATGTTATGCATATTGTACATTCTGGTATCCCACCAAGGCTCCAACATCTTATTGAGGATTCAACACTTGTAAAGGTTTGTTAATTTTTCTGCAGTGATCAAAGTTCTTGTTGTTACCCATAGATGCTCAGTTAACATAGCTTTGATTCATATATAGGTAGGTATTGGAATTGACGGTGACTCTGTAAAGCTTTTCCATGACTATGGAGTGTCCATCAAAGATGTTGAGGATCTTTCAGATTTAGCCAACCGAAAAATTGGTGGAGTAACAAAAAGATGGGGACTTGCCTCACTAACAGAGACACTTGTTTGTAAAGAGGTATGCTTTATCCACCTAGCTGGGTTGATTTTAATTCTGAGAACAATAGTGAGAATTGAACCTTTCCTTATCTGCTCCCCTTAGAACTATCATATTCTGTTCTGCTGTTATAAAGGTCTTCTTAGAACCTCTGGGATCCTTGGTTTTATTTCTCGCTTTAAAAGTTTAACTGTTACTTTGCAGCTCCTGAAGCCAAACAAAATCAGGCTGGGGAACTGGGAGGTATATCCTCTATCAAAGCAGCAGTTACAATACGCAGCAACAGATGCTTATGTTTCATGGCATCTTTACCAGGTAACATCAAAGAAAAACCATCTTCTCATGCTCAATGATATTGAAGCAAAAGTCTCACATTGTTCTTATTATAATACTGTTACTTGTCGAAAACCCGGAGTTTGTATTTGCTGAGTAAGAAGCTAATAGAGAGCATTGTTAAATCTGCTTAGGTTCTAAAGGACCTTCCTGATGCTGTCGATGGATCATGACGCGAAGGAGGATGCTTAAAGATTTGCCTATAACCCCAAGATGATATATTTGATCTAGTCAAGTCTATACAATTCTTATAGGATTTGCAAAGGATATTTGGTTTATGGTTGATATAAGTTATAATACTACTTATTGGATATGGCCCTGGTACAGTTAACAATCCAAATACGAATGGTAAGCTCTTCTTAGATCGATGTACCGTCTCTTGGGTACTCTTGTCACGATCTGAAGCCAAAAAATAAGCTTTTCTAATCTCCGAGAAGAACAAAACTAGCATCTTAACTCTTAAGTTCCTCCGAATTTGAAGTTTGAAAACCGGCATAAAGATTCGATAAAAACTCTTCTCAGACTACCAATATATTCTCAGAAACACCAAGCGCAAGACCTGATAGTTCAGATTCAAACAAACCCTCCCTCATAAAGAGTTTGGATCACAACCAGAAAATCAAATAAGGAAACAAGTACCTAAAGCTGCAAACACATGAAAGCCCCAGAAGGTGCTTTCCTGACGTTAATATGGGATATGCGTGGAAAACTCAAAGCCAATTAAATATTATAAGCTATTCAAGACCATAGGCATGTAACTTTTTTAACCACAAAAGAAGATTTCTCGTGACATATTAGATTGACTTGGTGAGCTCTTAACAAAATCCACAATCCTCGGCGCCACTCGCTACCATATTTGATTCAGATTGATTTAATGAGGTCTCAACGAGCCACTGCTGCCATTTTCTCGTCACTCAGCTCCTGATAACTCGCCTGATTCTCTGAGTTTTACCAGTTCTGCTATATGATAACTTGGCTACAAGAGTAGGCTTTAAAACAGAATTGCTATTAAACTGTCCATAAATCATGTTTATTACTGACTAACTCACAAAAAAGGGTGCTCCCATCTCACGACAGTATACTGAATAAATGAGACCTTAGACCCAAATCACAATACAAAATGTGAAAATTTGATATCAGAGTTAGGGCAATGGTAGAACTAGAAGAAGCTAACATCGAGAGGGAAAAAGCCGTATTAAAATGCACCTAATGCGGGCAATAAAATATTCAACCAAAACAGAAATGAGTTTTTTTAGCAAATCCCATTCAGGTTTTATACTAACACACGATTCAATTCAAGAAACCAACTAAACAGAACCACTTTTTAAACTCTTCTTCACAAGCAACTCCTCTCTGTTTAGTAACCACCTCCATCACCACCTCCTCCATAGCTACCACCGCCTCCTCCATAGCTGCTACCACCTCCTCCGTAGCTACCACCGCCTCCGTAGCTACCACCACCACCATATGCCCGGGGAGCACTTGGTCTGTCGTTAGCAGGGTTCACTCGGATGTTACGACCATTCAGATCCTGAAATTACAACACCAACAGCACTAGTTGTCAGAATTAAAACAGAAACAAGTATACACTAATAAATCGAGGTAACAATACAAACCTTTCCGTCCATCTCTGATATAGCAGCAGATGCAGCAGTCGCATCATTGAAGTTGACAAATCCAAAACCCCTTGATCTTCCTGTCTCTCTATCTACGATGACTTTGGCTGCACAACAGGAACACATTTGTTCATCTCCAATCACAAAGCTAGACCACAAAGATCAACTAAAAACAGCTAAAGATTATTGAAAAAGTATAATACCATCAACAACTTCACCGAAGTGAGCAAAAGCATCCCTCAAGGACTGATCATCAGTTCCCCATGACAGACCTGAAACAATTGAGAAACTCAGTACAAAACAAACTAAGAACAACACTCAAAATCTAACAAGAGAGAGATGTGAAAGACAAGATTTTTATACCTCCAACGAAAAGCTTGGTAGACATCAATCGAAGAGATCCAAGCATAGATGTAACCGGAACATTACCTCCGCTCGGAGAAATGTTCTGTCTCAATAGACCACCGAGTTTGTTGCAGAAAGCCATTCTACAAAGTTAAAAAAACACCAGATCAACATCAACACACAACTTAAAACCCTAAAACCAACAGATCCTGAACAAAAAGATCTAAAGATTCAATTTTTACAATCATAAGACCATTCCTAAGCTCTCGAACCATTACAGACAAAACTGAACTGAAACAAACACCTACGAATCTAACAGAGGACTCACTCACAGAAACGAATTCACAAAAGAGAGATTACAGATCAAAGATCAGGGAAATCGAAAAAAGGAGGAAGAAGGGTACCTGGTGAACGAAGACTTGAAATTAGGGTTTTTGTGTGATCTGAGAAAGAGGCAGAGGAAATGGAAGAAGAAGAATGAAGCAAAGGAGTAGGGTTTAAGGGTATATATATACTTAGTTCATTATAAAAATATCTTATTTTCTTTCCAGATTTTTTTTAATTTTTTCGTAATCTGCTGTGTGGAGGTGTATTCTATTAGTGTGTGCTGACGTATCAAATGACCAAAAGTGCAACAGAGTCAAGAGAGTGTGTGTTTAAAATCAGTTCTACGTTTTGGGTTGTACGATGGAGTCGGTGTAGAGGAACTACGTTTCGGACTTATCCAATTTTTTGCTTTTTTATTTTTATTTTCGGTCTATATGTTTTAAATAGATTTTATTGCTAAAAATAAAGACTTTTGTAGTGGGCTTGAAAGCCCATATTTAAGCCTTGGAAGCGAAACGATTTTTGACAATTTATATGAACCTTTGGCCCGCTTGTAAAACCTTTTTAATTGAAATATGACTTTTGTGATGTTGTTATAAAAAACATTTACATGTAGTTTTTTTTTATAATTAATTTTTAATAGTTTAATTGTATCGAAAAGAATTAATGTTATTTTAAACGTGATAATTGTTGTTTTCTTTTGTGATTTCTCTAAAACAATATTGATTATAACGATTAAATCATATATATAGGTATATATTTAAAATATTATCAAATAAGGAAAATATCTCTAGTAATTAAAATTATTAATTTATTGATAAATTAATACATTTATAGATTAGCATAATTTCATGGTCTGGACTACATTAATTTATAATTGACAAACTATGCACTTTAATTTGTACATAAGATGTTCATATCAAGAGAAAAAAGAGTAAAGTAGAAAGAATCATGCATCATATCATTTTCAAATAATTTCTTGTGCTCACATCATTTTTGTTTTTATGAATTCTGATGAATTTATCATCAATTTTGCTACCCTACTTGTGAAAAATGATGTATCGTACGTTAGATTCGAAAATAAGAAAACAGTCTCAATTTTCTTTCGCAACTTTCTTAAGTAGCTCTTAACAAACATGTGACGTGGTCCATATTGATGTTTAATATCTTGAATATATACAGTATCAACTTTCACGGCTATGAATAATGATGTTTAACCAATTCCAATTCATGTATACATATGTGGCATCTTTTCATATGTGTTAACATCCTTTTCAGTTTCTATATAATTTATGGCAAAATTGTTTACTGATTTATTTTTCTTTATATTAAATTGGATAGTGAACTTTTTAATTCCTACATGAAAACTAGACGATAAACAAAAAAAAATGTATAGGGTTTATATAGAGAGTATATACCTGGTTAAGTTTGATTACATTTTTTGGGTTTAGTTTGATTTTTATTAAAATTCTTTTGTATTTCACTTTGCACTTGATTGAAGATATATATGTATAATTCTATCTTTCTCCCGATTCCAACTTGAGAGGAATCCAAAATGGTATTTTTCATTCGCATACCATTTTAACTTTAAATAGTTACGAACTTACGTACCACTAATAAATAAGTTTTTATGCAGCGAACTTTAAATAGTTATGAACTTACGTACCACTAATAAAATGCTCGCTGGTGATCATCGCACAGCAAGCAACACAAACAAAAAATGTGATCGGATTAAATTTGAGATTTATTTGAAAAAGAAAGAAGAATTCACACTGTAGTAATAATAAATCATTCTTTTTTGAATTGTTTTTTCATGGTTTTTAAAGTGTCGAATTTGTGTTGTTGCTATTATAAATGTCGACTAGTATTTTAAAGTGTCGAATTTGTGTTGTTGCTATTATAAATGTCGACTAGTATTGTCTTATAAACGATCCTTATAGTATTATAAATTATAAATGAAATCAAAAATATAATACAAAAAAATATTATACAAAAAATAGAATAAAATATAACGTCGAAATGACTAGAAAAAATTCGATATATAATGTGATATGAATGGCTATTTTGTTCCATTAAACACATGTACGTACAAGTGTTAATTTGGTCGAAATCCGAAGATCAATATGGAGTCTCCCGATGAATGACAAATGCATGAGTTTATGAGAGAAACTTGAACACACTTGAATCCGTCCAATACAAACTCAAAGCTCATTGGTTTTGACGTAAACTTCGAAAACTTCATCCATTAACTTTCTTCTAAGATGAGATTGGTAATGGCTTGTGATCTTTTTGGTTGGTCTTACTCTTAATTAAAAACTTTCCTTTAGTATTTTTGAGTGTTTTAAATGTAAAACTATTTCGAAACCTTGGCGCATAGTGTTAGGATTGAATTGCTTTCAATTGCGGTGGCCAGTTTTTAGAGTTTACTAGACACACCAAGCATACAATAAAGAGAAGAAAAAAATGTCAGGAGACTAAATGGGTAGACCTAGAGCTTGAAAATATTGGCAGAGACAAATGTCACACTTGAGATGTCCACTGAAGTAATTGTATGTTCAACTCTTTTATTTCGTTTCAACCATATTTCACTACAACCTAGACTAATAGCTTTCATTCAGGATTTTAAAAAATAAATCATAGAACAAATCTTATAAAGGTTTAACATTACTCTAGAATAGCTAGGTCCAATTAACAAGACATTCACCAAACAAAATCGAAAAAAAAAATAGAATTAAGGTACATATATTTAGATAGGGACAAACTAAATTTGGCTATGCTAGCTACCCTGTTAATATCTTGTTTTTTAGGATGACTATATCCGTATATGTATTATTTGTGATTTTTAGTATTTGTATCTGTATTATCTGGATTTTCGTTTAAAATAAACCATTATTTGTATACGTATCTGTTATATCTGTGATTTTACTATCCATATATGTATCCGTTTAACCAGATATATATATTTCTGGAGAAAAACCGGATACGAATACATATATCCTCGGAGAACGAATATTAATCTCATGACCAATGCTAGCTCCCAAAATACAAGAACAAATACTTTTAAGATTTTTGATCTCGCAAATTTTAGTTATTATGAAAAAGATTTATAAAAACTTTATCCGAAGTTATGATTTAAAGAAAAGAAGAGCCATCAACAGTTATTCTTAGATAAATAAAGTATTGTTGTGAAGCAATTCTATACTTACAAAGATTTCAATTTTGCTGTCGAATTAAATAGAAAACTGCATTTAATATAGTATCTGCACAACCAACCATTCCAATCCTTGAACTACAGATTGGGTTGCAAATATATCACTCTTTTTTCCACTACAAGTAGACAAAAATTAAATGATTACAAACATCTTCTTGACTTAGCTTCTTCTACAGTTTAACAAAATGTTGTCTAAGTACTACTACTTCCGTTTATAATTTCTTAAGCCATTAAGTAATTCTAACTGAAATCTACATTAATTTTGGTACTAATCGAGCTTATCTATCTACTAACAAGAAAGCTTTTAATATAGCTCTCAAACTCAAGGTGTGGTTAATGATCTTGAGCATAAAGTCACATGTTGCCTTTTTTAGCTCAACCATTTGTTTTCTTAGAATAGTATTTGCCGTCAATCATATCAATGATCGAATTAATAATTTGTTTTGTATCTCTGTGGCTTGCAAGTAATAAACTTACTTCCACTCATTATATATCGAAATGTTTTTGATAAACTAAAATATTTTTCCGTTCGGTATATATATCAAAGCTAGAACATTAACTAGTCTTAATTCCTCTTTTACGAAGTTACTCAAATTAATAGTTAACCAGTGCCAAAACCTATCCAGTTTGCTTATAACTTGGCATGTATCCACACGTAAATGCTTTTTCCACGATTCAATGTCTAATAGAGGAATTTTTGTTACAGTTTTGTTTTGGAGAATCATTGGAACCATTATCCCCATTCCGAAATACCATAATCAGAATTGCCATTAGATCGATGGTAATCGTGACCCTATCACCAACATACACAACAACATAAATAGATTTATTTTGGCACTACACTTCTATTATAAATGCGGAAATAAACATAAAATACCTAAAAGAAATAGACATGAAAGTAAGGTAGGTGATAAATATTAAGTATATAAACGATGAAATGCATCCATTGGTCGTCATCGATTATCGAGAAAAAAAGGCAATTAATTAAACAGCTTCACCTACTTATAACGTATTAACAACTTAACACTATAAACACTCATCGATCATCTCTATATATAACACAAGAGCCTCATCACATTACATCCACCACCTACAAATGTTATATTACATATATAGAAGAGAGAAATAAAATGTCTAAGCAATAGTTTATGTTCAGAAGTGTTACATATATATATATATATATAACGTAGAAGTTCAACTGCACTGAGTCATTCATCATGGGTCGATCTCAAGAACAGGGACAAGGACAAGGTCCGGTTCACAGCATCCGGTTATCGACTGTGGGCGCGACCAGACCGACAGAGATCGGTACAACTCACGAACCAACCGGTTTAGACCTAGCCATGAAGCTCCACTACATCAAGGCGGTCTACATTTACTCCCCCGAGACGGCACGTGACTTAACCGTGAGACAACTGAAGGAGGCCATGTTCATGCTGTTCGACCAGATCGCTTGGACCACAGGCAGGTTCTCGCGGAGAGACTCGGGCCGTCCTTACATCAAATGCAACGACTGTGGGACGCGGTTCGTGGAAGGTCAATGCAATCTCACGGTGGAAGAGTGGCTGAGTAAACCGGACCGGTCAGTTGATGAGTTTCTGGTTTACCATCAACCTATTGGACCGGAGTTGACGTTCTCTCCTCTGATCTATGTTCAGGTATAAATCTGACCACACCAAATGTTTTTTTTGAGTTTGCCATACTCTTCTAGTTCACACATGCACTGATCTCTCTCCCTCTCTCGCTCTCTCTATAACATATATACACACATTTAATATTGACTGATATATATATTTGACAATACAAAATGTTCTAAAAATGGTTATATTCATGATATTGCGTTATCCAATCTTGAATCCTTTGCCAAATAAGGATTATTCAAATCTTTAATATATAGTTTCTTGTTGATATAAATATGTATATAGTATAAACTTTTTTCTTAATTCTTGTAACATTTTAATTTGTAGAAAAGATCTATATAAACACATATAACATTTATCAAGAAAGATCTATATAAGAGACTTAGTACATTATTTACTATTTAGCATAAAAGAAGAAAAGAATAAAGAAGACAAACCATGCAGATGGAATGAGTTGGAAAAAGGCAATTATTAGCTAAACTAGATTAGGGTTTTTTTGGTACAGGTATGCCCTAATCAAGAACGACAAATAACATACTCTATGTATAGACATTGAATGCATGAACTGTTACATCAAAATTTAATACACGAAAGATCCTGTTCGTACCATTAACTTGCATGGAAGAAGACTGCCTCGGAGTAGGTGTACCAAAATTTAATACTAAAACATTCGGACTTTTCAACGTTGTATTGCTCACTAGATTGGGACATTATACATATTTGTTGGATCTGAGTTTCATATCTAGATCCATGTCCTTTGTTTGACAAAAATATATGATTTTAAATATGGTTTTATCTCGGTTAAATGTGAAGCTAATTTGTATCTCGGTTTTGTTTACGTAGATGACCCGGTTTAAATGTGGAGGACTAAGTTTGGGGCTGAGCTGGGCTAATATAATAGGAGACTCATTCTCTTTATTCTATGCTTTCAACTTATGGGCTAAGGCCATAGCTGGAGAAAATATTCAAGCCCCAATACCCTCTAAGGGAGGTAGAAGGTTCCAGAATCTAAACCCAACGGTTAAAGACCCGGTTTCAGTTAAACGGGTTGACCCGGTTGGAGATCTTTGGGTCACTCCAAACAACAAGAAAATGTTGTCTCACTCTTTCAATATCTCAGTCGCTGATCATAAACCACCACATTCTCTGGTGTTCGAGAGTATTGTTGGGATTATATGGAAATGTATAGCTAAGGTTAGGGCAGAGCCAGAGCCTTTGACGACTGTTACAATCATCAAGAAGGATGTGAATGATATGAAACCTAACGTGATTCGTAACAGTCAGGTGATAAGTTCAGTTCAAGTTGATTTTTCAGTTGCGGAAGCGATGGTGGAGGAGTTAGTGAAGTCTATGGCGAAAGCGACGGATGAAAGATTTGGAATCGAGGAGGTCGGTGAGAGTTGTGGTGGTAATTTGGACTTTGTTTTGTATGGTGCGAAGTTGACCTTTGTGGATTTGAGTGGTGAGGATTTGTATGAGGCGAAAATGATGGGGAAGTCGCCGGAGTCGGTTTATTGTAACGTTGAAGGAGTAGGGGAGGAGGGATTGGTGGTTGTTTACGCGGCGGCGAAATCGGAGGAAAGGGTTGTTACGGTGACGTTGCCGGAGGAAGAGATGGAGAGGGTAAAAGTTGAATTCAAGAAGTGTGGTTTGGTGATCGCGGTGTGACTATATTATTAACGGCTAGTAAATGGTAAATGTGAAGTTGGTGAATGTTGTTTCCTTTTTATAAGAAAAACTATTGTGATGTTTTTTTTTTTTTTTAAATTGTGATGGTTTTCTATAAGCTGAATTGTAAGTTGTAACGTTGTGGTATGATTAAGGATTTGATTGGTAACGTAATTCAAAATTGCACAAGAAAATGTGTAAGCTGGTGTGTTAAGCTTTCAGAGAATAGTGATGTTCACCAAATAGAGATTGGTAAATCAGATATTTAGAAAAACTAAAGACAAAATCTACTCAAAACCAAATATTTAGAAACTAAAAACTAAAATCTAAAAACCAAAAGATGTTCACCAAGACACCAATCAAAGAAATAACTGATTTAAGTAACGTGTACTGTTTATGTCATAGACGAGGCTTTTGATTGGTGGATCATGCAGCATATACTAGTAGGTAGAAACTGACGGATGTGTGTTTAACATGTGAGAATACATAAAGTGTTTAATATTCCTTTATGCTTTTGTGTTTATTTGACACCTTTTATAATGTCCTTGATCAACCACATATAATGTTGAATCGGTATATGATATGGTAAACATAGAATCTTCTTCATGTCGCCTCTAGCCATGTTCTCCACAATCACTTAAAATCTTCTAGCCGAGTTCTTACTTACAAAGTACAAACCAATCGGCATATATGTATATAAGAAGTTATCAAATCAAGAATCATTCCACATCATGTTACTAGCTACAACAGTTCCAAACTCCACTCAACTTAAAAAGCACAAAACAAAATAAGCTATTTTCGATCTTTAGTAATCAGGGTTTATATCTATTTAACACATGCTTGCCGATTGGCTTAAGCACATGCAAAAGTTTATACATATATATATACAAAGTTGCTAGTGTATTTGATGCTATGCTTTTTCTATTATATTACACATAAACAATTAAAAAGACTATACATAAAGAAAACTATAGAGTAGAGAGACTTTGGTGTTGTTGTATGTCAAGAAGAAGAATCTTGACGTTGACGACGCATCCTAGCAGCCCAAGACATCGAGTTATCATCTTTCTGATTACTTCTTCTCCTTAACCCTGATAGCTGACTTTGCCATTTTGCCTTCCACTCACTCTTCTCCTCTACTACTTCCTACAAAATCACAACATTCACATTTACATTAAAAAATATAGAAAAAAAACATAAACCAACAACCCATGTTTGAACCAAAAGTAAAGTATCAAATGAGTTCATTTTGTCAACATTCTCTGATCCACTAATAAAAATAAAAATATCGACAATATTTCAATGGACATACGTCAACATTTATTGGGACCATAATAAAAAGATAAGGTCAATTCTGTCGACAAAGATACACACACATATATACAAAATGGTTCTCGAATCTACTGAGTAAATCTCTTAAAATTCGAAAAAAATACTAGAATTATTGCGGATAATACTATACGAACCCAAAATATCCAAATCAACAAACATCAACATCAATTGATAAATTTATGATTCAGACATAACTAAAAATTAGTTCCATACTCTTAAATTTTTTCCTAACCATAAACCAAAACTATGGTTTTGTTTTTTTTCTCTCCTTTCCTTTTTTTTTTTTGCTTCATCACAAAAATTCATCAAAATTATGAAATGTTCATTAGTAATATTAATCAAAATTATGTTGTAAGGAAGATCAACATCAATGAACAAGACATAAACTCAATTATATCACCAAACTCTTAATTTTTTCTTAACTATAAACTAAAACTATGGTTCTGTTTTTTTCTTTGCCTCCTAAACATTAAATCCAAACCATAAACCAAAACTATGGTTCTGTCTTTTTTCTTTGCTTCCTAACTAACATTAACTAAAATTTAAATTAGTAAGTTTAAATTTTACCTCATCGTATCGGTTACGGCGTCTACCGGAGAAAGAGAAAGAGAAGCCCATAGACAAATCACGATCATACAAAACTCTCCGGCGAGGATCAGAGAGAGTTTCATAAGCTTCTTGAACTCTTATAAACCGATCCGTATACTCTTCGACCCGATCAGGAGGAGAAACGTCTGGATGGTATTTTCTTGCGAGTTGTTTATAAGCTTGTTTGATTTCAGGGAGCGTGACTGAATCTGTGACGCCAAGAAGATCGTAGAAGGTTAGGTCTTGTGATGATTCTTTGACAGGGTCGTCGTGGATGAGTCGGGCTTGGATCCGGGTTGATGTGAATCGGGTTCGGGTTGGGTAAGAGAGAGTTGATGGGAAGGAAGATGGTAGTGGTGGTAGAGAGGAGATTTGTTGTTTGTAGAAGAGTGGGTGGTGGTGGTGATGATGATTGGTTGAGAGGATTGATGATGATGATTTGTAACAACACTTCATTGTTTGAGATTATTTTAGGGTTTGTTTGATTTTTTGGTGTTTCTTGGTCCTGTAGGAATAGTTGGAGTTTTGAGGTACGAAGGTAGATGATGAAAACAATGGATGAGTAGTAATAATCTGTGGATTTAAGGGTTTTTCTGTCATTTATTTATTTATTTATTTTTATTTTTATTTTACTCCTACTTTTACGACTGGAAAATTTTTATTTAAAGGAGAAACTTGACAGAAAAAAAAAAGAGAAAAAAATACGGAAGTTTCATTTTTTTTTTTTGCAAGAGAAACAAATAGTTCTAATTACCTAAGTTTATCAAAGCTTTAAAATTTTGTACCAAATGATATTTTTGGATTAGTGACATTTATATAATAGTATAAGTTGTTGAATAAAAACTTATAAAACAAAATATTGTGAAAAAAAATTTGCATACATTTTTATATTACAAATATATAATTATATTAAATAAATGAATTTTTAATTATAAATTCTTTTATATTATAGATCCGCATTGTTTCATGATAAAAATATATAGTACTACTAAGAGAATATTGTTGAAAAAAATAATATTAAGAGTATATTAGAGTTGTGAAAGTTCTAAAATTAAAAAAAACTAATATTTACACTATTATGTTTTTGTTTATTCTCGAATTATAAATTTTAAAATACGCATTCATTAATACGAATTCATTCATACAATCTTTTCATTCCTTGATCTATCTCAATTTTTTCATTTATTAAGAAAATGAGTATATATTTTAAATGATAACTATATAGGTTTCAAAAATTTTATTTTTAAATAAATATAGGTTCACAAATTTGTAAAACTTAATGATATAATTTTATAAATAAAAAAATTTAAAAATATCGAAACTAAATAATATTTCTTGACCAAAAAAAAAAGAAACTAAATCATATTTTAGTCTATCGAAAAAAATAATGAAATTCACGGCGTGATGAAATGATAAACGAGTTTAATAAAACTTTTAATACATAAATCTTCGAAAAAAAACAAGAGAAATGTGGGGAGACTGCGCAAACAAATTGATATTCGCCAATATTGCTAAGTGATATTTAGCGACACACGGCAAGAAGATGCTCGGCGGTGCGTGCTTCTGTGGCCTTTTGTAGCTGCTGGCAATAAAACCTTATCCCAATTCGTTGGCCTTTAGCCCATTAGAGTTCTTTAGTCTGTCCAAATGTTGTTACTTGTCTTTTTGATAATTTTTATACTTTGTTGATAGCAAACTAATAGCTTTAAGGTTTGGCACTGGCTAAGAGTGAGTCAAAGACACCACATGGTTTGTAGTTAAATTTATATTTTTTCTCCAAGAGAAAGATTTGACTTTAAGTAGAGTTGACCATGCATATGGAAATTATTGACCATGTGGAAGCCATTAATCATTGGATCTAGCGTCAACCTTCAAAGACACAATCTATGGATCGATCATCTCATTTGTTTCACTTTCAAAAAAATAAAATAAAAAATACTAGCTATGCATTGTTTTGGTGAGAGGAAGATGATAATATGGAGCTTGTGTTTAATCTTGATACTTGTGTTTGGTTCTTCTCATGCTAAGCACTTGTGTCATCCCGACCAGAGGGAAGCTTTGTGGGAGTTCAAGAGTGAGTTCTACGTCCAAAAACCCGACGAGATGAAGTCTAATACGACGACAGAGATGTGGAGGCACAACACTGATTGTTGTTCTTGGGATGGTATCTCTTGTAATCCTAAGACCGGTAAGGTGGTTGAGTTAGCCCTCGGGGACAGTTATCTCAATGGTCCGTTGAGATCAAACAGTAGCTTGTTTAGACTACAACATCTTCGTGGTCTTTATCTTAGCTACAACAATATTTCTAGTGTTCTACCAGATTCCATCGGCAAGCTCAAATATTTGAGGGTTTTAAGTCTTGGTGATTGCAATTTCTTTGGAAAGATTCCTTCTTCAATTGGTAATCTTTCTCATTTGACTTCTCTTGATCTTTCTAGTAATGGTTTCACCGGTGAGTTACCTGATTCGATGGGGAGCCTAAACCGGCTTACAAATTTGGAACTTGTATCGAACAAACTCGGTGGAAAGTTTCCTCATGCGCTGCTTAACTTGAGCGAGATCACTATGCTCGACCTACGTGATAACCAGTTTGAAGGTATGCTCCCATCTAACATGAGTACACTCTCCAAACTAGAAGATTTTGAGGTTAGTGGAAATCTATTTTCCGGATCTATTCCAAAGTCTCTCTTCATGCTCCCTTCTTTGATCCACCTTAACCTGAATAAGAATGACTTCAGTGGCCCTCTTGAGATTGGGAATCTCTCTTCACCATCTAAACTTGGAAGTTTAACCCTTGGAGAAAATAATTTCAATGGACCAATCTCGGGATCTGTATCGAAACTAACCGAGCTTTGGTTTCTTGACTTATCCTTTTGGAACACAAGGAGAGGCCTAGTCAGTTTCAACATTTTCTTGAATCTCAAGTCACTTACGTTTCTTGACATCTCTTACCTTAATACAAGAAGCATAGTTGATATAGGTATTTTCTCAGGTCTTATGTCACTTAGTCATTTGGATCTTTCAGGGATTAATTCGAAGATCAGTTCAACTCTCCATCTTCCCTCATCCATGTTCACATTGATTCTATCATCTTGCAATATTTCTGAGTTTCCCAAGTTTATACAAAACCAAACCAGTTTGAGATATTTAGACATCTCTGCTAATCAAATTGAAGGCCAAGTACCAGAGTGGTTATGGGGATTGCCAGGGCTGCGGTATGTTAACATTTCTCAGAATCTTTTCAATGGTTTTGAAGGATCAACTAATGTTATTCAAAGGAGTGCAAATCAAATGCTTGATATAAGCTCCAACACATTTCAAGATCTTCCCTTGTTACCAAACTCTACAATGTTCTTTTCAGGCTCTGATAATCAGTTTTCAGGAGAGATACCTAGAGCAATATGCAAATTGGTTGCTTTAGACACACTTGTTTTGTCCAACAACAACCTCAACGGTTCTATTCCTCGATGTTTCAAGAATTTCAGAACTACCCTTTCGGTCTTGCATCTACGGAATAACAGCTTATCCGGTATTTTTCCAGATGAATCTATCGGCGATAAATTGAGATCACTCGATGTTGGTCACAACCGGTTATCAGGAGAACTTCCCATGTCTCTGATCAATTGCACTGAACTCGAGTTTCTAAACGTGGAAGACAACATAATCAATGACAAGTTCCCATCATGGTTGAGTTTATTACCCAATCTACAGATTCTTGTCCTTCGTTCTAACGAGTTCTATGGGCCAATATCTTCTCTTGGGGACTCTTTGAGTTTTCCCAAGCTTCGAATATTTGACATTTCAGATAATCGCTTCACTGGAGTCTTGCCATCAGATTACTTTTCGGGTTGGACAGCAATATCATATGTGGTGGACATTGAAGATCGTACACCACTAAGGTATGCAGGACGTGGATCAGGATACTATCATAAATCGGTTGGTATGACGAATAAAGGTTCGAAGATGGAGCTAGTTGGGAGTGGTTTCACAATCTACAAAACCATTGATGTATCAAGAAATAGATTTGAAGGAAACATTCCAGAATCCATCAGTGTACTCAAGGAACTGATTGTGCTGAACATGTCAAACAACGCTTTCACAGGCCATATACCAACATCTCTATCAAACTTGACCAATCTCCAATCATTGGATCTATCTCAAAACAGATTAACCGGAGAAATCCCACCAGACCTCGGGAAACTCACGTTTTTAGCGTGGATGAACTTCTCTTACAACAAGCTTGAAGGTCCAATACCACATGGCACTCAGTTTCAAAGTCAGAACAGTTCTTCATTCGTAGAGAATACCGCGCTATGCGGTCTTCCTCTAAAAATAAGATGCGGTGGAGAAGAAACAACAAAGCAAGAACAAGATGAGGAAAAGGAAGAAGAAGAAGAACAAGTTTTTAGCTGGATCGCAGCTGCAATAGGCTATGTGCCGGGTGTTGTGTGTGGACTCACCATCGCCCACATTCTTACTTCATATAAACGTGACTGGTTCATGAATACAGTTCATTATTTTACTTAACTAAAGCATCGCTTATTTATTTATAAAAAAAAATACACACTTGTTTGCAATTTTCCATTCTTTTGGCTACCTCGTCATGGTTTCTGTCTGATATATAGAGTCATGCAAGAACTGGTAATGGTTGAAATAATCTCGACAACAAGGTCTATAAATATTAATATACACATACGTAGTAAAAGAGAAAGAAAAAACTTTCTTCTTCTGTAATTGAAGTTATATGTAGGGAATGAATTACAACGATCGAATTAATCATTTATGTAGAAAGTAAGAAAATAAATTACTATGCATGCATAAATGATAATAATAGGCTCCACATATTACGTAAACACATGTTAACATCATTTTATTGACATTTAAGTATTTCTCTCTTTTATGAGTTTCGTAACCAAGAGGAGACTTTAATTGACTTTGTGGAGTGTTCATTAGGAAATCTTTGTGCAAAATGATGCCATTTTTGACAAGAGACTTGGTAAGTTTCCGGCAGAGTGTAAGAGACAAACCATGGGTCTACTAGACCCACCACCAATCAACATAACTCCTTTCTCTTTCACAGAAAAAAAAAGATTAATAGATAAAAAGTTAGTAACAAATTAAATTGAAAAGACAAGTGATTCTACTAGTTGGTTCTAAATTGTTTTTTGGAACTTGAACATTTTCGATATACTTTTATAACTAGGAGTGTCTAACTAGGACATCTGATTCTCAAGCCCAGATCTAATATGTTGCATTGTTTCTGACATCCAAGATTCTTATGAACTGGTAGAATTGTTAGAGGTGTTGATGGTTGAATGAACTAAAAGAAAATTTAAATCATTTACAGTTTATAAAAGTAAATATACTAAATTTGATAACATTAATAACTAACTAAAAATAAAAAAAGAAGTAATATAAAAATGATATGAACATGATAAAGTTGTTTCTTAGTATATATTCTTTTTACATGTGCCAAAACGTACTACTGAGCTTAATTTCTTCATATATATATGATCGTTAAAATAACCAAATTACTGTAAATAATAAAACATTTATGGATCTATGTTGGGTTTCAAATAATTTTATGAATCCAATCCTAACCGAATAAACCCAACCCAAACTCGATCCGAAACCCAAATGCTCATACCTACGCTCTTAACTGTATAAAAAAATTGGAAAGAAAGATAAGATTAATCTATACTCAAATGAAAACTCCTAAGAAAAAAAAAAGCTTAAAATATAAATGAATTCTCAACTCAAGCATAACAATATTGAATCAACCCTCCTGTATATAACAAAATGATTAGCAGAGCACTGATAACCACCACACAGCCGAGGAAATTGCGTCTGCACTTTTGAAAAATCAAAAGAGTCTTTGTACTGCACTAACCCTACACGCATGTGTTACTTTTATTCTTAGCGGAGACTAAATTGACTTTGTATTAATGCAATAACCCATACACGCATTTATTTTCTCCCATAATATTCTTTGTGGAAGAAGACTTCATATTCCATAAGTCAAGCTTTATTTTTCCAAATCGTAAGAGACGGTCCGTGGGTTCACTCATTTCATTTCACACAAAAAAAAGAAAAAAAACACAAAAAAAAGAAGCAAAAAGTATGTTGCATTCTTGTAGTAAGGGGAAGAAGATGACAATATGGAGCTTGTTTTTACTCTTCTCCCTTACCAATTCAATACATGTTATGGCTTCTCACGTTAGGCACTTGTGTCGGAATGACCAGAAGAATGCTCTTTTGGAGTTCAAGAACGAGTTCTATGTCCAAGATTTCAATGCCAATGGGGTTGCTGGTGACAAGAAGACAGAAACCTGGAGGAACAACACAGATTGCTGCTCTTGGGACGGTATCACATGTAATCCTAAAACAGGTAAGGTGGTAGAGTTAGACCTCATGAACAGTTTTCTCAATGGCCCTTTGAGATATGATAGTAGTCTGTTTAAACTACAATATCTTCACAGCCTTGATCTTGGCTCGAATAATCTTTCGGGTATGCTACCGGATTCCATAGGAAACCTCGAATATTTGCGGGTTTTGAGTCTTGGTCGTTGCAATCTCTTTGGAAAGATTCCTTCTTCACTTGGAAATCTTACTTATCTCACTAATCTTGATCTTTCTGTTAATGATTTCACTGGTGAGCTACCGGGTTCGATGGGGCATTTAAACAAGCTAGCAGAGTTACATCTTGGATCGGCCAAGCTTAGTGGGAAGTTTCCTAGTTTGCTACTTAATTTGAGTGAGCTCACATTGATCGAACTTGGCTTTAACCAGTTTGAAGGTACGCTCCCATCTAATATGAGTAGTCTCTCCAAATTGGTGTCTTTCGATATTGCTGGAAATTCATTTTCTGGATCTATTCCATCGTCTCTCTTCATGCTTCCTTCAATGAACACACTTGTCATGGGAAGAAACAACTTCAACGGTCCTCTTGACTTTGGGAATATGTCTTCACCATCTAACCTTGGAGTTTTGTCTCTTCTTGAAAACAATTTCAATGGGCCAATCCCGGAGTCTATATCGAAACTAGTTGGGCTATGGTATCTTGACCTCTCTTTATGGGACACAGGGAGGGGTATGGTCGATTTCAACATGTTCTTGCATCTGGAGTCTCTAACGCTCCTTGACCTCTCTTATATTAATACAAGAAGCACGGTTGATATAAGCATATTCTCACCGCTCTTGTTACTTGGTTACTTGGACCTTTCGGGTAATGATTTGAAGATTAGTTCAACTCTCAGTCTCCCCTCACCGATGGGAACCTTGATTTTATCATCCTGCAAGATTTCTGAATTCCCCAAGTTTCTAGAAAACCAAACCGCTATGTATTATTTAGACATCTCTGCGAATCGAATTGGAGGCAAAGTACCAGAATGGTTATGGAGTCTGCCGGATTTGCAGTATGTAAACATTTCTCAGAATTTGTTCAGTGGCTTTGAAGGACCAGTGGGTGTTATTCAAAGATGTGGAAAACTAATCATGCTTGATATTAGTTCAAACACATTCCATGATCCATTTCCTTTGTTACCAAAGTCTACGACGATCTTTTTAGGCTCCGATAATCGGTTTTCGGGAGAGATTCCTAGGACAATATGCAAATTAGTTTCTCTTGACACACTTGTTTTATCCAACAACAACTTCAACGGTTCTATTCCTCGGTGTTTTGGGAAATTTAATACTAGTCTTTCGGTCTTGCATCTCCGGAATAACAACTTCTCTGGTACTTTTTCAAAAGAATCTATCAGTGAACACTTGAGATCAATTGATGTTGGTCACAACCAGTTATCAGGAGAACTTCCCAAGTCATTGATCAACTGCACCCGTCTCGAGTTTCTCAATGTGGAAGACAACATCTTCAATGACAAATTCCCAGTATGGTTGAGATTGTTGCCCAATCTACAGATTCTTGTCCTCCGTTCTAACAAGTTTCATGGGCCAATATCTTTTCCTGGAGAGTCCTCGAGCTTCAAAAAGCTGCGAATCTTCGACATTTCGGAAAACCGCTTCACTGGAGTCTTCCCATCAGATTACTTTGCTGGTTGGAGTGCAATGTCATCAGTCATAGACATTGTAGATATTATGCCGAGTAGGTATGCGGGACGTGACTCGGGAAACTATCAAAACTCAGTGACTATGACGCTGAAAGGATCCGAATGGGAGCTGGTTGGGAGTGTTTTCGCAATTTACAAAACCATCGATGTTTCCGGAAACAAATTCGAAGGAAGTATCCCTGAATCCATCGGTTTACTTAAGGACCTGATTGTGCTCAACATGTCAAACAACGGTTTCGTTGGTAGTATACCACCATCGCTCTCGAACTTGACGAATCTCCAATCGTTGGATCTATCTAAAAACAGATTATCCGGAAAAATCCCAGCAGAGCTCGGGAGACTCACGTTTCTAGCAAAGATGAACTTCTCGTACAACAAGCTTGAAGGTGCAATACCACAAGGCACTCAGATTCAGAGCCAGGACAGTTCTTCTTTCGCAGAGAATCCCGGGCTCTGCGGTGTTCCTCTCGAGGAAACCTGTGGAGGAAAAGAAGAAGGAGAAACAAAGCAAGAGCAAGGTCAAGAAAAAGAAGAACAACAAGTGTTTAGCTGGATCGCAGCTGCAGTAGGCTACGTACCTGGTATTGTATGTGGACTCACCATTGGCCACATTCTTGCTTCATATAGACGTGACTGGTTCATGAAAATCTTTTGATATTTTGCATAATCGAAGCATCACTTCTTCTTAGGAGGATGATATATATATATATCTTATTGTAATAATATAATTAATAAACTGTTACAACACTTGTCATAGAGGATAAGTGTATTATCTAGGCTAAAATAATTGTGAATCCTGAAGTTTTTGTTAAGTCTGAATTTATATTTTCTTTTTAAGTATATATCTGTATAAATGAATGTGGTCTGTTCCCAAAATTTTCATTAAATACGAAATAATAAAACAAATCGACATAGATTGGTCATGTGGTAAGAGAACACATTGAAAATGAGATGATCAGAACACTTCATGTATGCATAGCTCATTTAGACCATCTCCAACTGTTAGAGCATGCTAGAGATGCTAAAGATTTGTTTTTTAATAATATTTTAATTATATAATTATGATTTAACTTTTTAATAAAATTGGACCATTCACAAAGATACATGTATATTTTGTCAGAGAAATAGTGTTAGCACCCGTTCTTTAAATTAGCATTTTAGTCTTTCTATTTTTTCTTTCTTATTTCTTTTTTTATTTACATTTTTCTTTTTGTTAACACTCTTGTTAAGCATCCTTGTTGGAGATGCCCTTATCAGCAACATCTTAGCTTAATCTTAGAATTATTTGTGATTTAATTAAATCAAAAATACATCAAAATGACTAAGAAGCTATCTTATTTAAGATCCAAATAGTATGTTAAGAAGCGTACACGTGGTATAATTTTATTGGGTAGTAGGATAAATATATATATGTATATATTTAATGTAGTAGGATAAATATATAAGGGGGAAAAAACAATTTCCTTAATTTTTCCCTTCTTACTTTCCTTAATTTTATCTTATCTATGTTTTAAATTTTAAATTTTGCAATAATTATAAAGTTTTCTCAAATTATAAATTTTGATTTAATTTAATTTTTAAATAATGTGTTTTTTCCTAAAATATCCAACTTAAGATTCTACCAATAAACACATCTCAAACTAAAAACAAAAATATAACTCTTACCACTTACCTTTTCAAATTTAATAATTAATTAATACTAAGACCAAAAATTAACATCTCCTTGATAATGTTGCGGGATCTTGAAGCCAGTAGTTTATAAATTCTTTAAATACTATTGGCAAGATGGGTCTGTCTTTGACACAGAGTGTTCAGTGTCTAAATACTAAGTTTTATTAAGAAGTCTATAGAGGATAAGTGTGATTAATATGTATAAGGTGAAGAAGTATGCTAGTCTGAATTTATATTTTATTTTTAGTTAAACACAAATTTAAATGTGTGTATATATATATGTGTAATCTAATATTTTGAGTTGTATAGTTAAATACTATTTATCTTTCATCTCTTTGTCTTTGACTTTTGAAAAATCACTTATTAGAATGGTCAGTGACTTCATGTATGAACAGCTTCATTTTCTTGTGGATCGATGTGCTCACCAAACCATCGTTTTTCACACACTCATTGACGATATGAGTTTCTCTTCGATGTATAATATGTATCCAACGTAAAACACGACAAATGTGAGAAAAAAACAAAAAGATTTGGATTTTTGTGGACTCTTGGTTCCACAAATGTGATATAATATGTATAATCAATCCTTCTTTCACCGGAAGAAAAGAAAAAAGAAAACAATCAAAGCGAAATATTTGATGCGGAGGATGATGATCACACTTACAAAATGGAGTTTGTGCTTCATCTTCTGCCTTGCTCATTCAACACTTGTTCCTGCTAAACACTTGTGTCTTCCAGATCAGAAGGATGCTCTTTCAGAGTTCAAGAACGAGTTCTATGTCCATGATCCAACTGGGTATGGTGAGAAGAAGACAACGAAGTGGAAGAACAACACTGATTGTTGTTCTTGGGATGGTGTCTCTTGTGATCCTAAGACGGGTGTGGTCGTTAAGTTAGACCTCCACGGTAGTTTTCTCAATGGGCCTTTGAGATCTAAAAGTAGCCTATTTAGACTACAACATCTTCAGAGCTTGTATCTTCGCTCCAATAATCTATCGGGTATTCTACCAGATTCCATCAGCAACCTCAAATATTTGACGTTTTTGGATCTTGGCCATTGCAATCTCTTTGGAAAGATTCCTTCTTCACTTGGAAATCTTTCTCATCTCACTACTCTTGATCTTTCTTATAATCATTTCACTGGTGAGCTACCCGATTCGATGGGGCATTTAAACAAGCTAGAAAAGTTGTGTCTTGGAAGGGCCGGGCTCAGTGGGAATTTTCCTTACTTGCTACTCAACTTGAGCTCGCTCATGTGGATCGAACTTGGTTCTAACCAGTTCAAAGGTATGCTTCCATCTAATATGAGTAGCCTTTCCAAATTGGAAGTTTTTGATGTTAGTGAAAATGCCTTTTCTGGTATTGTTCCCTCTTCTCTCTTCATGATATCTTCGTTGGTTGAACTTAACCTGGGACGTAACCACTTCAACGGTCCTCTTGAGATTGGGAATATCTCTTCAGTATCTAAACTTCAAAACTTATACATTGGAAAAAACAATTTTAGCGGGCCAATCCCCGGATTTATATCGAAACTAATCGGGCTCTCGGAACTTAGCCTCTCTTCCTGGAATACGGGAAAGGGCATCGTTGATTTCAGCATCTTCTTGCATCTCAAGTCACTTACGTCACTTGATCTCTCTTATCTGAATACAAGAAGCATGGTCGACCTAAGTATTTTCTCAAATCTCAAGTTACTTAGTGTGTTGGATCTTTCAGGGATTCATTTGAATATCAGTTTAACTCTCCATTTTCCCTCACCCATGATAATGTTGGTTTTATCGTCCTGCAATATTGATGAATTCCCCAAGTTTCTTGAAAACCAAACCAGTCTAATGTATTTAGACATCTCTGCCAATCAAATTGAAGGCCAAATACCAGAATGGTTACCAAACTCACTCATTGTCTTTATAGCCTCCGATAATCAGTTTTCGGGAGAGATTCCTAGAGCAATATGCGAATTGGATAATCTATATACACTTGTTTTGTCCAACAACAACTTCAGTGGTTTTATTCCGAAGTGTTTTGAGATGTTCAATTCTTCTCTTTTGATCTTGCATCTTAGCAATAACAGTCTCTCAGGTGTTATTCCAGAGGAAATTATTAGTGATCGCTTGATATCACTTGATGTTGGTGGCAATTTGTTATCAGGAAAACTTCCTAAGTCTTTGATCAACTGCACTCAACTCCAGTTTCTGAACGTGGAAGACAACATAATCAATGACAAGTTCCCATCATGGTTGAGTTTATTACCCAATCTACAGATTCTTGTCCTTCGTTCTAACGAGTTCTATGGGCCAATATTCTCTCCTGGAGATTCTTTGATATTCCCCAAGCTTCGAATATTCGACATTTCAGATAATAGCTTCAGTGGAGTCTTGCCATCAGATTACTTTGTTGGTTGGAGTGTAATGTCATCGGTGGTAGACATTGATGATATTAGGCTTGTATTCGGGATTTTAGGAGATAACCGAGAATCGTATCAAAGATCTGTGGTTATGACGATCAAAGGAGTGGAACGGGAGCTGGTTGGGAGTGGTTACAAAATCTACAAAAACTTCGACATCTCCGGAAACAGACTCGAAGGAGACATTCCAGAATCCATTGGTTTACTCAAGGAACTGATTCTGCTCAACATGTCGAACAATGCTTTCACGGGCCATATACCACCATCTTTACCGAACTTGAGAAATCTCCAATCATTGGATCTATCTAAAAACAAGTTATCCGGCAAAATCCCACCAGAGCTTGGGAAACTCACGTTTCTATCACTTATGAATTTCTCGTACAACAATCTTGAAGGTCTAATACCACAAGGCACTCAGATTGAAACTCAGAATAGCTCTTCATTTGCTGGGAATCCCGGGCTATGCGGTGTTCCTCTCCAAGTAACCTGTGGAGGAGAAGAAGAAGAAGAAGAAACAAAGCAAGAGAAAGAACAACAAGTGTTTAGCTGGATGGCAGCTGCACTTGGCTACGTACCTGGTGTTGTGTATGGACTTACCATTGGCCATATTCTCTCTTCATATAGACGTGACTGGTTCATGAAGATTTTTCACTATTTTGCTTAATCGAAGCATCACTTCTTCTTAGGAGGATGATGTCACCTTTGTAATAATTAAGTCACCGTTAAATACTATCTCTCTCATCTCTCTCTGTTAATAAGTACGTGTATAAAACTTTATCATCAAGATGAGTTTAAGAAAATAGTGTTCTCTTGGATCGTTTACTCACGTACGTAGGCATGTTCATGAGGAATATTTAAGAGTGTTTAGAGTGTTCAATGACATTGTAACCGGTTTAGAAGAACCGAGTAATTAATTGTTGACCAATGTAAACCGAGATGAAAGCCTTTTTTAAGTTTGAGAGTTAACGGAAATAACAAGTGAAGAAGTCAAAAACATAATGCTTTTTTTTTTTTTAAGATCTGTTTTTTTTTTTTTTTTTTTTTTACAATGACAAAAACAAAAAAGTTAGATTGATTATAATTGATTGATTTGATGATAAATTGTTCATCCAAATGTTCAAGAAAATTAATATTCATTCCTTTCGCTGTATTTTTTTTTTTTTTTTTTAATTTCTACATGAATTAGAAGAAAAGCTAAGTCCAATTTCTGAAAATATAACATAGATACACAAGGAGAAGTTTAAACGAAAACAAGGGAGACTTGTTAAGGAAATTATTGATATAGTCTTTGAGGAAATATCTTATCTTGCTGTGCAAGTAGTCTCCTAAAGGAGACTTGTTAAGTCAACCTTTGATTAGTAGACCTATTAGATATAAACCCAAATCTATAAATACACATATTATATATATTATATAATGATGATTTATATTTATACATATATATAAGTATACGAAGCGAAACGGATATTCGACATTAAAAAATTAATATTTGTTATTTACTTCGGTTTTTACGAATACTACATTTTCATATTTGTTTCGCTTCAATATCTTATAGATGTTTGAATTTTTAGAATCGAATCGAAACGAATATCGAAGTGAAGCGAATCTAACGAATATTTTGCCGAGGGCTATTTTGTACCCATAATTTCGCGCGCTAAATACTATTTCTATGTCTTTATCGTCAAGAAAAAAAGGTCTTCATCAGGTGTGTGCATGTCAGTGTGTGTACGCTTAGTCCAAGCAGGTTCTGATTCATATTAACTACTCTGACTTTTCCAAACTCACTTATTAGAATGGTCAGTGACTTCTTGTGGTATACTTAACGTTTTTCACACACTCATTGACAAGATGAGTTTCTCTTCGATGGTGTATGTACTTACGTAGTCATCATGTTCATCAGAAATATTTAAGAGTGTTCCGACTTCAGAGTGTCATCATTGGAACCGGTTTAGTAGAACCGAGTTTTTAATAAGTGTTTACCATTGTAAATCGACTTAAAAAGCCATTTGATAGTTCTGCTTTTACTTGAAAACAAAATGGCTCTTTATTGATCAGAGATTAACAACAGTAAGTTACAGTTGTTAATCAATCAATGGTTTTATTTATTTTATAAATTACAGTTAATATAATTGATTTATTTGATAATAATTGTTAATTGAAATGTTCAAGACAATTAATATTCATTCCTTGCGTGAAAGAAGAAAAGCTACGTATTGTATGATAGGTACTACGTTTCAATACATGAAACTCGACAAATGTGAGAAACAAACAAAACAAAAATGTTGGATTTTTGTTGACTCTAGTGTACTAAAAAAATGTGGTCTATTATTATGTATAATCAATCCATCTTCACCGGAAAAAGAAAAAGAAAAAAAAAGAAGAAAAATTTTAAGAGAAATTTTATGCGTCGTTGTTGTAGAGAGAGAAGGATGATGAGAATAATAAAATGGGGTTTGTGTTTAATCTTCTGCCTTTCTCACTCGATACTTGTTCCTGCTAAAGACTTGTGTCTCCCAGATCAGAGGGATGCTCTTTCGGAGTTCAAGAACGAGTTCTCTGTCTACGAGTTATACTCCTATACGGATGGTGACAAGAAGACAACGAAGTGGAGGAACAACACTGATTGTTGTTCTTGGGATGGTGTCTTGTGTGATAATAAGACAGGCAATGTCGTTGAGTTAAACCTCTACGACAGTGATCTCAACGGCCCTTTGAGATCTAATAGCAGCCTGTTTAGACTACAACATCTTCAGAGCCTGAATCTTGGCTATAATAATATCTCGGGTCTTCTACCAGAATCCATCGGCAACCTCAAGTATTTGAGGGATTTGGATCTTCAGTATTGCAGTCTCTTTGGAAACATTCCTTCTTCACTTGGAAATCTTTCTCATCTCACTAGTCTTCATCTTTCTGATAATGATTTCACCGGTGAGCTACCCGATTCCATGGGGCATTTAAACAAGTTGACAGAGTTGTATATTGGACAGGCCAAGCTCAATGGGAAATTCCCTCACGTGCTATTCAACTTGAGCTCGCTCACCTTCATCGACCTTAGTAATAACCAGATCAAAGGTACGCTCCCATCTAACATGAGTAGCCTCTCTAAACTGGAGACTTTTGCTATTAGCGGAAATTCCTTTTCTGGAACCGTTCCCTCTTCTCTCTTCATGATCCCTTCGTTGACTGAACTTTACCTAGGACGTAACCACTTCAGCGGTCATCTTGAGATTGGGAATATCTCTTCACAATCTAACCTTCGAACATTATACATTGGAGAAAACAATTTCATTGGACCAATCCCAGGATTTATATCGAAACTAGTTAAGCTTGGTCATCTTAGCCTTTCTTTCTGGAACACAGGAGGGGCCATTGTTGATTACAGCATCTTCTCTTTTCTCAAGTCACTTAGTGTGTTGGATCTTTCAGGGATTCATTTGAATATCAGTTCAACTCTCCATCTTCCCTCACCCATGGAAGCTTTGATTTTATCATCATGCAATATTGCTGAATTCCCCAAATTTATACAAAACCAAACCAGTCTGGTACATTTGGACATCTCTGCCAATCAAATTAAAGGCCAAATACCAGAATGGTTGGGGAGACTATCAGATTTGTCGTATGTAAACATTGCTCAGAATTTCTTCACTGGAGAACTGGCTATGTTACCAGACTCCATTAAATACTTCATAGGCTCAGATAACCAGTTTTCGGGAGAGATTCCTAGATCAATATGCAAATTGGATCTTACCTATCTTACTCTATCCAACAACAACTTCAGCGGTACTATTCCACGGTGTTTTAAGAATTTCAATTCTTCTCTTGAAATATTGCATCTTAGGAATAACAGCCTCTCTGGCGTTATTCCAGAGGAAATTATCAGTGATAGCTTGATATCACTCAATGTTGGTCTCAACTGGCTCTCAGGAAAACTTCCCAAGTCTCTGATCAACTGCACTCTTCTCGAGTTTTTGAACGTTGAAGGCAACAAAATAAATGACAGGTTTCCATTTTGGTTGAGTTCGTTGTCCGATCTACAGATTCTTGTCCTTCGTTCTAACGAGTTTTATGGGCCAATATCTTCTCCGGGGGATTCTTTGAGTTTCCCCAAACTACGAATCTTTGACATTTCGGAAAATAGCTGCACTGGAGTGTTGCCATCAGAGTACTTTGCGGGTTGGAGTGCAATGTCATCCGTCATAGCCATTTTTGATAGTGATCTGGGTCCAGGACTTAGCCGAAATGAATATCATAGGTCTGTGTTTGTGACGAACAAAGGATTGAATATGGAGCTGGTTGGCAGTGTTTTCTCAATTTACAAAACCATCGATGTCTCCGGAAACAAATTCGAAGGACGTATTCCTGAATCCATCGCTTTACTTAAGGGATTGATTGTCCTTGACATGTCAAATAACGCTTTCACAGGCCATATTCCATCATCTCTCTCGAACTTGACCAATCTTAATTCATTAGATCTATCTCAAAACAGATTATCTGGCCAAATCCCATCAGAGCTTGGGAAACTCACGTTCTTGTCTTGGATGAACTTCTCGTACAACGAGCTTGAAGGTCCAATACCACAAGCCACTCAGATTCAAAGCCAGAATATCTCATCATTTACAGGGAATCCCGGTCTACACGGTTTTCCTCTTCAAGAAACATCTGTCCAAGAAGAAGAAACAACAAAGCAAGAGCAAGATGAAGAAAAGGAAGAAGAAGATCAAGTAATGAGCTGGATTGCAGCTGCAATAGCCTATGGACCTGGCTTCTTCTGTGGACTCACCATCTCCCACATTCTCACTTCATATAGACGTGATTTGTTCATGAAGATCCTTCACTGGTTTACGTAATCAAGAATCACTACTAGATTGTGTCCCTTTGCAATAATAATCTTTTAAAACACTTGTTTAAATATTTTCAATCTACATATATAAAATATTCCCATTAATATTGTTTTTGGTAGTAATATTCCCATAAATATTTAAATGTAGTTAAAAGTTGTTTTCGAAAGTTTTATAAAGAAACAAAAATATTTTAAAAGCAAAATCCAGAGAGAAAAACAAAAAACAATATAAAATCTCTGGACAAAAAAAAAAAGAAAGAAAAAACAATAAAAGGTATAACCGGAACGGTCTAAATTTAAAAGTTGTGTATAAGTGTAACACACTATGTTTTGTATTGAGTTGTATTATGTATGTATGAGTGTGTTTTGTGCAATTAAGTTATAACTAAAGTTTCCTATAATTTCGTTACAATACTTTACTGTATCTCTCTGTCCTCTCCTCTTCTTTGCTTTCAATTTTCTTTTTTTTTCAGATTCAGTTCTCTACACAACACAAAAGAACCCTAAAAATTTTCACATTACGTTTTCTATCACCAAGAAAACAAAAATATATATAATTATTACGTCTTCCACATTGTTTTAGATGTACAAATAAGGAAGAGATGAAAAAGGTTTGTGATATCGATTCGAATATTCTATTGCCTTAGTGATGATTTGATTCTTTTTTTTATAATCGTGGGCATGAATGAGGTAACGTAATAATTCAGAAGCAATTCGAAAGATCGATCTATAGTCGCATGCAGCTGTTTCTTGGGACATCGATCGTTTGATTAATTGTTTTTGTTTATGTGGTTAAGATTTGTCTTCTTCCTTGCTTTACATATCTGTGTTTTGTCTCTATGGTCTCTGTGTAATCTACTTGAGCCATTTTGTCTGGTCTTAAATTTTTCTGCCACATACTTCAAAACTCAGATATTTTATTGTTTTAGAACATGATTGGTGAGGCAAATTCTATAGATTGTAATTAGTAAATATTTTTTTGTTTGTTATTGTTGATTATAGGGGTGGATTTACTGATTCTTATTTTCTTATTTTGTAGACGCAATAAGGCAAAAGTGAAAAGCTTTCATCAGTAACAACAACCTGAAACCATCCTAATTGTATATATATAAGCGAAAAGTATTATAAAATATCATCAAAGATGGAGGAGATGTCACCTGATAATATACATGGAGTCATTTTAGCTGTGTCTTCGAGTATATTCATTGGTTCTAGCTTCATCATCAAGAAGAAAGGTCTCAAGAAGGCCGGTGTTAGCGGAGCCAGAGCAGGTTCTTCTGATTTCTATATTCAGAGGTTTTTTTTTTACTTAGTCTCTAGCTCTTCAAAATGACACATAATCTTGGTGCTTCTTGTTAATTATCTGTGATTAGGTGAAGGAGGGTATGGATACTTATATGAACCTTGGTGGTGGGCTGGAATGATAACAAGTAAGTCTGATGATCAGTATCCCTTTATAATGGTTTTGGGAAGCTCTGCTGCAGATCTTACTTTTTACATTGTTTGCTATATAGCTATAGAGATGTTATGACTTTGGCAGTTTTGTGTGCTTGGGACATGTTTTGGACTCTTTATCACTATTGAAACAGTCTCTCTTTGTCTTATCTGGAAACTTTGGTTTTATATTGAGACATCATGGCTCTGTGTCATGGAGCTTTGGTTATGAGAACTAATTTTGTATCCCAACTTCTTATAGTGATTGTTGGGGAGATAGCTAATTTCGCAGCTTATGCGTTTGCACCGGCTATTCTAGTGACACCTTTGGGAGCTCTAAGTATTATTTTCAGGTATCTGTATCCTCTATACCTGTTTCTTTATCTGTGTAAAACAACATAGTTTCCTGAAAACGAAAAACCGTGTGATGCAGCGCAGTGCTAGCACATTTTATTTTGGAAGAGAAGTTGCATATGTTCGGTATACTTGGCTGTGTCCTCTGTGTTGTTGGATCTACTACTATTGTTCTACATGCTCCTCATGAGCAAAACATTGAATCAGTCAAGCAAGTATGGCACCTTGCTACTGAACCAGGTATATATAGCTATAGCTAGAGGTTTTCTAATTTTGTTTCTCTAAGTGGACTGAAACATGTTCTATTGTTTGAATGTTTTAACCAGGCTTCCTTGCTTACTCTGCTGTGGTCTTGGTTGTGGTGCTTGCATTGATCTTCTACTACGAACCACGTTATGGGAAGACGCATATGATAGTATATGTTGGGATTTGCTCTTTAATGGGATCCTTGACAGTATGTTTTAATCTTTTTCCTTGGCCATTTCTTAGTGATAGATCTCTCTTTGTTTTGAAGTAAGTGTCTGTCTCTTTGTTGCATGTTAGGTTATGAGTGTTAAAGCTGTAGCAATTGCAATAAAGCTTACCTTTTCCGGGATGAACCAGTTCAAGTACTTTCACGCATGGATCTTCATCATAGTAGTGACCATATGTTGCATTTTACAAATCAACTACTTAAACAAGGTAATAACAAAGTATTGTTTTATTGATATGTCACATTTCCAAGTTTCTCTAGTAACAAACTCTGTTTTCTCATCTTTCCAGGCTCTAGATAATTTTAACACAGCGGTTATATCTCCAGTTTACTACGTTATGTTTACAACATTCACCATCTTAGCTAGCATGATCATGTTCAAGGTAAATTTTGTACAAGTGATCATAATAAACTAAAAGGTTCCAATGTATAGCATCATTATCTTTTTATGATCTAGGATTGGGCTTCTCAAAGCGGATTGCAAATTGCGACCGAGCTATGTGGCTTTGTGACCATTTTATCAGGAACATTTCTTCTTCACAAGACAAAAGACATGGGAAACAGTACCAGCATACGCGGTTCCACGTCGCACTCGCCTAGAGACACTCCTGTCTTCGTAAACTCAGGTTCTAGTCGCAGCTCCAACTCCACTAGGCCTTCAATATTATAATCCTACTGGTCAGTTGGTAGAGCTAACGGCCTAGAACGAGGCAAAAACGAGTAACAAAAGCCTCAATGAGAACTATTTTTTGGATGGAAAGTGACAAAACAGAGCAATTGGGTATAATGTGTTTTTGGAGAAAGGAAGGTTTAGTGAATGATTTGTTAGGGATACTATTTGATTGATTGTTTCATGTTATTTCATTTTATTACTATTTCTTGTTTTTCATATGAGAGATATAAAGGAAGTTTTAAACACACAGTTTCACCAATTTTTCGATACTCTTTCACATTTGTTCCTTAAGGAGATCTTGAGGCGAAGAACGATATACGTAACCATATTAAGTCGTTTTTGTTCTCTAGCTTTCATTGATGTATACTGTAATGTGACCTTTAGCAACTTAGAAATCCTCAAAAGAGATTTGATCATGAGAAGAACAGTTAACAAATAAAAGAAAACCCCAAATAGCCATAGCTTCAAAATGTGTATGCCTGAGGTTAGTTTTAGTGAGTTGTAGATAAAATGGCACATGGTATTGTCTTATAAAGAAAGTGTTATATTTTCTTTTCTTGGTTAATGCCATATTCCAAACAATAGACCGGACAAAAGACCTAATAATAAAGGGCACTTGTGTTCTGGTGATTTATCTTCCGTAGTGTGGATGTGATTAAAGAAGAAGCAGACAAGTAAAGATGGGGACATGAGAGTTTGGTCGGAAAAATATTTAATTTTATTTTGAAAACCCAAAAAATTGACTTTCCTAACTAAACAAACTTCCACGACTCTTCTTCTACTTTCTTCTTTTCTCCATGTGATCTTCTTCTTTCACCCTTTTGGGGCTATAGTTAATTCAGGACACTCGCCTAAGTACCACTTTAAAGCTTCTTTTGAGTACCCTCTCGACAAAACTCAAATAAAGGGGTCTCAGGATGAGACTAGTGCCGATATATACAAATGAAAATATCAGAGAACCGTACGTACTTTGGCCCGACCTGTTTTTGTGAAAAGGCAAAATCATCGTATTTTTTTTTGTCTTTTGGATAGATATTTTAAGGTTTTGGATTCGATCTAAGATATTTTGAGGATTTGAATGCTTAAACGATCAAGTGTTTAGTGGGTATTAATACATTATGTCATTTAGTAGTTTGGTATGATGGATACCACGAGTATTTTGATGGGTAATTGCTATACGATTTTTTGATATAAGATTATCTTGGTTGTTAGGTGTATATGGATACTAAGAGTACTTGCGATACGATCTTATGATATTAACATATCTTGATTTCTATAACTAGACATAAATCAGATAACATATACGGAACATTATAAAAGGCTTATGAATAGTGTTCACGTGTGCAACGTTTACGTAAATAAGTTCACTACTCATACATATAGAAGACTAGAAGTTACTTGGAACACGTAAAAGCCAACGTTAAAAATACAAGATCACAACAAAGATAAATGTTGTTATGGCAAATCCTATTATCGTACGTTATTAACAAAGTTTATTAATGTGTGTATCATTCATCCGTTAAGTCAATGAAAATATCGGTTGTCTTGACATTACCAGCTGAAGACAGAACTAATGTAGCCATTGGCCACATGCATGTAGGACATACACTTCATCTCAACACCCCAACATTAATTAAACTACGTCTTCCTAAAATCCAATTGCTTTGATCTAATCTGTTTGTCAAAACCATGTCCTTGTAGGTCACACTCACAATATAAAACTTTTCTTAACTCCACCAATATATATAGACCTATATTTCCCTTTGGCTGATCATAAACCAAACTCAAAAGCTTCTTCTTTCATCAAACAAGATCAATACATCTTAACTTGAGTCATTGATTCTAAAGCTTTCTTTATTGTTTCCAATACTAGAAATGGCATTCTTGAGAAGTTTTTTTGCTACCAAGCAAATCATTCGCCGGTCTTTTACTACTGAATCATCTTCATCATCATCATCAACTTCAACTTCAACGCCTAAAGGGTTCTTTGCTGTGTACGTTGGAGAAAATCTGAAGAAGAAGAGATATCTTGTTCCGGTTTACTACTTGAGCAAGCCATCTTTCCAAGCTTTGCTTAGGAAAGCTGAAGAAGAGTTTGGTTTTGATCATCCCACCGGTGGTTTGAGTCTACCGTGCGACGAAGCTTTCTTCTTCACTGTCACTTCTCAAATTCGTTGAGCCAATACAATAGTTATAAGATGTTTACATTCTCTTAGTTTAAAGAGGGAAATACACATTGTAAATATTATACTCTTTTATATACATACTGATGAGAATAATATATTTTGCTTTCGAATTCTATATATTCCACACTCCTTATATTATGAAGCCAATAGCAAACTCTTTGTATATATTTATTATATTGTAGGTTCGTTACTTCAGTATTTTCATCAAGACTCTTCTTTGTTATATTTTCTCCTTGGTAACTTGATGATTCTTCGACACAAACCCCTTATTAACTTGTGGTCTTATTGTTTTCGCCATAAAAAACGACAAAGACAGGATCCAAATTAACGATCCATGGCAAGAGAAGTTTACAGTATGTAGAAAAGTTTGCTTGAAATAACTAATGGACGTGCTATAGCCTGCTAGGGAATTAATGCAGTAGCAGCATCTCGTAGTCGTGCTCGGATGCATGCAGCTCGTGCTCATAGAAGGACCCGAAATCTAAATATACCCGAACGAGTCTATTTCTCTATACCCGAAATACCTTATCCGAACCTGAAAGGATACTAGTTTATTGTTATTGATGTTGTAAAAAGAAACAAATTTAGCATAAGTAGAGTATGTATTACATTAATATGGTAGTTACTTTACTTTAGGTTTCACAATTTTTTTAATGTGATACTTCACTAAACTAGTAGTAAAGCTGTTTTTGGGTTCCGGTTTAACTCCATACCAGTAAAGACCAGTTTAAAATTGAATTCAGGTACCAAACCCGGGAATTGATCAAATTCTCGGACCGGTCTAAACTTAACCGGATCTATCTGAGGCCGCCGTTACTTAGGTTTATACCACCAGCTAAAGAGCTTTCCATTTCTCTTTCTCAGCTTCTCTGATTCGTCTTTTCTCCTCCGTCTCTGAATCTTCGCGAAAACCCTAATTGCCTTTGTGGTCTTGTTACTTTCGCCATGGAAGACGGCGGCAAGAGCGACGTCCCCAAGTTACCAATCCCTGGAAAGAGAAATATACTAATCACCAGTGCTCTTCCTTACGTCAACAACGTTCCTCATCTCGGAAACATCATTGGATGTAATTATGAATCTTTCCTCTCTTTATCTCTGTTCAATTCATGTCGTCTTCTTCGTCTCTGATTCCGCATTTAGTGTTTGTTTATGAATTTTTGTTTTAAATACCAGATGCAGTAATCAATTTAGCTTTGAAATCATCTGATTCTAATGTTGCGAAATTTTAAGATTGAATTAGTATATGGAATTTTGAAAAGTGTGTGGACGAGTGTGTGGCACACGACTGATAAGGATGGTTTTCGGATTGTGGCTATTTCGATGTTTCTTTCTGGGTTTAAGCAATGCTTTGTGTGTGTTGTTTTCATACAGGTGTTCTGAGTGCTGATGTGTATGCTAGATACTGTCGTCTCCGTGGCTATAATGCGATTTATATATGTGGGACTGATGAGTATGGGACTGCAACTGAGACCAAAGCTTTGGAGGAGAATTGTACCCCCAAGGAAATTTGTGACAAGTAATGTGTCTTGATTTCCTATTTTTGTTGTTGCTTAACTTATGTTTTAGTTTGTCATAATCTACTGACTAAAAGTGGATAGAATTTGTCTGTGATGACGGTTTATGGAATTTAGACTGTGTATTGAAATGTTTTTTAGTCAGTGGATTTTAATGTGTAGGTTTATGGGGTTTGTATATTGACTAGTTCTGAATCTTGATAGTTTATCCTTCTTCAACTTAATCGATAGAAATATACACAACTTTCCACAGATTATCAAAATTTGTTTTTGAGAGAACCTTTCAGATATTTTGTTAGAGGACTTTGCGCTGTAGCATAATTTTTGTTGTTGTTGTTGTTGTTGTGCATTTAGGTACCATGCCATTCATAAAGAAGTGTATGACTGGTTTGATATAAGTTTTGACAAATTTGGGCGAACTTCAACTCCAGAACAGACTGAAGTGTGCCAAGCAATTTTCAATAAGTTGTGGGAAAACAAGTGGCTTTCTGAGAACACCATGCAGCAGGTTAGTGCTTTTACTCAAATAGTCAAATGTTAGTTAGCCTTATTTCATCACAAAAGCATACATATGTTCTTCTTAAGTAGAAGAATCTACACCACTCAGTTTGTGAGTTTTTAACTCTCATATCGTTGTGGCCCATTGTATCTTCAGCTTTATTGCGATACATGCAAGAAGTTCTTAGCTGACCGGCTTGTTGAGGGTTCTTGTCCGTTTGAAGGATGTAATTATGATTCTGCTCGTGGAGATCAGTGTGAAAAATGTGGAAAGCTCCTGAATCCTACTGAACTCAAAGATCCGAAGTGCAAGGTAGGCTATGCTTTTCTTCTTCATGGCATCATCCGGTCAAGGGATTGTATTTGTATCGTTTTATACTTTTTATAGCACTGCATTTGTGTGGGACATTGCATACTTCATCACGTCAGTTGAAATTCTCATTCACAAACAGTTACTATGCTTTTGCTGTTGGTATAAAGAAGACCTTGGGTGTGAAATTCTGTCTGTTTTAGAGATATCTAGTTAACTTAGATGTTGAAACATGAGGCGCAGTTGCACTAGTTAATAAGTGATACATATGTATTGCATATGGTTATAATACATATCACTGCTAATGGCTAAGTGATTTTGGTTGTCCAGAGCATGCTTTGTTTTTCTTCCTATGTTATTACTTCGGTTCACAGATTTTGCAGTATAGGCCACTGTGTTTGTTGATTTGGCTTTCATAGAAACGCAAGATTATGGTCTTTTATTGTGGATGCTAATGATTCATCTCTCAAACAGGTCTGTCAAAACACACCCCGAATTCGTGACACAGACCACCTGTTTATTGAGCTTCCGTTGCTGAAAGATAAGTTGGAAGAGTATATTAAGGAGACATCTGTTGCTGGATCTTGGAGTCAAAATGCTATTCAAACAACAAATGCATGGCTTAGGGATGGGCTTAGACAGAGATGCATTACGAGGGATCTTAAATGGGGAGTACCTGTCCCACATGAGAAATATAAGGAGAAAGTAGGAGCCTCACATCCCGCTAATTTCATTAACATTTAAACATCAACTACTAATTCAAAACATGGTTATTATAGGTCTTCTACGTTTGGTTTGATGCTCCTATTGGATATGTCTCAATAACGTCATGCTACACATCTGAATGGGAGAAGTGGTGGAAGAATCCTGAGAATGTGGAGCTTTATCAGTTTATGGGGAAGGACAATGTGCCATTTCACACTGTGAGTAAATAACATTTCAAAAGTTTGTTTACCGCCAGTGACTTGTTCCCATGGTTTTTAGTTATTTCCTTGTTCTTCATCTTATTTTTTCAGTAAAATAGAACATCAAAAGTATGTTCGGTTCTCGTCTTTTCTGGAGCTGCTCAAGGTTTCCTTAAGAATGGTTTATATTTTGTTAATTTGATAGTTTTCCCTAATTATTGTTATGCAGGTGATGTTTCCCTCTACGCAGCTTGGAACTGGGGAAAATTGGACACTGATGAAGACAATCAGTGTGACCGAATATCTAAACTATGAAGACGGTCAGTTGATATTTCACCATTGCTTCCTTGGGGACTTAGCTGAGTGATTTTATTTTTGTCTGCTTTGCTTTTTCTGCTATTTATAGAAGATACATGTTCTTTTGAATGGGTTTTCAGGAAAGTTCTCGAAGAGTAAAGGTGTTGGAGTTTTTGGTAATGATGTAAAGGATACAAATATACCTGTCGAAGTATGGAGATACTACTTGCTGACCAACAGGCCTGAGGTAACTGATTGCTGCTATGAAATTGAAATGTTTTTCTTCATTCATCATAGCACGCGTTGCAAGTGTGTAAATGTCACTATCACTGATTGATTCTGGGAATTATTCCATCTAGGTGTCTGACACATCATTTTCATGGAAAGATTTGCAAGCAAAACTGAATGGCGAGTTGTTAAGCAACATAGGCAACTTTGTTAATCGAGTTCTGAGTTTCATAGCAAAGCCTGAAAATGCAGGTTGGTTATTTAAGTATTTGGTGTTAGCTGTTTTGACTTTTTAGTTTAACATCCAGTTTAATATATGTTATGTGTTGTATTCTTTTATTAATAACCAGCCAAAGTCGTTACTGGTAGTCTAAAATGGTAGAAAGGTGCATCTGGCTTGCAAGAGTCGTTATTATTTTTCTGCTAAGCTAGTATAACGTTCTCTGATAAGATTCCTCTCTTTGTAAACTTGTATGAACATGGATTGATCAACTGATCGTATAACATGTCTATAGATCAAATGCCTATATATATGCATATGTAATCTGTTCATACACTCTAGGATGATAAAGAAAAACTGAGCATGAGGTTGCAGGATATCATAAAATGTTAAACTCTCTTAGAAACAGTTAGAACACGATGATACGAAAAACTTGCTAGAATTCTGGTTACCTGCTTTGTGATACTCTTGACTACTAGAGCAAGACTTTTTCATATCTCTCTTTGATGTTTCTACCCCCTCACCATTGCATGTTTAAACCGATGTGCAGGTTATGGGTCTGTCATTCCTGATGCTCCTGGTGCTGAGTCTCATCCTTTAACAATATCACTGGCTGAAAAGGTTGAAAAGTTGGTGGCAGAGTATGTAGAAGCCATGGAAAAGGTGCGAAATATTATATAAACTTTGGCCTGATATGGTCTATCTGACTTTCTGTGCATGGTTGTTTAGGTTCTTAAAAAATGTCCTGTTCATTTGATGCAGGTTAAGCTCAAGCAGGGGCTGAAAACTGCTATGCTGATTTCAAGTGAAGGGAACTTTTACTTACAGGTAATTCTGTTCTCATTAACAAACTATATATTAGCTTTGCTGGCCATTCAGTCTAACCAACTATGCTGTTATCTTTAGGCAAACCAATTCTGGAAACTATACAAGGACGATAAACCTTCTTGCGCAATTGTTATAAGAACTGCTGCTGGTTTAGTACACCTTCTTGCTCAATTGTTAGAACCTTTCATGCCATCCTTTTCTCGTGAGGTCAGTTTGATTGATAGTTTTGGTTAATATTGATTCTATTTAGTTGTAATAGAAAGCCAAGCGTGACTAGTGCTGTCTATTGCACTTTGTAGGTATTTAAACAGCTAAATTTGCCTCTACATTTTTCTCTCTCCGATGAGAGGGGGGAGGTATTACTAGCAAGTAGACCATGGGAGATTCTACCTCCCAGCCACAGGATAGGCACCCCTCAACCTTTGTTCAAGGAGTTGGTATGTAGCTCTCTGATTTTATCCGTAGAATGCCGGGCTTGTTGTATGTTACAAAATGCCATGTAGCATTTAAATATATCAAAATGATATGATCACAGGTTGATGAAGAAGTGCAACAGTACAGAGAAAAGTTTGCTGGAAGTCAAGCTGATAGACGTGCTAGGGATGAAGCAGCAAATTTGACAGATCAACTTAATAAAACAAAACTTTCAGGTTCTCTATTGTTATTCTCAAAATCCTGTTTTACATTCTTTATGCTTTTAATTGCTAGAGATCCTGAGCTTACCACCGTAACGTGGTTATGTACTGAACTGCTATTTTTCTCCCAGATGCCAAGAAACAAAAAGCAGCATCATCAAAAGGAGGTGGAAAACCCAAACCTCAACCGGCGGCTGAACGTGAAATAACCATGGCAAGACTTGATATTCGAGTTGGTAAAATTTTGAAGGCTGAGAAACATCCTAAGGCAGATGCATTGTATGTAGAAGAAATTGATGTTGGCGGAGGTGAAATTCGCACTGTTGTTAGTGGACTTGTCAAATATATACCTCTTGAGGAAATGCAGGTTGGTTCAATCAATCTAGTCATTTGTTTCCATCCCAATTTCAGTATCTATCCTTTCTAAAATCCAATTGATCTAATATTGTTTCTGTGGACAGAACCGTATGGTTTGTGTTCTTTGCAACTTGAAGCCGGCAAAGATGAGGGATATTGTGTCGCAAGCAATGGTTCTTGCAGCTTCTAGTAGTGATGGCAGCAAGGTAGAGTGCACAAGAGTCTCTGACCTGTCCGTAGTTCCACTAGTTTCATTTCGGTTATATAACAAATTGCTTTTGCTGTAAACCTTTCAGGTGGAGTTAGTTGAGCCTCCTAAATCTGCTACTATTGGAGAGCGAGTTACATTTCCCGGGTTTGAAGGCGAGCCAGACGATGTGTTGAACCCAAAGAAGAAAGTATGGGAGACACTCTTGGTGGATCTAAACACAAATGAGAACTTAGTTGCTTGCTACAAAGATGTCCCCTTCACTACATCTGCAGGTGAATGCAAAGTTTCATCTATCAGCAATGGCACGATCCGGTAAAAGCTTCCTTGAGCCATAAGCACCATCTAATCTTCTTCTCCATTTCTATCTTTCACTGTTAAGAGGGAAACGAAAATTATTTCCGAGATTTCATTTGAAAGTTTAAATTCTAATTACAAAACATGTTCTTGTAAACTTTAACTAAAGCTTGGTATACAATTTTGGTTCTTGATTTGATGTTATGTTGTGAGAAACAGTTAATCTTTTTAAAATTGCAACCACACAACATGTCGATGATGTTGATTGATGTTTTAATTAGTTAATTTTAGTTAATCTAATTCTCGTTTTACATGTTAGAAAAAAAAAGTCGCATCATTCTTTTTTTCTTGTCGGTTACTAACTTTGTTTGCTACTTTTCTTATGATCTGCATCTTATGACTACCATTTCTATGTTTTTCTTTCACTGATCCAAATTGCTTAAGCTCCCAAATAATAAGTATTTTTTGGTAAAGCTCCCCAACTAATTATAAAGGTGAACATACATCTCGATAAAGAGTTTTCTAACACCCTTAAAAAAAACTCCACTGAAACTCGATCAAGTAGTGTGAATGGATTGGACACCGATGGGATTGAACCCTACATGTGGTAATTTACAAAACTTTTAATAAGTAAATAAGAATATTTATATAGAAAAAATAGTGATGGAAAAATTATTTTCTTTAAAAGTTATTGTTTTATTAATTTTAGTAATATTTTTTAAAATAATTAATATACAATGATTTAAGCTGATTTAACGAGCCAACTCACGTATCAGCATACATTTGCGGTACTGGTTAGGGTTCTATACATGCTACCCATGTGTCGAGACTCATCACTGATCAAAAATATTCTTTTGACTCATCGCAAGACATGTTTAACGGGACGGGTCAATCAATTTTGACAGATTTAGGTGAAATAAAATTTTAATGTATATATCTTATTTAGTTGATAAACGCGAAAATACTTGACAAAAATATTAATTTCATTTTCTTATATATGCAATATTAACCTAATAACTTTTTTATATTCATTATTGTCTATAGAATTGAGTAACCAAAAATTGTAATCGTTTACAAAAGGCGAGCTGATTTATATATATATTTTCAACTGTTTTACAATAATGCATATATTCAACTCTCTAGACTATTATCTAAATTTGATTTATTCAAAACCCTTAATTATTATTTATTTCACTTCAGTCAAATAATTTGCTTCTAATCTTGTATATATGTTGTATCTTTATTAGATTTCTTCTTTACAGAAAAAGTCTATCCTTTTGGATTTTCTAGTACTTGTTATTGTCTATGGAATTGAGTAACCAAAAATTGTAATCGTTTACAAAATGCTAGCTGAGTTATATTTATTTTCAACTCTTTTAGAACATTCCATTTATTCAACTCGCTAAATTATCATCTAACTTTGATTTATTCAACATTCTTACTTAGTATATATTATAGTTCAGTCAAATAATTTGCGTCTAATGTTGTATCTTTATTAGATAAATTACATTACAGAAAAAGTCCATGCATGCCTTGCCTTGAGTAAATAAAACATGTAATTATTTACAAAACGCGAGCTGATTTATATAATGAAAAAATTTGAAGATTCTTTGGTTTAATATTAACGTCAATGACAAATGAAACTCAAATTCAAATCTTTGTTGATGTTTTGCGCGTTAAAACTGCGGAGTTTATGACATCTTCTGACTTTTTCTTCCCCATAAAACGTTTACTAAACTTGGATACGTTTAAGATATTGGATATGATGAATTGAATTGTGTATAGTTTGGTTCTGGTCTAAGCAATTTTAGATCCTGAGTTCGTTAAGACAAATCATTGTCAATTACAACAAATGGACAAAAACAATAATATGCATGAGCGTGACTGCATGAAACCGATTAAAGCATATACGACATTAAAGGGACGATAGGTAGGTGAAGGTGTTTTCTAGATTCTAACACGTGAGGTTTCGTAAGTAGGTATAACTATAAGAGAGTTAACCATTTGATACAAAATAAAAATCGATTTCGGTTTAGGTCTTTGGTTAATTAAGTAAACCTATATAATCTTATATATTGTGTTGTGCTATTCAATGCAACACTTAAACACGTAGTATAGTATCAATATAAGAATGGAAGATATTACCATAGCCGTGGTGGCTCTCGCCGCGGTTCTTCTCTTCTTTCTTTACCAAAAACCAAAAACGAAACGTTACAAGCTTCCTCCGGGACCAACGCCACTTCCGGTGATCGGAAACCTCTTCCAGCTTGAGAAGCTTAACCCGCAACGTTTTTTTGCTGGATGGGCTAAAAAGTACGGACCAATCTTTTCATACAAGATTGGAAAGAAGACAATGATGGTGATATCGTCGGCTGAACTAGCTAAAGAGCTTCTCAAGACGCAAGATGTCAACTTCGCCGACCGGCCTCAGCACTATGGACATGAGTTCATATCTTATGGTCGGCGTGACATGGCGTTGAACCATTACACACCGTATTACCGAGAGATGAGGAAGATGGGGATGAACCACTTGTTCTCGCCCGTACGTGTGGCCACGTTTAAGCACGTCCGGGAGGAAGAGGCTAGGAGGTTGATTTATAAGATAGACAAGGCCGCGGAGAAATCTGAAGTGGTTGATATAAGCGAGCTTATGTTGACCTTTACGAACTCCGTTGTGTGTAGACAAGCGTTTGGGAAGAAGTACAACGAAGAAGGGGAAGAGATGAAGAGGTTCATCACGATTCTTTATGGGACTCAGAGCGTTTTGGGGAAAATCTTTTTCTGTGATTTTTTCCCCTTTTGTGGCTTTCTTGATGATTTGTCAGGTCTCACAGCTTATATGAAAGATTGTTTTGTAAGACAAGACACTTATCTTCAAGAGGTTATCAATGAGGCGGTTGATCCCAAAAGGGCCAAACCCGAAACCGAGAGCATGATCGATCTCTTGATGGAGATTTACAAAGAACAACCTTTCAATTATGAGTTCACTGTAGATAATGTCAAAGCTATTGTCATGGTAAGTATAAACATCTCTTCTTATTTATGATTTTTAACCCTTGCTTACCCTACAAGCAATCATTTACGTGTGTCTTACTCTTCTTTTTGTTCTTTCGTTCCAAAAGGATATTGTAGTTGCGGGAACAGATACGGCAGCTGCAGCGGTTGTGTGGGGGATGACATATCTAATGAAGTACCCTCATGTATTGAAGAAAGCTCAAGCAGAAATTAGAGAGTATATGAGAGATAGAGGCTCAACGTTCATTACTGAAGATGACGTCAAGAACCTTACGTACTTCAAAGCCTTAGTTAAAGAAACCCTAAGGATCGAACCAGTCATACCTCTCCTTATCCCTCGTGCTTGCATTCAAGACACCAAGATCGCCGGCTACGACATCCCCGCCGGGACAACAGTCAACGTCAACGCTTGGGCAGTGTCACGTGACGAGAAGGAGTGGGGACCGAACCCTGACGAGTTCAGACCAGAGAGGTTTCTTGAGAAGGATGTTGACTTCAAAGGCACGGACTACGAGTTCATACCGTTTGGGTCAGGCCGGAGAATGTGTCCTGGAATGCGTCTTGGAGCCGCGATGCTTGAGGTTCCTTACGCGAATCTTCTTCTCAACTATAACTTTAGACTTCCTGATGGGATGAAACCAGATGAGATCAACATGGATGTAATGACTGGTCTTGCTATGCACAAGTCGCAGCATCTCAAGCTTGTTCCAGAGAAATTCAAAATGTACTAATTAAGATATATTCAAAATAAAGCTACGTACGTACGTCTCATTGATCTCAATATATGTTAGTATGTTACTATACGGTGTACTCTGTTTGGTTTCTCTATTAAGTAGCAGTCGTATCGCTTATCTTTGTTATCTTTCACTTCACATTTTCATGAAAGGAAGCAAATCCATGTGTATATCTTTTGTGATTCTTATAAAAATGGGCTACAAAACTAGAACTAATAAAGTAGTGTGGCTAAGCTTTGAAAGTAAAAAGAAAAAAAAAAAGCTTTGAAAGTAAAGGTGAGAGCATTTTTTGGATTATTTTTGGTTTCTGTTCGATTCGATTAATTTTGATAAAACTTGGTTTGGTTTTAGTTCGGATAAAACTCAAACAGTAATTTAGATTAAAAAATGAGCAGGGAAGAAATGTTCGAAACTCTGCCCTTTTTTAATAATTGTGTTTACATTTCATTTCTACTAATTTGACCTAACCAAAGGACTAAAAGAACCCCAAAAGAAAAATCACATAAAAACAAGTTAAAAACCCTAATCACACCAAATTTAGGAAATAAATTATTCAGCAAGATAAAATAGTTAAATAATACCAAATTATCAATACTAGATTACTTAGGCTAATTGTTTTCTTTATTTAAGTGATAGTTAAATTAAACAAATTGGGTTATTTGTTTTGTTTTGTTTTAGATCGAACCAAACCAAATTGCTGAAAAAAGCTTTGATGCTTGATAAGGGCAAGTAGCCGTGGGAATTCGGGTAGTTCGGATCGGTTCGAGTCGGGTACACCGGTTATCGGGTATTTACAGAATTTTTAATTTGGTCCGAAACTAACCAAATTAAATTATGGATCAGTTCGGTTTGGTTACCGGTTAGTTCGGAAATAATTTTTTGGTTTCGAACCAACCCGAATTAACACAAAAAATTAACAAAAATGTGTTTTTTTTTCAAACCAACCCGAATTAACACCAAAATGAACAAAAATCAATGCAAGACTAAGACTGTCAGTAATTCAATAATCTAAGCAGTATTATAATACGAAATTTAAACCCCAAATCAAATTAAAACATAACCACGATCAAACAAAGGCCTAAGCTGAGAGAACGATCGAAAATCAAATTGATAACCACATACGTTTAGAAAGGTTGCAAAATGGGCGGGTTGTTAAGAAATACAATAAATTGCAAATAAAAAATATGGGAGATTAGCTTTTTTTTTTTTTTTTTTTTAACTAGAAGTTAGGAAATAACACTTTTTAGCATAATGGTATAATATATAAATTAAGTGTTTTTGAAACTCTTCTCTATCTCACTTTCGCGTCGAATCCGAGACTTCGCCGAATATGACCGGCGATTCAACTGTCGCACACGAAAACAGAGTCTTTTCAAACGGCGATGTCTCGAAGAAATCTCGCGAGAGTGACCGTCGCCGCCGTAGACGGAAGCAGAAGAAGAACAATAAAGCCTCTCAGGACGTTTCTGCTGCTTCTGATTCTAAGGAGAAACATGTTTCTGAGGAGAATGTGATAGAGTATGTTCCAGAGAAGGCTGAATTTGAAGATGAGTTTAAGGAAATATTTGAGAAGTTCAACTTTAGGGAACCCATTGCTTCTGAGGAAGATCACGGTAAGAAGGATGAGTCTGAGGAGAAAGAAGATGTAAAGAAGAAGATTAACTCAGACGAGGAAGAGCAGCTCAAAGAGAAAGACATCTCTAACAAGAAGAAAAAGCTTCAACGGAGGATGAAGATTGCTGAGCTGAAGCAAGTTTCTGCTAGGCCTGATGTTGTTGAGGTCTATGACGCTACTTGAGCAGATCCAAAGTTGTTGGTGTTTTTGAAGTCCTATCGGAATACAGTTGCTGTTCCAAGACATTGGTCTCAGAAGAGAAAATATTTGCAGGGGAAGCGTGGGACTGATAAGCAGCCATTTCATCTTCCTGATTTCATTGCTGCAACAGGGATTGAGAAAATTAGACAGGCTTACATTGAGAAAGAAGATGGTAAAAAGTTGAAGCAAAAGCAACCAAAGATGGGAAAGATGGACATTGACTACCAGGTCCTCCATGATGCATTCTTCAAATACCAAACAAAGCCGCCTAAGCTGTCAGGTCTAGGTGATTTGTATTTTGAAGGGAAAGAATTTGAGGTTAAAGTGAGGGAGATGAAAATGAAACCAGGGGTTTTATCACATGACTTAAAAGAAGCTCTTGGTATGCCTCAAGGCGCTCCACCCCCATGGCTAATTAATATGCAGAGATATGGTCCTCCTCCTTCTTACCCACATCTGAAAATTCCATTGTATGGAGATGTCTTTGGTGTCCTGCAACAAGATCAGCCTAACTATGAGGAGGAGCCTATTGATAAGAGCAAACACTGGGGTGATTTAGAGGAGGAGGAGGAAGAGGAGATGGATGAGGAGGACTTAGAAGACGGCTCTGAATCTGTTGATACATTGTCAAGCACTCCTACTGGTATAGAGACACCGGATGGTATTGAACTTCGTAAAGATCAGAGAAAGGAACCCGATAGGCCTCTATACCAAGTTCTCGAAGAAAAGGTAGAGGGTGTTGCTGCTGGAACAGTGCTGGGAACCACTCACACATATGTTATAATGACTGGTACTCAAGACAAGACGGGAGCCAAAAGGGTTGATTTGCTGAGAGGGCAAAAGACAGACAGAGTGGATGTTAGTTTACAGCCAGAGGAGCTGGATGCTATGGAAAATGTTTTACCTGCCAAATATGAGGAGGCAAGAGAAGAAGAGAAATTGCGCAAGAAGGCAGTGGACTTGAGTGACATGGTCGTCGAGCATGTGCAGCAGAATAGTAGGAAGAGGAAAATGCATGACAAGGAAGGGATGAAGAAGAAAGATTTCAAATTCTGAGGGTAGCAAGGAGATCTATGGAAGAGACACGAAAGGATTCTGGATTATAGACATGAGAGATGGAGAGAAAGAGAGAAAGAGTTTATTGATTCTGTTAAAATACTCATCTTTGTTTGAAAGAATTAAAATTAAAATTAATAACATTTTACAATGCCAAAGAATCTCATGTAATTAACAAGAAAGAGTTGATTTGATTGACTGGTTTTTCAAAATGAAACGTTGACCTCGTTTCTTTGGTTTGGCATGAGAACCAATAACCGGAGATGACCTTCTTGGCATAACTTGACCGGGTTTCTATGCTGTGTGAGGATTGCATTACTGTTGCCTAACAAAACATGAGCAATTATGTAACTATCCCCTTTCTCATTTGCAAATTGCCATTCCCTAACTGTCAAGTTGAAATAGTCTTTCCGCGTCGACACCGTTGCTTTCACCTCCACGTACTCTTTCTTACCACCTCGGTTTTCGATCAGTAGGTCGTAAGGTAAACCGGTTTCGCTCTGGTCGTTTACCCATCTGACCAGAGCCTCATTGCCGTATTTTGCAACAAAGTATCTGTACGCGATTTCTTCACCTTTTCTACCTGTCTGTTGCGCTTGTGCGGCCCAGGGTGTGCCGGTATGTAGCTGATCTCTATCGCTGAAGTTAGCTGAGAAGGAATTGTTCCATTCATGAGGAAGATTTGGATTGAAGTGAATAGCAGCTTGATTCCCTGAGGTTGAGCCACTAATCATTTGCATCGGATACAATGGGTTTGGCTCACTAGTTCGTGCACTAGTGCCTGCATAACTGTCATATCCGGAAACCAAGTTGGTATCGCTCATCTCAATCGGTATTTTTTTGTCAGGAGCATCTGTTACATCCTCTCCACCGCTGCTATGCTGACCAGAGGCCACCTTTTGTTTAGAATCATCAACCTGGGCCTTGCTCGAACCATGTCCTGGTTTGGAACTTGAAGGTAACCAGCTCAAGCTTATTCCAGCTTTCTTCTTCGCTTTAAGAGCAGACTTTAAGGACCAGATCTTTTCATCATCAGGAATCTGATCAACTTTCTGACTGTTCAGAATGAAAGTTTCCATTTGTTCCCCGTCCAAACCAGATTCTGCCATTGTTTTGATCAAGTGGAGAAAATTTGCCAGATGCAGATCAGGAACTCCGTTGAAAAACAACCGAGACAGTTCCATGAACAAGGAATGGGAATCCAGACACGGTGTTGTGTACAGAGCTTTATCCTGAAGACAGAAGAACAAAAATATAATATCAGTAAGTAAGTTTATGCACCATAAATATTTAGGAGTTTGCATCGGATTAGCATATCAGATTGAACTTGGATAGTAAAACTTCAAAGACAAAGCACATGCTAATTTTCAAGATTGGGAGTAAACGACTGAGGTATAACAACCATAGTCCCAATCATGAGGTTCTGACAAAAGCAAAGGATCTACTTGCATATAAGCAGAGAGAAGTTTCAGATAGCCTCAAAGCTAGTGTCATAGCCCCTACAATCCCAAAATAGTCTATCGCAAGAAACACAAAGGAAAGAAGACGTACATGAAGAAGAGAGCTGCATTTGAACTCCTTTTTAGAGCTAATGCCATACTGCGGTATGACATTCCTATAGCATAACTTATCAGCAACAAAGACTTGTAGACGCTTGAGTTGACTATGGACTGTCTTTTTTGTCTGGGTATACTTCTCATGATGGAGTGTAAAGATATATCGCTGGGCATAAGGCAGAGCCCAGTTTACAAGTGACACTGTTACAGTATTATCTTGCAAACCTTCATATTTCGCTTCACGCTTTACCACCTGAAAAAATTACGTAAACACCACAAGAGTGAATTGGAATTGAGGTTACATAGTAGAAACGGAGACACATAAATCAGTTCTACCCTTGTATATAAGCTACAAGGTGATGGTTTTGGAGTAAGTGTATCAACACAATAAGAAAGGCTTACTCTTTTTAATATCAAATCTAATGTCCCTAAGAAGCCCTTACATGTACACTTTTTAATACAATTTTGTGAAGGAAAAGATAAGATTACCTCAGATATACTTGGAATGCCCAAGCTGTGCATGAGCCCAGACACTTTTGTTTGAAGCACCTCTTGCTCTTCATCTTCATTTTCCCCAAAGTTAATAAACTCAATGTTATCCTTCTTCTTAAATCTCTTCTTTAATTTCTCATCATCACACCAACATACGAGACCGAACGAGGAGTGCAAGGACACCCACTTATCATTTTCAGTAGGAAGTACCGTGTACTCAAGTTCTGAAAGTCTCTCTTTAAAATGAACA